TCAATGGGAGACAGGTGTGCACCTCAGGTAGGCCAGTCTAGCACCTGCACTCTCTAACTGCGAAGCCATGTTGTTGTAACACAGGCAGAATATGGTTTCCATTGTCTTGCTGAAACAAGCAGGGACGTCGTCTAGATGGCAGCATACACTCTCAGAAATAAAGGTTTGAAACTGTCACTGGGGTGGAACCCTCCAGGGTACATCTCAGCACCTTTAGTCAAGGAACATAACTATACTATAATCCATTGAAATGATATTTTCTAAGTTGTACTGACTCCACACACCCCACCTCGTCTCCAGGCTTTATATTGCTCTGTTTTAAAAAATTAGGTTAAGGTACAAATACTTACTTTACAACTGGACCCTAAAACCACTGTTGTACCTTTGAGGGTACATTTACATTGTTTGTACCTTGATGAATGAAAAATGTACCTGAACAGAGCCTTTATTTTTAACAGTGTATGTTGCTCTAAAATGTGTACGTACCCTTCATGAACACTGACCTTGTCTGAGGCGAGCAAGACCTCCAGTTCCTTAAATGATCATCTAGGTTTTGTGAATATCCTGGATGAGACTTCGTTGTGCTCTTGGAGGAAATTTGGTGGACTGGCCATTTTCACCACTATTCCAATTTTTCTCCATTTGGTGAAATTCAGGTTTACTGAGGTTCACTGGAGTCTTAGAGCTTTAGAAATGACTTTGTAAACCTGTCCAGACTGGTATACTTCCAATCACTATTAGTTTAACTGATCTCAATGATCCACTAAATTTGGTTAATTGGTAGATTGAGCCATTTAAACACTGTATTTTGTGTTTACTTGGGTTCTTTTTTTGTCTTATATTAAATTTTGTTTGAAAATCTGAAACAATTAAGTGGACAAATATGTAAAAAACAGAAGAAATCAGAGGGAGGCAAATACTTTTTTCTGTTAGACCACAGGTAACTAGAGACAGTGGGTAAACAGGACTAATGTTGTAAATAATCCAGTTAGGATGGTGGCTGCTGCTTTGGAAAAGGAAATCAGCTCTTTGTTTTTGACTAAAAATGGAAATGAGTTATTTTCTGCTCCAAGCGGAATTCATGTGTGGTGCAGGACAGTCCGAGTGATGACAGAGAAGCATTAGCCTCTTTCCCTCTCCTCTCTGCTTCCTAAAGAGCCTTCCTCTCACTCTCCAAACACAAATTGAGAAAGATGAAGGAGATGGAAGAGCGAGTGCCTTTCCCATCGCTTTGCTATTTCAGTCACTGAGATTCTGTAGATTGCATTATAACATCATATCCTGGGCATGCTCGTCATACCCATTTTAGCCACGGTCCAGGAAACGGTACCACAGCCCTGCTGCTGGATGGCATTGACTTTGAACACATTGAAGTGCTTGTCCATGTGTGACAGACAGACATACATGTGCAAGGACTTGGCAGAGTGCGCACAGGCCCAAGATAGAACAACAGGATATGAATAAAGCCGTCTCAGTGTGATTTGCTGGAAGTGAGCAGTGAGAACGAGCACAGACGTCCTGAAGAGCGGGCAGAGTTTGGATGGTGCAGGTGTGATGTGTCAGAACTGAGCAGTAGTCAAGGTCTTTCTCAGCGTAGGCGTCCCACAGAGGCAGATACAGTATCTCTTTCTGTTCCATTCTCTCACTTTTGCGTCCGAGGGGCTTGTTGACAGATGTGTGAGCACGCAGAGCTTCAGCCAGCACTATAGCATGACAAATCATTATGATGATGGAAGCAGTGCGAGTCATCAAGGACAATAACAGCACGTAGTACAACGGCCAACGACCGACAGTGCATACACAGGCCAACAGCCATCAACACATGCACAGACCATTGACACTCAGAGCATATACAGCACTGTCTTAGCTCAGTCAAGCAAGCTGTTTAAAACTGTTTATCTGGGCAGTAGGTGTGTTTTTGATTGTAAGATAGCTGTACAGTACTGACAGTATGCATAACAAAGGGGAATTCCACCAAATCTTCTATATTTCTGCACTAATTAAATGGTTAAGATGAAAACAGTTATTCAGAGTGGATTGTTAACAGCGATGCTGATAGGAACCTGAACCTGAACATCTGGAGTGTTTAATGCTTCTAAAAGCTCCCTCACAGAAAGTTATTACAATGACGTAGCTATGAATACACTGCCTGATGCCTGAAACATTTTATGACAGTTTTGGGAAGACTTTGGCCTAAAATGCACTCGTTAAAATCCCTTCATGTCAGAGTGGTACACACAGGATGTTGTGAGGCCAAATAATACCCAAACTATTTTTTTCCCAGATTTACCACTATTTTACCCTCAACATTACATATAAAAACTCAGAAGACATGCATAGGTTCACTGGTCATTCCGGATAGCAAATAAAATGGCTTTATTTGTGTTGTAAACATCGTGACCCCTAGATCCTATCACCACCACTATAAAGACATCCAAGATCTATCAAATCACTCTGAATGACGTTGTTTATATCTCAATAGCAGGATTATGCAGAAATGTTGAAAAATGAGTAAATCATTCCATTTTAATGATCATTTTTGAAGACAATACTTAAAGTGACTCAAATACAATGAGATTTTCTGATATAAATTTGTGAATCAGACATAAATTGTAACTTTTTTCACAGTTCCATTAAAAACAACCCACTATGCTCTAAACACCACAAAAGTAAATAAAAAACTTTTCAGTACCTCAACTGAAACCACTTACATTTTTCACAATTTACAACTCATTTGTGTGAGCATTTAAATATATTTATCTTGTAATAAAATTGCTTGTTTTGTCTTAATGATGCTTACACCAGGCTCTTGTTTTGGCAATTAGACTTGGTCCAAAAAAGACAAAGGCTGCAAAGTGAATGTTGGCATTCCTTTTTCACTCCAGTATGAATCAACACTAATGAATGTAATGAAAAGTAACAAGAGTTCCTTATTTTTAAAGAAAAATTTATTGATATCCTCTTAGATGAGAAGACATTTGATTTGCTTTCTCTTTAATGCTTCCAACCATTGCAAGGACTTGGAATTTTAAAGGTAAGCCTAACTGTTACGACATATAAGCCTCAATTTTGTATACATGTCCCATAAGCTACTGAAATATGTTATGCAAACTAGACAGAACACATAATTTATTATGAAAAACAGACAAATTTCTTACTACTTGCATGTTACCATTTTTGTTGCAGCACCAAATAGTTGTTTTCTCTTTTCCACTGAGCAAGAAACAGCAAGCTGAAGATTAAATTTAACTCGAGCATTCAGCCTTTCCAAATCTACCTAGAGGGTGACATTACCCAAGAGAAAAACATTCTGTCTTGTTTCCTGCAGGGCAGGAAAAAGTCCAGTGCAAGCATATGACACGTCACAATGTGACCTACTAGTAGAGAATGTCTGCCTATTTATGATTTTTTTAATAAACAAAACATTTCCATTCCATCAGATTTTAATTGTGTTGGACATGTACACTGTTTTTAGGCGTACAAGGTTTAATTGCCAGGGTTCTCTTTAATTAATGAAGGATTTAGAAGCCAAATCAGATAACGGACTGTAGCTACAAATACTGTGGTGTCTTGAGAAGAAGTCTGGAAGTAGTTAACACACAGACAAACTTAAGTTCACAAGTTATTGTATTATTGTTTGTTTGTTTTCATTCTGCTAATGTTTTTCCAAGGGAACAAACATCTACTGTTCAGATAAACAGCTTTAAATTTAAATTTCTCAGGTGATTTCTACACACTAGGCCTACTGTATGTGTTTCTTTTTTGTTGATTGAAATCACACAATAGTCTGGCCCCTTCTCATTTCCATTTCAGTCACTAATAACGCAAGCACAGCCTTTATGGGTTTTATGATGCATTACTTCTAAATCAAGTAAGCTACATGATCCATATCATACCAATATGATAACGTCACACAGGCATCACTTTATATTTAACACAAGCCCGCTAACATATGGCCTCGTTATCTAGCAGTTAGACACAGACCTGCCAGTAGTGTTAAAACCTCCTTCACTCACCCTCTCTGACACCAATCACGAGGGGTGACGGGTATATATATAAAAATAATTAGGTAATGAATAGTTGTAGCATGTGCTTCCGACCCTGCACTGTAATGAAGATCCATGGAGCTGTGATGACTCATATAGGTCAATACAGTGACCTCCTTCGGGAGCTTATTTAAGTTATTAATAAGTCTGAATGTGAGGTATGTAAACAGTGCTCTGCATGCCTGAGTTAACTAAGAGTCGAGCTGGTAATTAACATTGATGAACCGGTAAATAAGCGACGCTTAATCACAGCTTGAGTGCAACTTTTGTTTGCGAGCTTTTTGTTTCCAAGCACACAGTATCCATGTGAACTCATGATGAGGTTAATTTACCAACCAGCCTCTTCTATGAAGAACACACTACACTGGATCCAATTCACTGCTTCAGAGCTTCTACCTGGACAGCTTTGTAATGCCCAGTTCAGCTTTTTTCTTCTATAGTTGATTAGATTTGTATGTTTATACATACTATTGGCACAACTACTTGCTCAAAGAGCTGCTCAGTATATGAAAATTGTTCTGAACATAGGGCTGTTTAGATTACGTAAAGGATCTGATATATATCAGACACGTGATCACATGTATTAATGTCTTACACATGTGAGATCTGCTCGGGCCGCGTGTCTGAATGCAGTGTTTGTGTAATCTTTGGGGATGTCACATTCTCAAATCTTGATTTAAATTTATAGCATAACATGGTTACATCTGATTCTGCTAACCGAGACTCCTCTAGGTGAACTAGTGTTTAACTCTGTTTAACTTGATGAATTTGATTCAGTCAGATGTTCTGGGAAAAGACAGAAACAATAAAGACAGTCAGAAAGGAATGAAAACCGCATCACTTGTTTTTGATTTACAATTTACAGTTACAGCACTCAGATGCAGATGTGGAAAAAATGTTTATAGGTTGGAATGCTAATTAAAACACAAAAGCACATGAGTAGATAAAGTGAGTCATTTAATTTAAAAGCATAAAAAATAAAAGGCATAACTGTGGTACAGCATCTTTGGGCTTTATGAAATTCCACATCTCTTTATTCCAACGACAGCGTAACATCTGGGTGACAGAAGTGGGTCGAAGAGCTGCACCAGAGCGGAGCAGGACACATTCTCCTGTGAAAACATTTAAGCTTTATTAGGGAACTCATATTTTGGAGATACTTATGGGCACTACAGGGCCACACACAGTCTAATTTCCAGTCAAGATGGCTCTTAATTAGAAGCTACTCATTTTCATTGTCAGGAAAAAACCTGAAAACATATTTAGCAGAAAAATCAACAATTAAATTTTGTTTAGTATTTATTGTGTTCATGCTTTGCCTTTATTGCAGCTTCCATTCTTTTCAGGAGACTTGCTTTGAGTTTTTAAAGAAATTAGCAGAGATATTTTTCCACACCTCCAAAGTTCAGTCTTAGAAGTTGTTTTTTCTGCTTTTTGTGATCCCAGTAGTTCAGAATGCAAAGTGATGTTGAGGTCTGGACTCTGGTGAAGTGAAATCAAAGTTTATTTATATAGCGCTTTTAACAACAGGCGTTGTCACAAAGCAGCTTTGCAGAAAAAAAAATCCGGGTCCAAGATTTTTGGATGAGCGTCACCAATGGCGACAGGGGCAAGGAAAAACACCCTAAGAGCAAGAGGAAGAAAGCTTGAGAGGAATCAAGACTCCAAAGGGGAACCCATCCTCCTCTGGTCGACACCGGATAGCAAACAATAACAGCAGAGAATGAGATTTGACCATAGGTATAAGATACGGAAAAGGGGAAAAGCAGGAGAAACAATGTCTATGATTTAAAAAATGCTCTGGGGTGGTCACTCCATCATTCCGAGCAGCCTGTTTGATTTTCAGATTGTCTTCTTATTTGTCTGTTCTTTTCTCTGTGAGGGCTTCTTAACAGCTTCACATGCTTTCAGACCCATAGCGCTGAATTGTCTTCTCACAGTAAAGGGATGGACAGAAACCCCTGTGATTTTTTTCAGATTTGAAGCAAGAGTGGAGCTCGATCTTCTCCTCTCTCAAACATAAAAGTTTTAAGTACTGTTTATCTGATGTGGACAGGTTTGGTGGTTTACCAGGTCTTGCACAGTTGTTAGGACTCCCATTTTCTCTGGAACATCTTATGTTTTCGACTCCAATTGAAAACTCCCGTTTTTTCATTCACTTTCCCTTTACCTTCCTCTTCCTTAGACAAGTGGATCATCTTATATCTAATCTTCTCAGAAACATCTTCTGAAAGCTGAATAACTTGTACTTAATGGCTGGTTTGACTGGAAGTTGTGTTATGTGCTATAATTCTAATAAGTCTCACTGCAGCTAGAATCCTCACACTTGTACACCAGGAATGATCAAAATCATTTTGATTATTACTTGCTTTACTGGGACATCCAACAGTGAAAAGACTGTTTGGATTAGGTATGAAATTCAGCTCAGATGAAAACAAACTGCTTTAGCTTTAATCCATAATACAGCTCTCCATAATTACTTATCAAAGCACATTCATATTTTCAGCAGCCTCGCAGGCGTATAGCTTAATGATTTATATAAGAAGGAATGCCACGAGGTCTGGTGTGACTCTAATTTCCATATGCACACTTGGGGCTCACATGTCTGTCATCAAGGGCCTTTAATGAGCAATAAGCCCTTTCAATGTCTGACAAAGGCATACCGCAGAGATCTGTAGGCAAACATACAGAGCCGACGTATCACAGAGGTTTATATGACCGCCAAGTGAACACAATAAGACCATACAGAAAGGATCCCCAGAGAAACCAGCAGTGCCGATCCTCACATATAATCAAAAATTCTTTCTCTCCTCTGTTTTCTATGTAAATCGCCCCATGACTGGCTTAGCCACACGCTCTTGACTGACATCCTTGCGTGGGTGGGGGGGTTTTATGTTCAAAGCGTGTTAGGGTAGGGGGAAACGGAGGTGTAACTCTAAACTACTGAACTCCTGGAGGATGAATAGACTTGTGGAATTAAAGTAGCCACTGCCGGCTGTACAGCAATACTTTATCCTTAGTCATGTAATAATACAACCATGCTAAACTTCACTTAAACTGTTCTGGAACTCCTATATGTCACACTTAGTGATGAGAGTACATATAGAAAGTTGGTTTGAGAAGAAAAAGCACTCTCTTAAGAGCTCCCTATTAGTAAAAACATTACTCCAGTTTAGAAAGTCATGAATAAGTACTTGAATCACATGTTTTATCTTAGTTAGATACAAGTACTGCCTTGTAACAGCTTTCAACAGCCTTCAAAATAGAAAATAGCATATTCTGTCATGGAGGAACTTGACAGTTTTTTGGTTTGTGCAGTGATTATAGACATATGTGCTATAATCCCAGAGCATGTAGATTCTGAAACAAAGACCCTTCCCAACAGTCCAAGTGAAGCATACAAAGGGCTCTTTTTTCCTCTAATTACAAGAGGATTAAGAAGCCTTTCAGTGTTATATTACACAGGCTGACACACACAGAGCCTGCACTTGGGGAGCAAACTTCATTGTGGTACTGAAACAGATCCCTCTCTGACAATGCTTCAGAGTGGCTAAGGCCCCAAGGGCAATGGACTAGCAGAGAGGGACTGGAAAATATAGCAGTGTGACTGGCATCTCTGCTTAGCCCACATGACCAAAATCCTTCAGTACGCAAACAGTCAAGATACACCAAGCAGATCTCACAATCTGTGTCTCTTTAGTCTGAGAACACAAGATAGTTACCTGCTCCTTCAAGTAGCACAGTCGGTCCAGCAGGATGAGACCTTCAATGCAGGGAGCTAATGTCACTTTCAGCTAAAAGAGAAAACAACAGTGTCATGCTGAATCAAAAATAGCTCCATGGATAGTTTTCCACCATGATACACAGTATTATCTACAGCTAATGTAGTCTTATATGTATGCTTTAGGCTGACTTTACACTGTGAAACTTTCATGCAACTAGTTGCATGTTGTGAGTTGCATGCAACTTCATGGTTACATGAAACAATTCAAAACAAAGTTGCACGCAACCCATTTCATTACTTCACTACTTAGCCATAGTAGTGATATCGTTACGCTATATTAAGTTATCTGTGATTTGTTACTTCCATTTGCATATTTAATATGTAATATAATTTTTGCAGCCATCTTTGCTGTTTTTTTTTTCTATCAGCTCTTTGTATGTTAACTCTTTGAAACTGTTTTAAATGCTATTTTGGTTGCACTTTGTATGATGTCTCGCTTATCCTGTCCTAGAAGTTTCTAGAGGAACAAACCACATTTGCCCATTATGTAATCATTTTCATCTTTTGGAACTCAAAAAAATCTGAGCTTTATGTGAAATTAGGCGGAACAAGCAGCCATTTAGACAGCTGTTAGCATTAGCTGGCTTGTTAATGCAGCTGGTTACAGAAACGCTAGCTTTGAGAAATTTGTTTGTTCGTTGTCATGGCTCAGGAAACTGACAAAATGAAGAACTACCAACTCTGTACAAAGTCGATCAGGGTCTCATTTTCAACTGCCCAACAAATCATCTTCTGTTTCATTTTTTTGGCCACTGATCCAGTGAAATCAATTGTTTGAAATGATGTCATTCGATATGATTGCATTAAGTGTTTTATACATTTTGATTGGCTGTTTCATAAAACTGGTTGCATGTGACACTTGCAACTGCTGCAGCTGAGCTTCAAATAAGTAGCAAGGCGCTTTACAATATGCAACTCAAGTGCAATTCAGTTTCATCAGGGGTTAACTAGGACCTGGAGCTGAGCTCCAGTACTCTAAAATTATAGACATGTAAATCATTTCCAATAAGGTCTTCATGAAACTGGGGTTTAAATTAAAGTTAGTATTCAGCCTGTATGTTATGCCCTGTCAACTTATTATTTGAAGTTCAAATAACTCAAAACTTTAAGGCAACCCGAACGCTAACTTTTTCAAGTTAAAATTCTTTTAACAGTACAGTTTCAATGAACGTCGCATTATACGGATTATACGCCGCATTATGCTTATGTCAGATGAGGGGGGCATCACTGTTTGCTATAGTTCCAAAACAGACAAACAAAGGTTACTAAAACAGCCAACTAAGTCAATAAATTGACTTGAGAAACAGAAACACACAGGCTATTAGTCTTAATTATATTCTCATGATGTCAATGCTAAAAACTCTCAGAATTATTCCCACGTTGGTGACATCCATGGAAAAAATAGGGCTCCCTCAACTCTGAAGACACAATTTATCCCCCTGGTGTTACTTTTACTCCAGCAAATTAACTGCTGATATTTAGGGACAGTTTTCCAAACCAAGATTAAACATAAAGCTACACTAAAAATGCTTTACACTGGTGAATCAGTACTGAGTAGAGATGGTACTAATCAAATACTGAGTAGTGGGATTGGGCAGATACCAGTAGAAAATGCTGGATCAGATGTTGGAAGAAAAAAAGAGCAAACCTGATGTGATTTTGTAACAAATTTAGACTAAAATAAAACAATGCTAGTAGCTCTGCATTAAGCAAAGTGAAGCACACAGCCACATAGAGCCTAATTTTAATTTAAAAATTTAACCTGCTAAGTATTATATCAGAATTACGACTCTTCTATTTTACATCGTCTTTTGCATCGTCAAAATTAAAAAACAGAAAAGATGTGCTTTTGTGCAAGACATCTTGTTGGCTATGTATTTGTTTCTGTAGGTTAGCAGAGTGTTTGTTTGAGGAGTGTTAGAGGTATTTAAGAATAAAGTATTTTAAATGAAAACGGCTCATTTTAAAACCTAGTAAATGTCAGATCAAGATCAGCCAATATTCACAAAGCCTTTTTACATTAACATGTTTTTTATCTCTGGATCATATCTGAATATACTTTGGCTAGATCCCATTTACCCTTTTTTAACTAAAATGCATTTGATGAGATTCAGTTTTGCTTTTCCCAACGTTAAAAGCACGTCCACACATTCGTCGCTCCTGTTTTACTTCTGTTTAATTTTTCCTTGTTATAATGCGAATCGACAAGCTCAGCTTGGGCATTTTCATCAGTCGAAAATGCAAGAAGGCTCTTGGTTTGTGGCTAACTTCAGCCTCATCTACCCTCCATCTTCCATTTCACTGTTTATTCTTGCACCTGCTAGTCAGCACATGGCAGACCCTTTTTCTGCTCATGTAACTGTGTATGGACAACCAAAATGCACCGTTTACATTTGTGTTAAATGCTTTCAAGATGCGTCTCGGACCAGCACCGAATGTGGAGTGATCCAGTCGTAATCTGAACATAATGCATCCTGGAGGTGTTTACACCTGGCTTTTCATGCACTCGAGTGAGATCTGAGTGTGATCTGATCACCAAAAACGCATGTTGCTGCAAGGTGGATTATATCAGCATGGAGTCCAGGACTAGACTTAACCCATATCGAGAAAACTGACCTACAGAGTTTTGTTATTACGCCTAATTCTGGAACAAATCGCTTGTTCCATATCCTCTGCAGTGAAACAGAGGGAGTCTAATATATTCGCATTCAGCTTAGACTGAGCATGCTGAAAAGGGGCTCACCATGTTGAATGCCACCATCTCACTCATCCTAGGGCTGTACAGATCATGGTAGCTCTGGATCACACTGTCGGAAAGCTGGAGAAAAAAAGGAGGAAGAACATGGTAGAGATGAGAAGACAGGAGGATACCTGAGTCTAAGACAAGCAAGAGACTCTGTTCTCAAAGTACAGTTGAGAAAATGACAAGAGATCATTATAAATCTGTCACAGAGGATTAGGATGTGAAACATACAGCAAATCCCTGCACTCACTGGTTGTTTAATGATGCCTTATCCATCGCATGTAGCTCTATAGGCTAATGCTCTCCTAAATGTGGACACACTAAAGCGAGTTTACATAATGAGTCCTACTACAGTGTCAGAGGCAATTGTGCAGTCAGTGCGAGAGCTCATTAAGGGTAACCTGAAGTGTTCAGTTTAGTGTAAAATAAACTAGGATTATCACATAATCCCTGTCATAATATGATACTCTGAAAGAAGTAATGCACTGAATTTATTTGAAGAAACAAGACTGGATAAGGCTAGTTTTACTGGACGGCCATCAGCTGCATGGCATTTCTCACACAAGTGTCTATGATACAGGACACAGGACATGACACAGGATATCGTCGCTGTCCAAAAAACTAAAGTATCTTCATTTTGTTTGATTATTTTATTTTTTTTTTTTTACATCATTTGAACACAGCAGCTGCTCTGAGTGGACCAACTGAAATGCTCCAAAATTACTTTGAATAAAATCTCTTTGCATTAATTTACAGTAAAAGTTGAGATTGAGTTTTTTTAAAAGTCACCAGTTGGAGATACTTGTGGAGAAATGATAGATTTTGATGTATTTTTAGAATAATCACAAGTTACATTTATTTGTCAATGTAACGTTAGCTAGTTTGATTTTTACAATGTTTAATACTGTTCAAGCAAATCAAATAATTTTCATTTAAACAATACAACAGGACTCTTATTATGATAACAGTGGTGCTCAAGGCACTATGTTATGCAATTGTCTAGAAATTTCTCTGATCCAGTGGTGGAAAAGGAGATAACCTTCTGTTCTGCATTAATTTGCTTGATAATTAATGACATGGTATGTCTACTCTTATGCCAGCAATGAATCCATGAAGACAGAATTAGCCAGCTGTCCAGCTAGGCCTAAATTTTCACAACAGACTATTGTTAGCAAAGTATCATGTGTAGAGTCAAGCAAAACGTACATTTGCTCTTGAAAGTGTAAAAATATAAGCAAAAACTTAAATGTCACTTTACAGAGTGGTGATTCTAAAAAAGGAGTCAACATATCAAAATATTTTCCAGTTCTTGTGCACTTGTTGGTCATGTACTATTGGTTGATGACTGCATTTTCACCTTGTTACAGGAACAGTTAAAAATATCTAATTATGGCTGCTTATACAGCATGATAAAAGAAAAAACAGTCCAACTGTACCCACCACTGTGTGTTAAGTTTTTAAAAGATACAAGATGCATCTGTTATATTAGAGTTATATTGATAGTATGGGGAGTGTATGAGGGCAACACTTGAGCGTGCATGTTTCAACAATGGACGTCAGTTGCTCATTTAGTCACTGACTGGCTAACTGTGGTCATAGATTGTCTAGAAAATACATCAACATAATTTTGTCTTTGTTCAATTACTTTTTTCAAAAGCTGAGCTGATGTATTTTATGTCTTGTGTATTTTATTCCTGTGGAAATTAAGTATACATTTGAATAATGCATTACTTTCCTTTCCAGGAAGCAGACTCAGACCAAACCAGAAGACTTTGGTGTCTTATGACTTTGGTGTCAGTACAAAGGAGAGGAAAAAACAGTTTCCTGTCCTTTGCAATTTCAGCGTCACCATCCCTCACCTTTGATTCATCCAGGTCCAGTTTCCTGAGTGCTCTTCTCACGTAGTCCACGAACGAGGACGCTTTAGAATAAACATTTCCGACACGCTTCTCACTGCAGAAAAGAACAACAGCAGCCTCATTGAAAGAGGTATAAAATAACCTTGTTTACAAATTGATTTCATAACAAGTCATTAATGGCTGCAATATGGTTACACACTGAGTACAAAAGGAGACGACGCAAAACTCAATGCCTCAGGTCTATTTTCAGCTTCACAGCTTGCAACCATAAGCATCAGTCAACACTAATTTAGGGCTCAAGCTGTGCTGTGAGGTCAGCATCAAATAGCCGGAATACTTCAGTGCTCCAAAAGATTTACTGCTTATTGCTAAATATTTGGATAGATTGAATGACCATCTAATGATCACTGGGGAAAAAAAGTAACACAAATGCAAACTGGAAAATAATGCATACATAGATCCATATACACTGAGAATGTTGGTCCAAAGTTGTCACCGTTACACAGTGTATAGTGTATACTAATTCTGTTATATAGCCTGTGTTATATAAGCGCACAAATGTTTCAAAGTTGAATGAACCTCCACATAATGTAAAGCACCACATGTCCAAGGCAAGAACTAGACATTTTGCATATGTATGTATATATGTAGTAATAGTCAAAATGTTTGGGCACAAATAGAAGTGTTTTCCTTATTTTCACTATTTTACACATTTTATAATAGTACAGAATGTATACAAAACGTGAAATAACAAAAATGGAATTATTCGGAGACAAAATACAAACTATGAGAGACGAACTTGAACATTCTTTCATTCATTGGCAATCTCTCAGCCAGCTTCATGAGGAGCCCCCTGAGAGGATTCCAACAGGACTGAGGAAGTAACACATATGCTGAGACTTTGTTGTTTAAATAAATAAATAAATAAATAAATAAATACACAAAAATATACACATAAACAAAAATATTTGTTGAGGGAATACAAAACTACAGTACTGTGCAAAGGTCAGAGACCATCCTTCGTGTATTCAATTTCCAGTCAAAACAGCCATTAAGCAATCAAATTTATTCATTTTTCAGCATCAGGGAAGCAAAAATAGAATATTATTTAGCAGAAGATATATTATATATATATATATATATATAATATTATATATATATATTATATATATATATATATAGTCAGTACTTAGTGTGTCAATCCTTTGTTTCCATTTATTTAAGGAGACTTGCTCTCAGTTTTTTAAAGAAACCTGCAAGGATATTTTCCCACACCCCCAAAGTTCAGTCTTAGAAGTTGGTTGCATTTCCTGCTTCTCACAATCCAAAAAATCTCAGGGGTGGTCAATCCATTGTTCTGAAAACAACAGCAGCTTCTTTATTTGATACACAAATGTTCTTCTTTTTGGCCCTCTTTGTTGTCTTCTCACAGTGGAAGGATGGACAGAAACATGAGTAGACTTTTTAGCACTGAAACAAGAGGGCTTGTTTTTCTCCTCTCTCTCAAAGATGAAAGCTTTAAGCACTGTTTATCTGATGATGACAGAAAAAGGATAATTTGGCTTAATGGCCATTTTGATTGGAAATGAAATCAATGAATATATATATATATATATATATATATATATATATATATATATATATATATATATATATATATGTGTGTGTGTGTACATATACATATATATACATATATATATATATATATATATACACACACACACACACACACACGTTCATTCATGTTTTAAATGTAAATGTACATTTTTTGTTTTGCAAATAACATCATACAAGTCACCAATTTCACTACCTATATTTGCCTTAGAAACAAATTTTGCCTTCAGATCAAAGTGTGTACGTATAACTGTCCGTTGATATTAAACATTTGTGTCATTTCCAAGTAGTAAACGTAATATGATAATATTATTACATACATAAATAAAATGCATTCTAATAGGTACCTCTTATGAGCATCATAGTGATCCCGTAGAATAACATGAAGGACTGCCCTGTAGAAGAGTGATTCCATAGGAAGCTGTGACAGACAGGTGAAAAAGACTATCAGACCACATTTGACATGGAACTACTCAAATAATTACGCATTTCAATTATTCTCACATGTTTAAACGTTCACATCTGTTTAGGATCATTTTAAAGGTGTCTCCCATAAAGATGATTTCCTTCAGACATTACTTCACTGAAAGCCCTTGACCAGCTTCATCCTACTTTGCGGATGTGTCCAAATCAGATCATGCAGCATTTCTCCATGACCATTATGAGAAATGGAGATATTCAAAACATACACACACAAATACAGATGTGTATGCATATGTGCACCCAGATAACAATGCAGAAAGACAGAACACGCAAACTGTTCTGGCTCTGTGCCTCTGTTTACTATCAAAAACAAGAAAATATCATGTAAAGAGCAAACCATATCAGCTCATCTAATCACAGAGAAACATTCATATTCCTCCCTCCTAAAATGGCAGGATTGGTATTCAGCATGGCCTCCATATCGCTGTCAGCTGTACAAACAGCTCTTGCACAAAATCTCTCTCTATATGCAAATCCAGGATGTTGAATGGAGGCATGAATATGACTTAATCATTCACTCACCCCTCCTCCGACTGACACCCTCTCCAGAGCCTATGAAGAACAGCAGGAAGAATAATGAGGAGCTGGAGACTGACTTTGACACCTCAGCACTGTCATATTATGTCAACTATGTCAACCTCAAGGACAATTACATCGGCCCATATGTAACACAATTGAAACCTCATACTAAAGTTTAAGCCAACAGTCTCATTTGTGTTTTTCCTTACCAGACATGCCGACATCCTGGCGTTTCTCCCACAGAAGCACGCTTGCTCTCTCAGATACTGACTCATGGGAAACCCAAACACAGCAGTCTCACAATCTGCTCAAGAAAAATAGAAAATGTGAAAAATAGCATTAATAACCAAGCTGTGACGAAAGCTGTGCTGAAATAAAGCAATAAGCTATAAGAGGCCATGAGTTACAGTGATTTTACCATGGTTAAGCGGTGATGTTCAGCACAAGTGAAGCCCAGTCCACTTGACTGTGGTAAAATCCCTGCAATGCATGGCTTTGAGCGTCTTACTGCTTTTATGAAACAGTGGCAAAATACAATAGGATAAAATACACCTATGTACAATGAATATTTTTAATATTTAATATTTTAATATTTTTAATATTATTTCAAGAGCAGCACAACAGCCTTTATATACCCATTTTATCTAATTAAAAAAATGTTCAAAATCTTTTAAAAGATACAGAGAAATGGATCTAATAACCATGCAAAACCTGGTAGTCCATCAAACCTGACACCTTCAGATAAATGGCATTTAAAGCTTTTATCTTTGGGAGAGAGGAGACAACCCACAGGTGTGTCCATCCTTCCACTGTGAGACAACTCAATGCTATGAGTCTGAAAGGATGTGTAGCTGTCAAGAAGCCTCACTGAGAAAAGGAAATAGACAAAAAAAAACAAAAAAAGACGCAAACAAAGAAACAAAGAAGCTGCTGGTGTTCACAGAACACTGGGCTGACCACCCCAAAGTCCAAACCTTAACATCATTGAATGCGTTTGGAATTACTTGGATGGCGAAAATGCATTTTCATTATACACAATACGAATGATCATATTTCATTTTGACAAGTAAAAATGCAACAATAATGGTGCATTTTTAAAACTGCTAACAAAAACAAAAAAAAAAACATTTAAGATTTTGCATAGTATGCTGCATTACATTCAATTAAATAGGACAAGTTATGCTCCTTTTATAATGAAATATGCAGTTGGTCAGGGCTCCTCAAGAACTGCCGATATCCACAATACACTCAAAAAAGTAATTAATCTCAATAAAAGTAAAATATCATATTGCACACTGCTACTAAAAACTGTAATGAAGTGTAACAAACTGAAAGCTGTAATGAAGGCAAAGGGTGGACACACTAAGTACTTAAACGTTTTAATAATATATTTATATAAGGCTATATAAAGCTTCTATGTAATTTAACATGCTTTTTAGTTGTTTCATGACATTGAAAATGAATTACGAATGAAAATGAATAATAGTTAATGGCCATTTTGACTAGAAATGAAGTAAAAAGAGTCTCTGCCTTTTGCGTGGTACTAACAACATTGTGCATGATATGTACGGTGATTTCACAATGGCATTGAATGTGGCTCTGCCAATCAGATTTCAGAAGTGAAACAATCCGTTTTATAATGCAAGCTAGATCACGATTGCTTCACTGCCTCAAGAACGGCCACTGCAGTGGAGCGCAAGCCTGCGCACCACATGTTCTAGTCAGGCTGCCAGTCAAAAGAGCTTGGGCTGGAGTGTTTAGGCCTTATTCCTAATGCAACAAAAGCTCTGTTTACACCAGCCACCATGCTAATCCAAACCCTGCCAGGCTGAACAAGAGCCAGAGCCAAGCACAAACCCAGAGTGTGTGAAAGAGTGTGTGTATGTGTGCGTGGGGTAATAGGGTGTGTGAAAGTTGTGCGTCATGCTTAGCAGGACACAAACACCAGTGCTTTTACTTGGACTCGATAGCGTGCGAGTTTCTCACACTCTGTAGGGACACACGGTCGCTGTGGGGCCTGAAGTTGGATTCTCTCCAACATGCTTGTGTGTGTATTTGTCCACTGACCATCACGTCATCATACAACACTTTCAATTATGTGAAAATCTGGTTACAAGTTGACTCAAAAGGGGCTTCTTGAGGTTGGAAATGAGAGAGGAATCTGAGCTGAAACTAATACCAGTGGCTTGTTGCTCTGGAACAGCCTCATTAATTCTGTTTGAGTCTCTTCTGTTGTTGCTGTTGGCTCTTCTCAGGAGGAGCGACTCTGCTCTGATTGGGGGTAAGTGGTGTTAGCGTGGATGAGGCTGCTGTACTCCTCTCAGAAAAGGACGGCTTTACTAAAAGCTCTCATGTCACTGTTATTCTGTGACTCAGAAGCAAACAGAAGGGGATGCTTGGCCAGACACAGATGAATCCTAATCCAGGACTAACCAATTGGGAATGCCAATTAAGGGTGGGTGATGCAGCAAAAACATATATCGTGATACTTTATCACAATATTTTGTTTTCTCAGTTAGAATGGACAAAAAGCACCATCAGAAACAGAAAAAAATCCTACACTTAGAATTTACAATAATCATTTTCAAAAATAAACTAAGAAGGAATGTGGAGAAATTAAACAGCTGGTAAAAAAGAAGTGGCTAAAATCAGACAATAGTGTACTACACTAGCATACAATCAGCTACTTATTACTATGCAGTTTATGCAGTTGCTATACATTGCTTGTTGTTCATAGGCTCTCTATAACGGGTCTAAGTAGGGGTTTCATTTCTATGTATCTTTTGCATACATGGTGCTTTTTCCACATTGTTTTCAATGACGGAGATGTGTTTTGCATGCTGATTTTGCACGCTGGGTGCCTCACATTATAGGGGCTGTTCAGACGATGCCTTTACAAACTCTCTCAAGCGTGCTTCTTTTCACTGAAAGAGTTTACTGAAAGAGTTCTATATTTTTTATTATATATGTCAGTTGTTTAAATGTTTATCAACCATCTTCCACATTCTCTCAAATCAGTTGCATGCATTAATCAAGCGCATTAACGCAGCCCTCAGAATCGATCACTGCTTCTTTTTAAGAATGAGACACATCCCCTCATGCACCCTGCACAGCTGTGCTCAAGTAACCTGAGTCTAAAGCATTTTTTTCTATACTGACCAATCAGTTTAAAAGTAAGAGGCCTTCAGTAACAGCTGTAATGGGGGAGGGACACCAATACGTAAAAAAAAGAATCATAAAATATGACATGAAATAAAAAAAGTTTTATTTTAGTTTACCCTGTTTTTTGCTAGCAGCATCACACTTGCTGGTTTAGAGCAGTAGTTAAACGTTGCGCCTGGACATTTAGAAATTACAGAAAGGTAGCACTGCTGATTGACAGTTACGATACTGCTGTTGTTTATTAACAGGGAGACGATGAGCAGCATTAAAAAATTTGCAGTGAGTGAACCTCCAAAAGGATAAAGTCTGTGCAGTGCACCTCACATTTTACCGCCGTCTGAACCCTTCCTAACTCTCAACAGTTGGTCTTGATAATAAATGCACTTGTTTTGTGGTCTAGAAGTATTGATAATACTTGGGATACAGAAAAGTATACTGTGATATAATTTATTACAATAATAATAATTTATTAATATATTGCTCTCCCTTACAATCAGTGCAGCATTGAATTGGGAATCGCAATTAGTAATTAGTAGTATCCTTCCAAAAATGCACTGCATGTTGGAGAACTACTGAGAAGAACTTTTAAGTCTTCCATCAGGCTTTTCACCATGTTATATTATACCTTGGTATTACTCCGGTTTCGATCTAATGATATTCTATAATGTTATGAGAACATTTTACTGGGTAAACAGAAACGAATATCTTCACGTGCTCCATTGGAAAGGGCTTGACCTTATCCACTGCAATTACAGGGTCAGATACATCACCTTTCTGCTCATAAAATGCTATTTAGATTCTATAGGTCTGCTTTCCTTTCCCTAAGTGATTTTGAAGGGAGCACCTTTTTTGGCGGTCCACCAGTAAGGTCTGGTATTTCTATTGCCTGTCACATGTAATGTATTGACCCCTTTAAGGGTGCTTATACTTCTTTGCTTGGCTGGGAAAATAAGTAATAATCCCTCCCCCACGGTCTAGCGGAAAGTGACAAATGAGCCACTGGTCTGGGACAGACTCATAAAGCATACGAGAGCACTGCTGAACGGCCTCGACTGTCGACTCTCTCCAAGTCCCCACTGAGTGACTCTGTGTGTGCGTGTGTGCATGTGTCAGAAACCATATGTTCCCTCGGGGCTTGCTGGAAGTCTTTTGGGGAGGTGCCATGCTGAGAGAGATATGTGATATCGAGGCTCTGTGTTGGCAGTGGACTGAACTGGGCTTTAAAATGCATTACATGGAGGGAAGAAACACACAGCCACACATGTGGGTTTTCCATCCACCTATTTTTGGAAATATTGAAAAAGTGCAAAGAGAAACCTGGATGGAAAAGCCAGAAATAAAAAAAAGTGCAAAAGTGTTTGCTTGGATAGGGCTTAACGATTTGTGGAAAAAATCTAATTGTGATTTTTCTGACCAATACTGATTTAAAATGTGATTATTTTCTTGAAATTAAACTCCAAGCTTGTTCTTTTTGCCAGGAGGACTAGCACATTGACTTTGTCATGAAAGCTGAATGTAATGTGCAAGAATGACAGTTCATAAGCTCTACATTATTAGGTTATATTGTGTAGAGTATAATTAAAATAGCAGCTCTTGTAGTTTAAAAACTGCACTCCTCTGAAGTGCAATTTTGACCTTCACGATTCATCATTCAGCCCTATGCTTGAATGACATGAGAAAGTTGGTTTATCAATAAAAGAGAAATGGGAAAAATGATGATGGATTTTTCAAACGAGTGATGACATAGTGGGAACAAAAGTCACATGTTTGGCACTATGTCCAATTAAAACTGCAGCTGTGACGTTCACAGTGGTTCGGTAGGCGGCAGTGAAGAGGGACACCAACTTCAGGTCTCATTAAAGAGGCTAATAAAGGTTCAAATCCTTCCGTTGTACGCCATGTTACACATAACCACAGCTGATAGAAATCATGATTGATTCGTATTTTCTTTTACTGACAAAAAATTGTGAAATGCTTGAACAGAAATCCAACCACTGAACGTCTACACATACTCAAGTCCGTTCACATTACCAGGCTGAAGGCTTTGCTCTCACAGGAAACTCAAATCCAATTTTTGGGCACTACCAACTTAAGCAAGAAAGATTTTCTCCAGTCTAAACAGAAAAAATAAAATAAAATAAATAAATGAATTAATTAAATAAAATAAAAATAATAAATAGATCAAATCCAACACTTTCTTCAGTCGGATTCAAGTCACATTTGTACAACCAATTTGATCATAAAGATTTAATGCTCTTCCGTCATTCGGTGCACGGCACTGTCAGAATATACGACATGAAAATCACATTTTTACCTGCCCTGCCTAGGTCAGCATATCTATGCATGCATTGTTACTGCGACAACGAATGTGGACTGGTTGAAACTACAGCCTAACCACACAGATCAGCTTTAGTCCTCTGTAGCATCTGAGAACAAAGTTGAAGTGGCATAAATCTGATTTTTTTGAGCTGTATGAGCATAAAAATTTAATCAGATTTAAGCCACTTTTATATATAGTACTAGATCAGATACATATCTGATATGTAACCATGCAACTGTATGAACAGTCACATGAGACTGATTTTTTTTCACGTTTTGTGTATGCACACATCATTGTCATCATCAGCTTCAGAAGCAACCTGATAACTAAATGTGCACACGTGGGTCCTTTCAGGACATATGACTCGCTTAAAAACATATGTGCACTGTCAAGGCAAAATGATCTGATCTGAGCACATAAATAATCAGAACTGAGAAGTAAGGCCTGTAAAGTGAACATATCACTGCTGTCGGAACAAAACCTTGTATCTCCAAAATGGTAACTTTACATGAGAAGGAAAAAACATACTTTACTTCTAATGTAAGTATGGAACCAGAATTTTCAAATTATGTCAAAAACTGAAAAACGACAAAAATGGAAATACGAGGTTTTGGACTGACAGCAGCGATATGAAAAGTCCTACTTCATACATGCAGCTAGCACCATTTCAATGGGGGAAAAAAAACCTTAATGTGACACATCTATTCCCCAACGATTTCAGCAATTAAACATCACTGTAGCCTTCTTGGCCAGCTAAGATGATGTGTCCCTCATTATTACTTAATCTGTGGTGAAAGTGACTCAGCTCCTGCAGTAACTTTGAGGGTCTTTTATAGAAAACAGCCATGGGTGTGTGTTGAGGGGCTGGGCGTGCACTCACCCTGCCCGCCCTGATCAAACTGCTCAGACAGGAGGTGGTAGCAGCAGCCTACGCTGCAAACAGCCTGAAGCTCCGGCTTGGCCACGAACATTCGCAGAGTGCTGGGAGCCAGGTCTCCGCATGTATGCAGGCCAACCATGACCGCATCCTGAGACAGAGAGACAGAGAGAGAGGAAGAGAGAGAGAAAAAGTAGAGTATAATTTGGTGAAATCTCTCTGGCAGCACAGAGCATAATGTAAGCATCCACTTAGTCTCTGACAAACTGCTGCCATTGATCATGCTCATCATACGTCACAATGGAAACATCTCATGCACCAACAATGCCATTCCTAATCCTAAGCCTAATTTCCCATAATCAACATAATTAACATGATTAGAATAATTACTGCGATCGTGCTGTCACGTCAGGGGAATGAAGCAGCTTCAAGCTGCTCTCTATTAGAACCCCATGGCTGCTGCGCTCTCATATTACACTTGTAGCCTAGTTAAATGAGTGATGTACATGCGCAGCCAAGACTCATAAGAATACATTCAATACATTACTTCAAATTAACCCTCTTAGAAAAGAAAATAAACACTAGAAGTGACTCTGCACAAAAAAATGTAATACAGAAGTGACCAGTCTGACAGATCATGATGTGTATATTAGCCTTAGAATCTTAAGTTTTATTAAGAGCAAACATCTCATCAGGGCTCAACCAAATTACTGCGTGGTCAAGAAAACTGGCCGATGCTTAGACCCAACAGATTTAATGACATTCCCAGTGAAATCTCAACAATAAAGTGTGGATAATATCTCTCTAAATCAGGGGTGAACTCCGGTCCCGGAGTGTCGGTGTCCAGCACAGTTTGGAGGTTTCCCTAGTCAAAACACTCCCACTAACCCTGGCCATTAACACATAAGTGTAATCAGGTGTGTTCAAGTAAACACTTAAAAATGATAGTTCTGCAAGGGTTCTTTACTAAAGAAGATGGTTCTATATAGAACCATGAACACTCTTTCCATGAATAAAAGGGGAATGTGTTGAATATGGTTCTATTTAGAACCTTTATAACACCAAAAAAGGTTCTTTACTTGTTACAGTGTCAAGCTTGTAATAATAGAAGAACCCTTTTTTGATGCTAGATAGACCCCTTTTCAAAAAGAGTCATTATTATTGAACGATTTTCTTTACTAAAGAACCCTTGTAGAACCACGTATAGGTGAAACATCGAGCTGTGCTGCATGCCTGTCCTCCAGGACCGGAGTTGGCACCCCTGCTTTAAATATTTTATAATAAAACCACATTCAAGTATGTGTCACTGTGTAGAACAATCAAACATGGCCTACAGCTCCACGCTAAGAGAACTCATATTTCAGAGTTCAGCACTGTGAGAGCTGATACCATTTAACTCTTTTAAGGTCTTCATTTTTAAGGTTACGCTTTAAGGTTAATCTTAAGCAGCTTGCTTTTACCTTTGCATTGTTATAGTTTGTGAATAGACCAAAAACTGACATACAGGGTATATAAAGTAACAGAAGCATCACATGAAATACTCATACTTACTGGGTGTTTGATCAAAAACACCTTCCATATACAGTGGTGTGCAAAACTTTGGGTGGCCCTGGTCAAATGATGTTTTGTTGGTTTTCTAAGTGAAAATAAGTTTTTACATTCACACATACATACATTTTAATACACAACTACTATTGATTTGCTAAACATATTGGGAAAAAAACATAAATGTGGCTTGTGCAAAAGTTATAACACATTTTACATTTTATGTTTTTTTGTTCAATATGTTAAATTCAGCAAATAAACATTAATTGTGCACTAAAATGAGCAAAAAACGGCATATTTAAGTTTGTTCCCTGTAGAGCATGTGTTTGCAATTTGACTAGGGGTGTCTTTTGCATACAACTGTATGTGCACTTTGTAGGCTTACAATTACTGACTGTAGCTGCAAAATTTGTTAGCCCCTTTTACCATGTCTGTCAAATTAAACAGACCACCATAGGACCACCACTGACCAGATATTATTTGAGTGATGGGCCTTTCTTAGCAAAGCAGTGACACTGACATGATACAAGTGTGTCAAGCACAGCAGTGTTGCTGGAGTTTTACACACATCAGTATCAGTGCCGGGATGGCAATAGTCCACCAAACAAAAAGACACCCAGCCCACAGTGGTCCTGTGGTCAGAATCTGCCCACTGAAGAGGGGCTAGAGGATGACTGACACAAATGGAGTGTGGAAAATCAGAGTTACACTCTCTAACTGTACACCTACAAATGAACCAAGGTGTTTCTAATAAAGTGACCAGTAAGTGCATACAGTGTTCAAAAACTCCAGCAACACCACTATTCCTGATACACTCGGACCAAACAACACTAGCATCCAGACACTGCCTACTTCCCAGTGCCCACATTTGGTTTTCAATTCTAAACAAAATCGAGTCTCTTGACCAAGTGGTCACTTCCCTTGGAGAAACTTTCCCTTTTAATAAACCTGTTTGGCTGGACGAGCTGTTCGAGCTGACCTGCGTGGCCTCATAGATGCTGTTCCATCGGCTGATGTTTGCTAATATCACTCTATGAAACATGGTTTTACATATAATAAGGTGCTAAATAAGCTGTTATTGCACCAAGAGGCTTTTCCTGCAGTACACAATAACGACCAACGACCAAACCTACACTGGACGACGTCAGGGCAGACCAGATTAGCAGGTGGAACACAACGGTCACAAAAATAGCAATGTTCTTATTAAAATAAAGTTTTTCATTTTACAGACATTTGGTACTAAAGCATGCTTATTAATTGTAAATACAATGCGCATGCAATAAACATGTTTCCATAATTCTGGCCACAAGATTCATTAGCTCAGTGGGCCGAGTGGCTAGTGCAAAATTTCTATTATATGCCAAGACCATGTTAATGTCAATGCTGTCCTGAGAATGGTCAACCATCCAATTAATATCTGGTCAGTAATAGTCCTTTTCCAACAATGGACAGGATAGAGGGGAGCTGAGAAACTGCAGTAAAAGATTAGCTACTGTCTATAATTGTAAAACTAGAAGGTGAACCTATATGGTAGATGTTTCTGATAAAACGACCAGTAAGTATAAGTATTTCATATGGTGTTTCTGTTATTTTGGACACCCCCGCGCATGACAAGTGGCAACAATCGTACTACTTACTAATGCATAAAAACTACTGCCATCAAACTGGTGTAGTATTCCTGGCCCCTCACCTCTAGTTCTGAAATCAGTGTCCTGAGCTCTGTTTCTGCTGTAACATAGGAAGTCAAAGGTGAGAAGAGGTTGCTGTTGTCAGTGTTTCCTCTCCCATTCCGTGCCTTCCTCTCAAGGTTATCCCTCTTCCTCCTCTCCCTCTCCTCCAGGCTCAGCTGGCTGGGGGGAACACGGCGGGTGGCCTGCTCCATGATGTCAGGAGACAAGGCAGTGAAGAAAGTCTCCTCTGAATCAGCATCTGCTGAGTCCAGTGCACAGTCTCTACGTCCATTTGTGATTGAGAGAACATTAACGGCTGGTTCCGCTGATGCACCATACTGGACTTCAGCCATATGACTCTCAACATCAGTGCTAGCGTGGTTTTCCACCTGTTCAGTGCTCCTCTCTTTTTCACTGTCCTCCACAGCTGTCCCTTCATGTTCTGTAGGAGCTCTGTGCCACTGATTGGCTCTCTCTTCTTCTTCATCTCTACTGCTTGTGTCTTCGGGTGAGACTTCTTGGTTACTCTTGACCTTGCTGTGTCTTTGATAGGCTCTAGAAAACTTCTTGAGTTTCCTGTTCCTCTCCTGAGCACCATGTGTATTAACACTGGAACAGTCAATGCCAAACACCTGCAGGTCATACTGCAAAGTGAGGAATGAGCACAGGTAACCTTTACCTGAGCCCACATCTATAACCTGAGAGAGAGAGAGAGAGAGAGAGAGAGAACAGCACAGCTGGTGAGAACAACATCTAAAACCATCATTAACCCTTTAAAATGCAAGAGCCTCACTTTCATAACTACATAACTTGTATATTAATTCTAAAGTATCTACTGAAAAATGTATAGAAGTCACTAAAAATAAGTCTTAAGATCAAAAACAATACAAGATCGAAAGGTTCCTGTGATTGTGACAGCAGTATGAGATGCTTCTTACTTGTTTGACTCTGCAGCATTTGGCCAGACTGGCCACAACTTCAGACATAGCTGGCACCTCATGGGCCTTCTTAGAGTTCATGAACTCATCAGGGAACAGAGCTCCATCAGAGATCCCATCTGAAACAAATACACAACTGAGAAACAGTCTAATCTAGCAAATAATAGATATTACAAATGTTTGTTACAGGATAAACAGTCACCATGCTGACCTTGGGCATCTGCAGACATCACTCTCAGAGTGTCCATCACTGCCTCACGCTGCACACACACCCCAAGTCCTGGTAGTGAGTGGGTTTTAGCTGCCCTCAGCAGAGCTTCTACATCCACCAGCTTCTTTGTGGCATCACAGAACCCAAAGCTGATGTTTTCATTCACTGCAAAAAAGGACTGTCTTACATAAATACAAGAAAGGGAAGTTTGCAGCATAAATTATATAGTTATGGTACTGAACTCTGCCTACTTTATATTGTACTACTGTAGATTGGCAGATCACAGCCAACCCTTAGGGTCCATGTTTCATAGAACAGTGGCTGCATCTCAAATAACTTCATACTTTCTACACAGTGCACTACACTGACTTCTACATCAAAACAGTCCACTTTATAAAAATAATCGTTTTACAGCACCATTCATACTAAGAACCAGCTCAAAGATCAAAGTGCTTCACAAAAGAAAAATAATACATAATGACATAAGAGACATAAAAACATAAGACAGCAATAGTGATTAAAAAAAGACAAGAACACACAAAAACGATAAAGTTAAAAAAGTAACTAAAGCAGTGAAAACAAAACAGCAATTTAAAATATTCATTTAAATAATAATCACAAAAGAAAGGATAAGAAGAAATTGTTAAAAAAATAAGTGGAGATGCCAATTATAACTCATATTAGAGAATCTCCGGTGTCCGTTTTATCGGTTCCACTTAATATGTAGGTACACTTTGTAGTTCTACAATTACAGACGTCCATCTGTTTCTCTGCATACTTTGTTAGCCCCCTTTCACCCTATGGTTCAATGGTCAGGACAACTACAGAACCACCACAGAGCAGGTGTTATTTGGGTGGTGGATCATTCTCAGCACTGCAGTAACACTGACGTGGTGGTGGTGTGTTAGTGTGTGTTGCGCTGGTCTGAGTGGATCAGACACAGCAGCGCAGCTGGACTTTTTAAAGTGTCCACTCTCGGTCCTCTCCTTTAGACACACCTACCTTGTAGGACCACCTTGTCAGAAACAGCAGTTCATCTGTTACTGCACAGTTTGTGTTAGTCATCCTGTGGTTGGCTGGCTGGATATTTTTGGTTGGTGGACTATTCTCAGTCCAGCAGTGAGACATTGAGGTGTTTAAAAACTCCAGCAGCACTGCTGTGTCTGATCCACTCCCAGCATAACACACACTAACACCCCACTGTCACTGCAGTGCTGAAAATGATTCACCACCCAAATAATACCTGCTCTGTGGTGGTCCTGTGGGGGTCCCGGACACTGAAGAACAGGGTAAAAGTGGGTTTATAAAGTATGCAGAGAAACAGATGGACTGCAGTCTGTAATTGTAGAACTACAAAGTGCACCTATGTGGTAAGTGGAGCTGATAAAATGGACAATGTGTAGAAACAAGGAGGTGGTTTAAATGTTATGGCTGATCAGTGAATGTGAGTTTAATCTAAAACGCCATTACATACATTTTAATTTGTCCTCTGCTGCCCCCGTGTGGTCTCGAGCGGAATTCAACGCCGTCAGAACCTCCTCGGGACTCACAGCCACGAACGACTGCCAAACATCGCGCGTGTAGAAATCCACCGTGTGCGCGTTCGCGATGCTTAACGACACCGAAAGAAAGCGCTGAACTTCGTCTATCTTCCTCTTTAAATCGTCAGCAGAGACAGAAGAAAAAGCCATCACGAATCGACAAACACTACAGCCGCTGCTGACACGCCGCCCATACACACAAACACACACACACACACATCAGGAGAGTGACGACTGAAGTCCCGAGGCACAGCTAGCTGCACCAAGAGACATGCTTTACAAACTCTATTCAGCAAGAGACCGTCTTTAACCTACCTTCATCCTCAGAAACAGCTGCATTTTCATTAAAGCTAACTATGTTTTATTGTTCTGCGTGAATGTTCCGAAACATAAAGATTTATGCGAAGCGATAGCTCAAGTTGGATTAGTAATGCCTGCAAGCCACTGTCTACGTACTTAACTATGCGACGTCACGTGGCCTGCTGGAGCTGGAGCATGTGTGTTTGTGTTTAGTGTGTGACTTTTACATTAATCCGAAATGGCTCCTAATTTTAAGGCTAAAGCTTCGTTTAAAGGTAAAAACCAGAAAAGGAACTTTGTAAAGGGTCCGCCGTCAGCTGCGTCACATCATAAGAGGAAATGGATCCCGGGGAACAAGTTTTTCGATGGGAGTGTTCAGGAAGGTGAGCTCGCGGACCATGAGCGCTTAAAGTCGCGTTGCCTTTGACTTAGTTAGGTTACCTAAGTTAACTTAGCTGTGTGGAATATTACGAGGCTGAGTTTGGCTTCCTATTCGACAACTTCTCGTCCGAACTTTCCCGATCCACCTTAAATGATACAGTAGTAACTGCCTTGACTGTACATATTGCACTTTCTGTACCCCCTATCGCGCATCTTGCACATCTGGACACTCCACACCTAGACACTTTATTTCAGTACCAATATATACACATATTTATTCAGTACTGTCACTATATGCCGTTACCTGCGCCTCCTTGTACAGTCATATTGCACTGCCTTTCTCATCTCAGGTTACAGATCGTATTCCAGATTTTTGTATATTTCTATTTGTATAACTTATATTCCTGTATATAGGATTTTTTTTAAATTTATTCTTCCTTTTTTAGTGTTTCACCCTTATTATTATTACTGTTCTGTGTTGTGTGACTGCTACTGGCTGTTAAATTTCCTTCAGGATCAGTAAAGTATCTATCTATCTATCTATTTAATTATCTATATATCTATCTTGACATTCTCTTCCAGATTTTCTCTGCTCAAAGACTCTAACGTTACCAGAGGTTTGGTGTTGTGTTAAAAGTAGGGCTGAACGTTTTGGAGAAAATATCTAACTGCGATTTAAATTGTGATTATTTTCTAGAATTGAGGCTCAGACCTGTGTATACCAAGAATATCACTTTTTCTTTTTGAGGCTTGACCCCTTAATGTAGTGTGCCAGAAAGCCAGTAAGTTGTGGTTGTGATGTCACAACATATGCAGGTAAATCTTTCAGATAGATAGATAGATAGATAGATAGATACTTTATTGATCCCGAAGGTAATGTAGCAGCCAGTAGCAGTCACACAACACAGGACAGTAATAGTAATAAGGGTGAAACAATATAAAAGGAAGAATAAATATAAAAAATCTTATCTACAGGCATATATACAAAAATCTATGACTGTACAAGGAGGCGCAGGTAATGGCATATACTGACAATACTGAATAAATATGTGTATATATTGGTACTGAAATACAGTGTCTAGGTGTGGCGTGTCCAGATGTGCAAGATGTACGATGGGGGGTACAGAAAGTGCAATATGTACAGTAAGGTGTCCATATGTGCAGATGGATAAAATAAACCTAAGATTTAGCATGAGATAAACCTATGATTTAACATGAGATTCAGTTCAGTCCTTGTTAAGTGTTTTTCTTTTACACTTGATTGTGTTAAGGAGAAATTCTTTTTTTAAACTGTTTTATTCATAAATAATAAACAGTTTGTGTGATTCAATTTGAAATGGTGAATTGTAGAAAAATACAATGATCCATACTTCTTTACAGTGATGGTGATAGGAACCAGGGGTTGCAGTGTGTAAATCTAGCCATTTTGTCACTATCCAAAATGATCTGTAAACCTATACGTGTCTTCTGAGTTTTTGCACGTAATGTTGATAAAGGTAAAACATTGTAACGTTGGCTTAGAAAAAGACACGGAACATGCAGTGCATATAGACGTATGCTTTTTAGGCACTTCAGCAGACAGCAAGGAATGCCCAGCCTAGCACTAACCCAACACGTAACATGGGGAGAGGGTAATGTGGAAGGATACAAAAAATGAGCAGGGTAGAAACTTCTAGCTGCTAGTAAAACCACAAAGCCCACCCTCCTCGGATACAATTACTTTAATGGACACAACTACAATAACAACTAAACCTCACAACAACAAGAGCAGAAATACCTTTTAAACAGGAGTAAGGCATGCTTTAAGAGCCACTCTGCATTGCCCCACCCTCTAATCTCAGCATGGCCATGCTTATCCTGTGGCGGAAGGCACACAATCCCCCCCAAGGGTCCTGGCCTCTCCACGGTTCCGGCTAGCACAAGTGCTGCGGGGGTGACTGCCCCTTGGCAGTGGGCGTCCACAGTCCTTTAGTAAATCTAAAGAGTTTTTTTGGGGACTATTTTTCTTTACAATGCATGAATGATTATAAAGTGTTTTAGGCCAGTAACTTATCTCAGAACTGTTGTGAAACATTTTTTCAGACTTCAGGCATCTTTTTTGTAACCATTTCATGTAGTAGCTATCTGTGATGTAGCTTTTAGAAATATGAAATCCTTAAGACGTCCGGTTCCTATCACTACCAACATGAACAATTCTGATTCAATAGTTTCTTTTAGATGGCGCATTTTACAGCAAACTACTTCTAATTTCACATGATTAAACTGTCAAGATGTAAACAAAGTCATTTTTGTTTACATCTTGACAGTTTAATCATGTGGAATTTCCCTTAAAACGTTTTATGAGGTATTCTAAAGAACTTTGCTAAAGTTTACCAATGGTTAAAATATCCAGACACTTTTCGAGACCACTGTATGGGGTATGTGGTAGATGCTGTGTGCGTGGTAAACCACTGTTTGTAAGCAATCTCAGAAAACAATGTTAATTCGTAAATAGGAGGCAGACCTAGCCTAGTGAAATTGATGTCAGATTTTAACACTGCCGTATGTCTGAAGGTCAGGGATTTGCCTTCGAAAGGAAGCAGAAAATTCAGCATGAATACAACAAACTCCTTCGAAAGGAGAGACGAAGAAGGCAGGATTCCAAGCCGCAGACGACAGATTACCCAGAGCATCTGAAGCATCTCTACATGGCTGAACAGGAGAGGCTTGACAAAGAAGAGCAAATGCAAATGAATCGCAGGAGGAAAGGGAGAGCTGCTGATGCTGAGGACGACGAAGGAGAGGACATAGCACAAACTTCCATCCATTCCAGCTCTGTCACAGGGAATGCAGGCTCACTGGAGAACTCTGCTGCTACTGCCTCATCTAATGAACTGCCACAGAGCTCACAGACTGACAGGTGTGTATATTTCCATATCAGAATCCTATATACACAGTATGTCCAAAAGTATGTGGACGCTTGATGATCACGCCTGTATGAGCTTATAAGACATCTCCATTCTCAAACAATGAGCATTAATATGGAGTTGGACTCTGCTTTGCGACTATAACAGCCCATTCAGTTAAAATAGCATTTGTGAGGTCAGGCATGAGTGTTGTATGAGTAGGCCTGGCTCGTGATTTGTGTTTAATTTCATGCCAGAGGTGTTCAGTGGGGTTGAGGTAAGGGATCTGTGTAGACCACCACAGTTCCTCCACATCAGACTCATGTCTTTATGAAGGGCACTTTGTGCACAGGGGCACAGTCATGCTGGAACAGGAAAAGGCCTTCCTCAAACTGCTGCCACAGAGTTGGAAGCATATAATTGTTAAAAATGTTTTCGAATGTTGTAGCATTAACATTACCCTTCACCGGAACTAAGGAGCTAAGCCCAAACTCTGAAAAACAGCCCCAGTGCATTATCTCTCCTCCACCAAACTTTACTGTAAGCATTATGCATGATGGTAGGTAACGTTCTCCTGGCATCTGCCAAACCCTCATCCATCAGACTGCCAAGTAGTGAAACGTGGTTCACCCAGAGAATACTTTTTCACTGCTCCATAGTTCAGTGACGACGTGCTTTACACCACTCCAGCTGACACTTGACATTGCGCTTAATAATGTCAGGTTTGTCAGCCAGATAAATCCATTTCATGAAGCTCCTGATACTCAGATTTTTGTGCACATGTTGCTTCCAGAAGTAGTTTGAAACTCTGTAGTGAGTTATAGACAACAGAGAATATGCGATTTTGCGTAAAAGCCACACACTTCAGCACTCTACAGCCCCACTCCACTGTTGTTGCTCCATTTCACAATAATAGCACTTACGGTTGACTGGGGCAGATCTAGCAGGACAGAATTTTCACAAACTGACTTGCAGCAAAGCGGCATCCTATGACTGTGCTACATTTAGTCACTGAGCTCTTCAGTACCTCTCATTTTACTGCCAGTGTTTGTCTGTGGAGATTGCATGGTTATGTGCTTGATTTGTACACCTGTTAGCAATGGGTGTGGCTGAAACGCAGAACTCAGTATTAAGAAGGGTGTTCACATATTTTTAAGTGTATATGAGACTATAGCAGGAGTGTGTGTTCTACAAAACAATTTATGTTGCCATTTGCTAATGCTTGTTTTCATGCATCAGCAGTCCCGATAAAGGCTCACTGAGACAAAGAAAGCAGAAAAAATTATCTTCTTATCAGAAGACGAAGAAAGAATATGAGAGGTTGAAGGAGGAAAGAGAGAGAAAGAGAGAGGTGAGTGAGAACATTGGTTTACTTTGCCAGTTTCCATAACAAGCAAAACATTACACTTCATTACTCACTTACATTGCACTCCATAATGTTAGGGACGAAGCCACTATTGTTTATATATGTTTATTTATATATATATATATATATATATATATATATATATATAGTGTGTGTGTTACACATGTGTAAGCTTTTGGTCCAAACATTATGGAAGGCACTAGGTATGTGTGTGTGCGTGTGTGTGTGTGTGTGTGTGTGTGTGTGTGTGTGTGTATAGGCACAACATAACAACATGCTCATTGTCCATTTTATCAGCTCCACTTACTATATAGGTGCACTTTGTAGTTCTACAGTTACAGACTGTAGTCCGTCTGTTTCTCTGCATACTTTATTAGCCCCATTGTACCCTGTTCTTCAGTGGTCAGGACCCCCATGGACCCTCACAGAGCCGGTACTATTTAGGTGGTGGATCATTCTCAGCACTGCAGTAACAAAGAAGTGCTGGTGGTGTGTTCATGTGTGTTGCGCTGGTACGAGTGGATCAAACACAGCATTGCTGCTGGAGGTTTTTTACACTGTGTCCACTCACTGTCCACTCTATTAGACACTCCTACCTTGTCAGTCCACCTTGTAGATGTAAAGTCAGAGACAATAGCTCATCTGCTGCTGCACAGTTTGTGTTGGTCGTCCTCTAGTACTTCATCAGTGGTCACATGACACTGCCCACAGGGCGCTGTTGACTGGATATTTTTGGTTGGTGGACTATTCTCAGTCCAGCAGTGAGACACTGAGGTGTTTAAAAACTCCAGCAGCACTGCTGTGTCTGATCCACTCAGACCAGTGCAACACACACTAACACACCACCACCACATCAGTGTTACTGCAGTGCTAAGAATGATCCATCACCCAAATAGTACCTGCTCTGTGACCCCATGGGGGTCCTGACCACCGTCTGTAATTGTAGAACTACAAAGTACATATATGTATGTGTGTGTGTGTGTGTGTGTGTATGTATGTATGTATGTATGTATGTGTGCATGCGCGTGTGTGTGTGTGTGTGTATGTATGTGTGTGTGTGTGTGTGTATACTCACACTTCATTGTTTTATTGCAGGAATACCTGAAAAACAAAGCACAGAGAGAGGAAGCTCTGAAGAGGTACAAGGACAAGAAAATGGCAACATATCAGTTGTTGAAGAAAAAGACTAAGAAAGGTCAGCCCAACTTGAACCTGCAGATGGAGCTGTTGCTTCAGAAGATCCAGGCTCAGCGCAAATGAACAAGGTGGACAAATTAAATGCCTGTTTGGCACCTGGCAGACAACAAAAGAAGCCTTGAAATTTAAAAGTGCTTCCCAGAGTGAAATGCAGAAACGTATGTTTAAGAAACTCTATTAATACACTCAGAGTCGCTGTTTCTGCTGTTCTTGAGACTTTTGTTGTAATGAGGCACTTAATGCTGCCTTGCAAGCCTGGTGTTTGCTGTGATTTGTGGATTAATTGAGTGAACAGGTTAATCTATGTATAGGAGTTATTAAGATAGTCATGTTGGAGAGAAGTTCTTAAATTCTACGAAAGTACAAATTTATATTGTGCTTGTTTATTGCATTTATCTGACCTCAAAGTGGTGTTTATTGCCAAATACTGTGTTGTTATTTGTCATTTTTGCCACCTTTATAAATAAAAAAAAGAGAGAGTTATGAGACATACCCGTTTATCTAGCCCACTCTATTGCTGTGCAGTCAGTTGTAAGTCGTAGGGTGCACATTTCTGGTCTGTGTAGGAGAGTGTGATGCATTACTTAATGCGAGGTAAAATATAACACTGACTCACCATGTATTTTTAGTTACCCTATTGGTGTTAACAAAACTGCATATAAACAATTCATAGGACAGCCTCAACCCTGTGGGTAAGTTTTAACACAGTGAGCAAATAAGTACAATCAAGATTTCTAAAGTGAAGAATGAGAGAATCCATTTCCTCTTACATGTTATAAGACTTTTTTTTATCTTTTTGTTGACCTTCTCATCAAAAATGTACAATAAATTTGATGTAAATAAAATATATTTCAGAATTACTGTTGCTAATATTTGCTTCATTCTTTATGGTCATTTAATACATTTGCTGTTGTTGGACAGCCTCTTTTCACTTGTTCATGCATATACACCAATCAGGGATAACATTATGACCACCTCTTTGTTTCTATGCTCATTGTCCATTTTATCAGCTCCACTTACTATATAGGTGCACTTTGTAGTTCTACAATTACAGACTGTAGTCCGTCTGTTTCTCTGCATACTTTATTAGCCCCCTTTTACCCTGTTCTTCAGTGGTCAGGACCCCCATGGACCCTCACAGAGCCGGTACTATTTAGGTGGTGGATCATTCTCAGCACTGCAGTAACAAAGAAGTGCTGGTGGTGTGTTCATGTGTGTTGCGCTGGTACGAGTGGATCAAACACAGCATTGCTGCTGGAGGTTTTTTACACTGTGTCCACTCACTGTCCACTCTATTAGACACTCCTACCTTGTCAGTCCACCTTGTAGATGTAAAGTCAGAGACGATAGCTCATCTGCTGCTGCACAGTTTGTGTTGGTCATCCTCTAGTACTTCATCAGTGGTCACACGAAGCTGCCCACAGGATGCTGCTGGCTGGATATTTTTGGTTATGGACTATTCTCAGTCCAGAAGTGACACTGACGTATTTAAAAACTCTAGCAGTAATGCTGTGTCTGATCCACTCAGACCAGCGCAACACAAATGAACACACTACCAGCACTTCTTTGTTACTGCAGTGCTGAGAATGATCCACCACCTAAATAGTACCGGCTCTGTGAGGGTCCATGGGGGTCCTGACCACTGAAGAACAGGGTAAAAGGGGGCTAACAAAGTATGCAGAGAAACAGATGGACTACAGTCTGTAATTGTAGAACTACAAAGTGCACCTATTTAGTAAGTGGAGCTGATAAAATGGACAATGAGCGTAGAAACAAGGGGGTGGTCATAATGTTATGCCTAATCGGTGTATGTGTGCATATAGTAATATTGAATAAATTGTCCATCTCCATCTCTAGGGTAAGTTACATTTCCACTCGCCCTGCTTTCCATAAACAGTAGATGCTCGACACAATGTTTAAAGAGCCTGTATCCTACATTTCCTTGTACTTTATTTTCTTCCTACTATGGTCTACTTGTGATTTTTTTATTTTAAATATTTTTGAGCCTCTGTTTATCCCTTAGAATTTAAAAAGGCATTTTTTAAACCTGTACTTTTAACAATCATGTCACTATTGTTATTGGTTGCCCTGTATTGTGCCTCATTTAGAAAGCAGTCCAGGCTGAACCACTCCTAATAACTTCAATGTGAATAGGCGGGGCTAAACTGATGTAGGCCGAATATGCTGTTTTTTGATGAAGTCACATAACTATTAATCAAAAACATGCTGTTTTTTGAAGCTCAGTTTCTAAATATGACAGATTAAAGATTTCTAAGTGGGAAAATAAAACTAACCCCTTAAACAAATAAAAACATAAACTATACCTGTTAAACAAAAGCAAGTAACACTCTACTTGAACACTGACATAACCATGTCATTAACATGCCATGGCACATATCATATACTGTCATGAGTCATCATGACAGATTATGTCTAGTAATATAACAGTGTCATGTTGCCATTACAGCTTATTGTCATAACAGATGTCAAAGTGTGATGTAATGATGGCGAACTAGAGTACATAGCAGAATTTTGCATGTGGCATAAGCGGTCAAAACATCAAACATTATGGCATCCATCATGACAGTTAACTGCAATTTTAATTTGACGTGGTTATATTAATGAAGAAAATCATGTCATGACAACTCGTGACAGCATATGACCACTGCCGTGACATGCTTAAATCAATACTATGTAGCAGTAGAGTTCATTTACTATCTATATACAACATTAACGCTTCTATAGTTATCCCTTAAAGGGGAACTCCACTGGTTTTTCAAGTCGACAATAGCCATAGGCTTCCACCATCATGGTGCCCCACAAAAAAAACACACACAGACAACCTGCACCCCAGACATAAAATAACACACAACGCATTTTTAACTGACAGATAACCAGATAAACAACAACAATAAGTCCCTTTTTCAGAGGGTTCCATGAGCCTCCTTGCATGGCCACGCCTCCCGGGCTTCTCAGAAGCAGTGTGGCCAGTAGACTATAATCCTTTCATGGAAATATATTTTCAAGTGCATTTTTAACTTCATATGACAAACACAGAGGTATTACTTTTTTGTTGCCAATTATGAAAGAAGCTCAGGGGTCAAAACTGTAGTACAGTGACAGCTGACTGGCTCTGAGTACTTTAGCATAATTACATAATTTATAACATAATTTAACAACAGAGTTAAAGGGAAACTCCACCGATTTTTCAAACTTTTTCAGAATTAAATGGTTAACATGTCAACAAAATCATGTAGAGTGGTTTGGTGTAAAATGGTTAATTCTAGAGAATCTTACAGAATTGTTCATAGTGGTGGTGATAGGAACCAGACATCTAAAGTGTTTAATGCCTATAAACACTTGCTCACTGAAAGTTATTATGTGAAATGGTTATGAATACTCAGAGTGACTGTTTTATGATAAACTTTGTCCTGAAACGTGTTCTAATCAATTTATTTTAATGTGTTCATGGTGGAGGGATACATGAAGGGTGTTCTAAGGCAAATAGTCCCCAAAGAATTTTTTTTTTCAGATTGACCGTTATTTTACCATTATTTACCAGGGTTGTATACATTGTGACCCCTGGTTCCTATCACCACCACTGTAAAGTAATCTGAGTTGGTAAGTTTTTCTGCAAATGAACCATTTTACACCAAACCACTCTGAATGACTGTTTGTACCTCAATCACTTTATTATGGAGAAATTTTGAAGAATCGGTGTGATTCCCCTTTAAGAGCTGCTCGTCAGAAGGTGGACACGAACTAATGTTTTTTTTCTTTACTGACTGTCACCGCAGAATGAGTGTTCCTGTTCGAGTTCACTCAGCCCGAGTTTGCGGGATGTTGCTAAACAGAAAAGGTTACCAGCACACCGCTACGAGGGTCGTTATCGTGACTCACACAATACAGGCTGGGGCCGGGGGCGCCAGTGAGGCGCTCTGACCGCGAGCACAACTTCTGAGAAATAACAGCTCGCGCAACTCTGACTTTTCTCAGAGCTAACGTTAACTCTACAGCTTTAAACGTTTAGTGATTTAGAAGGTAAAGCTGACTCAAAATGCTAAGAAGACCAATATGTTGATACTCTTCGTTGTTTTACTTAAAGTTATGTGTCAGTTTTCCGACAACTGAGCGGGTTTAGGGAGGTTTTATCTTCAAACAGCCCCGAGGTAAGTTAAACTAAGTTTAACGTAACGTAACGCTACGTTATAGTCTTTGTTCGAGGAGACGTGTTGAGGAGCTGTTTGGTTTGTTTTGCACTGTTTTTTTTGTTTCAACAGTTATGTGTTATAACTGCAAAATATGTCTGATTTTAGGTTAATCTAGCTAATCAACTTGGGCGATATTGCCTTGTTTTGGCTGAGGTGGCTCAAACAAAGCTAACTTTACGCCTCCACCACCTGTTAACTAGCTAACGGTTTAAAGGGTAGGTTAACTGACACCTATTGTGAAAGAATGAGGGAGCCCCATCGCTCTCTAAGAGTCTGTCAGCCTCTTCTTCTTGTGACACTGCAGGAAATTTAGCTGCTGCAACCACAAAAGCCTCTTCCTGTTCCCTTCGACCTTATGATGAGGTATCTAACTGTGATGAAAGGTAGGTTTAGGGTTTGAAAACTAGATTAATGAAACACTTTGACCACGTAGAGTATCAGACACACTGGGATACATTTAGAATGACAATAGAAACTGCCATTTCGTTACAGTCACATTAGCCTGTTTAAAATTTTTTTTTGAGAAGCCTGAAGAAGGGGAAGGAAATATAAGTAGTGTTGACAAGGAGCTCACAGCATCTACTGATGAATATGTTGATTGTTGCTGTTGTTTCTTTTTAACCAGTCACTGTTTTATAACTTTGCTAAAAACTATCAAGAAGACAAATGCATGTTCACATGGTCTTAACAATGGAAACTGTTGATCAGAGCTTGGAAGAATTAGTGAGGGGGGTTTACACTACTAACACCACACACCCACACACAAATACTCAGGAAAAAGTTACCGGTGATTCTAACTTCATGTGTCATAGCATGACGAAATAATACTTTGACTCAAACTGATGCTCTTTTCTTTGTTCCCTACAGCTTGCAGCAAAGAGAGGAATGATGTTCTTTAACATCATCCAGGGGTTCCCTGTTATCCTGTGCTGTGGATCCAGTAACATTTCTGCTGTCACATCTTCCACCTGCAGTCTCTCGCAAGTAGGCAAAATTTACTGGATTGGACAAAACCAGAGTCATGTCTGAATTCCCACACAGCCAGACTATGAATGTTGTCTGCAAAAGCTCAGACGATGAAGAGAGCCAGGCCCAGCCAGAGCTGCAACCAAGGAAGGACGAGAGAAAGGAATCAGGCTTGGCATCTGCTGCAGTGCTGGAAAAGACCCAGGAGTTTTTTCAGATCTGTGACAGCGAGAGCAAGGGCTACATAACACGGACTGATATGAGGGTGAGGGTATCAGATTTTCTTTTTTTTTGTATCATATTTTTCCACATTCTTCTTTGTAATTGTTTTTTTGTACTGACGACCAAAACATACATAGATATGTTTTTAAATTTGTCAAAACAACCTTGGTTGTTGGGACAGTAGGTAAAATGCAAATAAATTTGATTTGTAAATCTACTTTGACCTGTATCTGAACAAAAAAAGTACAAAGACGAGAATTTTAATGTTTTCTATTATCATCTTCATTGTTTTTTGTAAACATAAGCTCATTCTGAACGTGCCTGCAACACATTCCAAAAAAAGTTGGGACAGGAGCAATTTAAAACTAGAAACACTGTGTAATGTTCAAAAAACATCTTAAACCAGTGATGCAGTCATGCTTGAGTATTAAAGGATCATCCTGGAAAGGCCTAGTCCTTTACGAGCAAGGATTAGTTGAAGCTCATCACTTTGCCAAAAATGCGTCAGTAAAAAATCCATCGGTTTGTGAATAAAGGGCCTCATTCACCAATTAAGTTCATGAGATAAAACAAAGTATTGTGTTTTTGTACTGTTTGAAATTTAATACAGAACCCAACTGAACTTAATAATCACTTTTATTCTATTTTTACTTCCTATGCTGGCCCAATTTTTTGGAATTGGGTTTGTAAACTTAAATAACCTGCCATAGACTGAAGAAAGCTTTCTCCTCACAGATTTATATTTGAGTGGACAGTCATGCACATATTTGTGGGTTAGGCCACATTCCTTCAGCTCAGTAAAGCTCGGAATATTAGTGTTGATCCTGTTGGTGTGACAGCCTCTTCAAATGTTCTCAATGGAAACTTCTTTGTGTCTGAAAACTTTGTCTGCTCTTGGTTAAAGTCTTCTTTTTATGTACAGTACAATGTGCTGAATATTAATTTTTTAAAAATCTCTGTGATGCTGCCAGTATTAGGCTAAGGAATAAATATGTAATTTAAAACTTTGTGTTGGGTAGGGAAGTAAAAAGTAGGTTAAGTTTGATGTGTGTAACATAAGAGTTGTTCAAGTTGATTCTGACTCCTGGTGACCATATGGCTACTGTTTCCGCCGAATATCTTGTGGGTCTTTGGACTTCTTGTTTCAAGCATGATTGTCTTTTCCAGTGAATTGATTCTTCTCATGTCAGAAAATAATATGGCTTCAGTTACGGTTATCTGGGCTTCAAGTGAAAGGAGAGGCTTGATTTGGTTAACAATGTGTTTGTTTGTTTTCTTAGCTGTCCAAGATACTCTTAAAAATCTTCACCAGTACCAAAGTTTAAAGGCATCTCTAATTTTCTTATTCTGTTTTTCAATGTCCAGCTTTCGCATCCATAAATAACCACAGAAAGGACTGTAGCTTGGATAATTATGATGTTTTGTATAGAGACACATCCTTACATTTGAAGATCTTTTCAAGTGGCTTCATCCTTGTTCACAATGCCCAGTGCCAACCTATGTCACCTATTTCTTTTGCGCTGTTATTAATTCCTGTGGCAATGATTTCAGGACCTCACTGCACTTATCATTATTTTTGTGTCACCTTTTTTTAAACTGTGATGACTTTAGTGCATGCAATGTGTCTTGTTGAAGTTCTAGTGCTATGTTGACATATCCTTTGGTTCATTTTTCAGAAGTTGTACAGAGAGTTGCCGCTCTCTTCAGAGGAATTGGAGAATGTCTTTGACTCACTGGACTCAGACAGAAATGGCTACCTTACTCAGACAGAGTTCTCCTCTGGATTCAGTGAGTTTGCATACAGAACTTAGACTGTATACTACTGGAGATTCTGAAGTCATGAAGTCATGCTAATTCTAAGTCATGCTTAAATGTGGTTACTCTGATAATTTCTAGTAAATGTTCTCTTTTATGCTCACAAATATCTTCAGTGGGATTAATCTTTAATATTTTGATTTGAGGTCTGTCTGAGTCTTAAGAAAGCCTTGGCTGAGCCTCAAAATGTTTCCCCATTTTGTCCCAGGTAATTTCCTTCACGGACGCAGGATGAGTGAAGTAGAGGATCAAGTCATAGGTTTCTTACAGAAGGTTCCAGAAGCTCTGTATCAAGATGAACCACAAGCAGAGAAAGAGGATGATGAGGAGAAACACTTTAGCATGTTGATGGAGAGTCTGGGTGCTAGCAATGTCTTTGAGGAGTCAGTGCCATTTGTTTCTTTATTTTTGAGAGTATCAGGCATGAGTATGTATCAGGACATAGACATCTTTCTCTTTGTGTCTCTCTCTCTGTATCCAGTCCCAGTGAAGTGCGTGAGCTGTGGGCTCAGCTCAGAAAAGACGAGCCTCACCTACTGTACAACTTTGAAGAATTCCTGGCCCGTGTCACATCCCAAATAAGAGCAGTCCAACAAGAGAGGAGGGAGATGGAAAGTGCCCTCAGAAAGTAGGAGGCCATGTTTTCTTGAATTTTCAGACCTATGAATTACAGATGGCAAAGATCTGATACTTCTTATCAGTATTGGCCTGGTATCAACAGAAAATGATGGGTCACATATTGTTGTAGAAAAAAACATACACTTGATTCAGTCCTGTAACAAATATAACCTGAAATAGTACAGAATTGCTTTAAGTACATAAGAAAGCATCACATAACCACAGTAATCACGTCGCCCACTGTTAACTAGGAACAACAAGGAGCTATGCATTTTAACCATTTGTCAATAGATTTATGAACTTTTTAAATGAAACTTTTGTCACATAATCATTTATGTGTGCTAGCATGCATCACAGTCTTTAATGTAGAACACTACAGTTTGTTTATTTGATTACAACTGTTACAATAATGCTAATTTCCACAAGCACTTCTAGGGCATTAGAAATGTTATTTTAGCATCAAGCCAACAGTGGTGTACGTTCACTTACTCTCACAGGTTTTAATAATAATTATGGCAGTTTGGCTGACACTTGTACTTTGCAAACATGCATGTAACACATTATTTACCTTGTGTGAGGTAGTATTTAGTGAATCTTGTAGTAAATACCTCATCTTAAAGTCTAACTCTTAACATTGCTGGAGGAGCTGGTTAGACTGTTAGCTGTCTGTCGAACTGGTTGTTGTGTTCTCTTGTAGATTGTGTTTAGAATGGTCTTGAGCCTTTTATTTCATGTGTAAGTCCCAACACCACTTGTGTTAGTGAATGCAGTCAGATCCTCACAGCATTGTTCTAATTTCTAATGTAAAGCCTTTCCACAAGACTGGAGGCTGTTACTGCAGCAAAGCAGATTAAAACTCACTATATTTAAATTTTCCCTTTGAGAAACATTGGGCGAAGAGGTGTCTGCAAACATTTGGACATATAGAGTTGGTTTTCCAAACAGGGACTAAGCCTAGTCTTGGACTATTTTTCTTGTCTATGGAGAATATCCACTCAGAATGCTGTGTAGTTCAGGACCAAGCTTAATCCCTGTCTGGTAAATAGCATGAAACTCCTTGTAACCATATGAGGTGACTATTAGCATTAAATAGACATTTACAGCAGAATTATTTAAAATCGTTATAGGGTTAAGATTCTCTTAAATGTTCAAAGTGATATGTGATGTACAATTTTGTCATATGTTTTATGCTATGATGCTTTATCAAATTTGAATTCATAGTGTTTCCCTTTTGTAGAAAGAATCCTCCAACTATGGTATTTTTGCCGTGTACTATGATCTACTTGTTCACCATGAAAGATTATTTCAGATTATTATAACACTCTATAGAATGCTTTTCATCTGTGTCCAGTGACCCTTAAGCTCAGGAATTTAAAGGAACTTTTAAGTATTTTAAGGAGCTCTAGCAACAGACACAACTGAATGAGCTATATGTCTGTAATCGTGTATTTGCTTTTAGATGGTGAGGTATGTAATACATTTTATTATCTAATTTAGCAGTTTTAAAAATAAGTGCTGCTGTTAACTCCACAGCTGGGTAATTTCCATTGATGGTTTGGATATTTTTGTTAACCATGAATGAATGCTCACGTTGTTTTGTGTGTGTGGTGCAAAGCTCCAAAAAATCTTTTTACAGAAACCCTTGAATTGTTGGTTATTTACATCTTAGCATGCCTTTGGATATGTAAATACCGTGAAAAGTGTGTCAACATGATTTGGCCTGAATTACCCATTTGTTAAACATTATGTGTGTGCATGCATGTGTACACATTGGATGCTCCTGTGGTATAGAAAATAACTGTAGTAACCTTTTGTTGCTATTTACCACAAATGAAGCAGAGAAGACGCAAAGAGCCAAATGAGCAAAATTGTCTGTTTCCTTTTTTTACAGGAAGGCTGCAACACATGATAGTGAAATCCAGCGGTTATATGAGGAAATGGAGCAACAGATGAAAAATGAAAAAGATCGACTTCTTCTCAAGGTGAAATGCACCTCTCTAACTGTACTCTGCATTCAAAGTTAATCATTTTATAGCTTTAATTGCAAAATTTAAAACAATAACTTTTGAATTCCATAATAAAATTACTGAGCCTTTAAAAAGACAGAACTGACATACTGGCCTTCTTAACCTCTTATACTCCAGGGTATATTTTGGTTGGCCCATCTGAAAATGTAAATGTAAATTTTATTTATTTATTTATTTATTTATTTATTTTAAAAGCTCCCTTCAAATGAACAGAACATGTTTTATGATCATACACATATTGCTATATGCTTACAATTTACTGCTGAAAGCCAAAAATCTTAGACGCTCTTTGTATTATTTTATAATAATAATTTTTACAGAGTATATCACTGAAGAGACACCCTCTGTTTATAGTTTATAGCCCAGATTTGTGGAAAAATGGGTCAACTTTCAGTAGACAAAAAAAATTGTGAGTTCAGCTATTTGACTGGAAAGAAGACCCACCTTTTGAATGTAGCTTATGAAATATGAAAGTTATGAAGAATATGACAAAGTGTGTCTTGGAACCACCGGTGGTCTCAAGGAGTTGAAGAGATCTGAATTTCTTAGTTCAATTCTATTTCTTCTAAGATCAGCCATTATCCTCTGCAACAGGTTATGGAATGTTCATGGTAAAAGAAACATTTTCAGTGTTCATTTTGTTTAAATAATGGCCTCTTTTCTCTTTTTCTCTCTGCAGGACTCAGAACGTCTGCAGCTGCGCAGTCAGGATCTGCAACAACAGCTAAGCAGCAAAGAGCAGGAGCTTGAGCAGCTCTTTCTCAAACAAAGGAGGGTGAGTGCTGTTGAGACATTATTGTAGATTTTGGAAAGTTTAGGAAGTGTCCAAAGTGTTTCATAGCCTATATTTTAAAACATATATGTGTGTGTAATATATTCCTGTTTTGTCATCAAGAGAGGGTAAACATTTTAACCCTCTGGGGTCCACAAACGCACCTGCACTTCAAAATCAATGTTGCTGTATATCTTTCTCTTTCTTCGCAATAATACAGTTCAGAAATATCGTTCAAATATATCCTGAATCCGTAGTCTCGTCCTTTCGTTTCCATCTTATTACAAGATCATATGTGACTCACATCCGGAGTTACAAGGCTATGAAGAGGGGTTGAGATACATTTCATCTGCCTCTCACTGTGTGTAAATGGTGGATTTTTTTGTCCGTCTACATTTTGTGTAAAACTGACTAATGGACAGTCAGGAAATCACTAAGGACTTACCTATCATATCGGAAACCCTTCATTTTTCATTCAGTTGACAATGGAGACACGTGAAATGGCGTGCAAAGAATTTATAGCCGCTGAAGTTGCTGCAGTGGTTTTGGAAAGTAGTAAAGATAATGAAGCATTTTGATATGAAACATATGGGTATTGTTATATGCAAGTGTCTTTAAAGGTGAATATAAGATGTGCAAAAACCGAGGAAAATGCGCTTAGACCCCAGAGGTTTAAAAGATGTTTCTATAGTAATTACTTGAAAATAACCTGTTGTACCCGCCAGTTGGAGCATCAGTGTCGAGAGCTGCACAGTGAGCAGCAGGAGAGTCGGGTTGAGAACATAAAACTGAAAATGACCAACGAGGAACTCTCACGCGAGCTGGAGCACACATGTCATGAGCTCTCATTGGCTCAAGAACAGCTAGCTTTTCTACAGGAAAAGGCCTCAAGGCTACAGCAAGAAAGAGAGATGTAAGCCGCACACAGAAGACACATGCATGTGTGTCTAATTTATCTCTATGTTTCTTCCAACACACCAGATAGACACATATACATGAATGCACACAACCATAAGTACACTTCTTTCACACAGGGAGATGTACAGAATCACAGAGGGACTCCAGAGGGAGAAGCAAAGCCTAATGAAACAGTTAGACCTGCTCAGGTAAGCCCCTGGAAAAATATATAGATTCAAGATCATATTGTCTGTAACTCTGTCTCACAGTCTGTGGGTGTTCTTTTAGAGAAATGAATAAACATTTAAGAGACGAGCGAGACGTCAGTTCTTTAGTAAGTATACTTATTTGTTTCGCATAATACAATGTTCATCTATTTGCATTGTATTCTACATTCTTTATAGAACGCAAACTGATTCTGTTTTTTTTTTATAGAAACAAAGTAACTCGTGGAAGAAACTCTCCCACAAACAGCGACCAGCCTCAACCCTAATAAAGCATTCTGACAAAAAAAATACTCAAAGGTAATAGATATTTGTCTGATCGTTCTCACTATCAGCGTTCCTTACTGGAAAGGAAGTGAAGGCCTAAAATAGATGTGTTGGCTATAAGTTGGCATAGACCACATTGTTGTGGACCACATCTTCACTTTTTCTTTCTCTTCAATCAAGTGAGGTTGGCACAGAAGAATTGACTCAGCATTCCAACAAGAAGACTTCCACCATGGTGAATGGCTGTGGCCCACACTTAACATATGAGGCCCAGCAGACTGCAGATGGGTGTTCAATGTCTGGGAGTCCAGGGCTGGATGTGTTGGATGATCCCCCAGAAGGCTGGCCTTTGCGCAGGGTTATCTCCATCGAGGAGGACCACCTCCCACACCTGCTACAAGGAGAACCTCAACCTTTACTCCACCAGCTGGGTGAGTTACAAAAGGGAGGAGGAGAAGAGGAAGCCCAGATTGAACTGAACATGAGCCCTATTTATTCCTCAAACGTTTCCCTAGCCTCTGCACATTCGCCTCCTCCTGCCCAAGTGAAACCCTTCTTGAAACAGAAAGGAGGGAGAGCGGGTGTGCCCTCCTCAGCCAGGGGCCAGCCAGTGGGCAAAGAGACTTTGCAAAAGGTGAATGATCATTCTGCCTAATAAATGAATTAAAATAGTCAAAATAAATTATTTATAGAGTTATTCACTCTCTGTCACAACACAAGCATACGTTATTTTAAATGATACAGGGAGATTCACTCAAAAGAGGCCCTGAATATTCTGTTATTACTCCCGTTAGCATGAAGCAATCTGAACCAAAAAAATATGCCACATACCGTGACATGCGATGCTGGAAGTGATCTCTGAGACACATGAAAGGGTACGGGGTTGTGCACCCGAAAGTTGCAAACGGAGGTTAAACGTCACAACGGCTGTCCGATGCCCACCTCACCACTCCGACTCAGGCGCATCCCGGCTTGTTCGAAGCTCCATATACTGAGGAACACATTGCACATTGTTTCGTTCAGAATGCTTCGTCCTAGCGAGAGTTATTATAAAATATTCGGGGCCTCTTCCGAATGAATCGCCCTATATTTTTTGTATTTGTGTTTTCAGGGTCCAGTGGAGAGTGCTGTGGCTGCCCCCGAGCGCCTCTTTAAGGTTGTTCTTGTGGGCAACTCAAGTGTGGGCAAAACAGCTCTTCTGCGCCGCTTCTGTGATGGACATTTCCACTCAGCTACTACAGCCACTGTGGGTCAGTTTCATTTTACATAATTCACACAGTCTCTTGGCTGCTGCAGATCTCTTGGGATCAGGAAAGAGGTCAATATATTTAAAATCGATCACTCTTAGATATTAGAAGATCATACTACATCTGCTTCATCCTAATGACTAACACAAAATAGTCTGGTCTAATGCTCGGCATCTACATAATGCAGGGATGTAGTGGCAGTGTTTTATCAGCTATTTGCATGGTTCAAAAGGTAGGCATAGTTCATAGCCCAATTAGCACTCAAAGAGGTGTTACGCATTTTTTTAAGTGGTTAACCACTACCCAAACTTTCTATCTCACTTCTAATTTGAGAGCTGAAAACACACTGTGGCATTTTAGCATGTGCATAAATATGTCAGAGACAAACAAGAAGACAGACTTGGCATATTAAAGCTTATTATTCAGTAACTACAGCGACTTCAATGCAAACTGTTTGAGCTATTTTATTGTAGGTTATAGAAGTGTGTAATACAATTTTAGGCCTGTCAGTGGGCCCTGGCCATTTAAGGGGTAAAGTAAGTGTTTAAGTTTGTATATTTGTTTGCATTCAGTACATTTTTGTGTTGCTTGAACGTATGCTTTGACTGTTGTAAAAGAAGGTGAAAGAATGTTATCACATGAAATGGCTTGGGAAGTCACACACCCTCCGCCTGAGTTCTGCTACAGCAGATTTCACAGCAGATTATGTCAAACCCCATCAGTTTAACTCTTATGTGGGTTTTTCTGTTAGTCCCAAATAAAAATCAACACACAATACAAGCTGTTGTAGTCTTACTAAATAATGCCTCCTTGTGGCCTTTGGTTGATACTGCGGTTTTAAAATGGCCATTTTTAAACACATGCAGCCAGTTTGTCAGATTAAGCCTAAAGCTGATTCACTGTTAGCATTCCAATTTAGTCCAAGATTAGGCTTAATCCTTGTGTGTGTGTGTTTGTGTGTGTATATGTGTTTGTGTGTGTGTTAGAAAATTAGATGAAAAGAGGAAATAAATGCTTTTCTATCTCAATGTAAAGGTATTGACTACAGTGTGCGGACTCTTAATCTGGGAGATAGTCATGTGGCACTTCAGTTGTGGGACACAGCAGGTCAGGAGAGGTGAGTGCTTTGAATAACTAATTAACTAACTAACTAACTAATCAGTTGTGCTTTACAGACTGTTTTTTAGAAATTCTGCACAGTATTTCACAATATTAATTATTTATATTATTTGACTGTGGAATGTAGATGTTTCCTTTGTCTACAATCAACTTGTACAGGCTGGTGAAGCAAAAGCTTTCTATATGTTTTGTTAGCATCTTTAACTCATTGATTTTGATTGGCTGGTTATAAAGGCTGGAATTGTCTGACAATGGTAGCTATGTAATGCCTGTCTCTGCCAAACACAGCCATACTACATAGCTTGTTGTTAACTAATGATAACCAGCTAGTAATTCCAACCTATATTGGTAAAGAGGCCTAAACTGTTAATAATTGAAGCACTAGCTCAAATAAAGATTATTCTTGTTGAATGTCAGACTAAAACATGACAGAGTGACAACGCTTTACATTTGCCGGGTAGATTTGCTTCCCCCACCTGAAACTGTAGTGTGTTACCTAACATAGGCTGCACTTATATTGTTGAAAGTGAAAATAAAGTGATGTATTCAATATGAACTATTCAGAGGTAAACTTGAAAAAGCATTGTGAAATGAAATATACTTAATGTGCAGTAATGTCTGTGAAATTTAATTTTTTAATTTTTACATTTGAAAGTGCCAGCTGCCCTGAACACACGCTGCACCAGGCTAGGGATAGTGGAGTGTGCTTTCAAATAGGAATTAGAGAGTATAATACAATATAACCAGTGTGTTTAAGAATAAAACATGAAAATGAATTTTTTGTAAGTTTGAGTACATCATTTCTTTGTTTCTTTTTCCTCTCTCAAGCCCTGCAGGTGGATTTGAAACCCTGTACCTTTTGCCCTTAATCACTCAAATTGTGCATTCTATACACAACGGAGTTACTTTGAAAAATATTCAGCATAGTCTTTTAACTTAAAGCTGAACTTTGTAAGTTTGGCAAATTTGGCAAATATTAGAAAATTTAAGAAATATGTAACTACATGAAACATGCAGAAGAACATTTTGTAACATAGGTTGTGTTTAGATCCCAGAGTTTTATGCTGTATTAATAATATGCGCATGCTCAGTAGGACCACTCGCTGAGTAGGATAAACTGTTGGAACCCAAGCCAAGCTTGCTTCAGTTCTGTTTCTTTTCTTTGACCACGGGTGACACCGCAGAGGTCGACTGGGTTTACTGTTCTGATGTCTCTAGAGCTGGGCCATATGGCCAAAAATCTTAAAGCAATAAAAATTTTCATATCGTTCTATATCGATACATATCGCGATAAATGTCAAATTATTATTTCTTGCAAGTTTGAAGGCTGATTTTTGCTCTTGAGTGGTCAGTTGCTGTTTTAAACTATCATTTATGGTTAGAACATGACAAAACACTTGCCAAACAGAAGAACATTTCACAAATCTGTCTTGGGAGAAAGTTTCTGGTGAGCTGTTTTTACCAGCTGGAAAAGCATGGCCGCAATTTTTGTAATAGTCATAATTTAAGAAAGAAAACATTGTTTTTAGCTGTCTGGTGATGAGTGCTAGGCTATCTGGGTACAAGTGCTAAACTGTTTAGTTTCTCAACAACGTCAACTTAGTACGGACAGCAAACATTAGCTGGCTCGGTACATCAGTGATGGATCACACCGCCTTACTGCCATCACTCCTACCGCATCCATGTCAGAGCATATCATAGTATTCAAACACCACCAGTTAAGAAAAAGTAACTAAGCTAGATGACAGATCTTTATTAATAGTTTTCACACTGAACTGCAAGTGTGGTATTCCACGTAATGTGAGATAAATCCAAAACTTCCAGCTTCAGGAATGAAACACCACCAACCAGAAGATTAGGATAGCGAGTGCCTGAATTACATGTTTCTTAGTAACACTTTTCATCTTTTAGCCTAATGATTCTGACTAATTTACAGCCCTTAACATTCTCACAGAGATTTATTCTGAGGAGTTCCTTTGCTTGACAGAGAAAGTAGCACCTAGAGATGGCTGCGACTGGCTGAGAGGCATGTCAATCATTGTTTTGCAATTGGTTATGATATGAACTGAATTATCAACAAACTCAAAAAGGAGGCAGATATATATAGTCTCATGTGCCAGAAGAAGACAATGGCTGGATGATTTCTTGCATATAGAAGAGCAAAAAACCACTGCTATCGAAAGTGTAAAATAAGTTAATGTACTAAAACATTGAAAACAATTTAAATGTTTTGCCTATTCATTATTATTATTATTGCAGTTGTCGTTATTAGTATTTTTATTATTATTTTTTTAATAATATAGGAAAAATATCTATTTACTGTTAAAAACGTCTAGTAAGAAATCTGAGTGGCTGGTAAAGTTTAGGCATCCACCAGTTATCCACTTTGCATGGTCGATAAAAAAGTTTATGAAAAGTTGTACCCTGTTTGAATATCTTATCATCAAAAAACTGTAACCGCTCAATTTGAAAGAACTAAAATAAACAAATGCAGTTTTGTCCCCACCTTCTTGCAGGTATCGAAGTATTACCAAACAGTTTTTCCGAAAGGCTGATGGTGTGGTGGTGATCTATGATGTAACCATGCACAGCAGCTTTAGGTCAGTGCGCCCCTGGCTTGCCAGCATACAGGAAGCAGTGGGGGACCCTATTCCCATCATGCTTCTTGGCAACAAATCAGACAAGGAGAGTATGAGAGAGGTGCCAGCTAAAGAGGGGAAAAGGCTAGCTGAGGTAAAGTCCTAAACACACTACAAAGCACAATATTCATCTATAGATACAGTCCATGTTCGTTGCGTTGATGGAAGCACAGTATAATACAGTAAACTGAACGATTCAGTAAAACAGTTCAAAATTTATCAAAGGAGCCCCTAAGTAGTTTACTCATCACACTGTACAGATAACACACATTCCTTCAGCACTGATTTACATTCAGATTTGTCTTCTCTCATGTTTAACAGGAAACAGGTCTGATGTTCTTCGAGTGCAGTGCTTGTACAGGTTGCAATGTGCTAGAAGCCATGTTACATCTAGCCAGGTAAGGACAGTAGCTTTGCAGTGACACACCATCTGGTTTTCCCACTATGTTTAATTGTAAACAAGACATCACTTTGTTTTTGTAGAACCTTTATCTAGAACTGTAACCCAAATCAAGCATTGAAACAAGAAACCGCAGCAGTGCGTCTGGTGGCTTTGACAGGAAAGTGGGGGTGTGGGGAATTATTTATTGTGGTTTTCTTTGTTGGGTGAGAGTCTCTGAGTAGTTAATTTACTTATATTGGTTTAGTTAAGAATGATTCTTGGAGCTGTAGGGGATGGTGTATTTGGTGCAAATTTGTTTCATTGAGAGTGAGAGAACAAAAAGAAAGAAGAAATCAGTTACCAGTGATTTTGTCAGTAACGGTATTCACGCTGCAACAGAGAGTGGTATTTCATACTGTCTTTGTTTTTCATGCTGTGCATAAAAGTTTGTAGGCCTAGCTCATCCAAATTCTAAGGTTTTTGAGTTCATTCTAAAGGGGCCGGAATGATTTGGCCTTAGGAATATATTGCAGTGTAAAATTTACCTTTAAATTTCTTTAGTTCAGATTTGTTGTATTATAGTAGAAATGATTTTATTATCCAGCTTTCATGACCCTCAAGCTGTGAGTATTCAGGGAAGGAGCATGGCTTGAGTCTTTTCCTCCCATGGGTCTGGAAGGGGGTCACCCTGACCATCAGCTTCAAAAACAATTTGTACCCTAGTCCACACCATTAACACTTTAACATTGAAATATTGCGCAAACAAGCACCTTCACTTAATGAAGCAATTACCAGTGCTAACAGTGTTAAGGATTATTTTACTATCAGTTTCTACTGTCTCTCTGTGGTATTGCACAACATCTTGTTATTTGCACAACGCTTGCTATGGTACGACTGAATGAATAAGCATTCCAGGGCTTATATTCAATATGGCACATAAAAATCTAATCTCTAATCTAATCCTAAATCTCTAATCATAGATCTTAAACAACACAAAAGACGAATTAAGAAGGAGAGATGGAGAATGGAGAATTGTTTAATTTACAACAAGATGATATTAAAGTTAAAAACTTCTTTACTATTTTTACTGAATCCTATTTGTGTATGTTTACTGAATGGAATGCTGCAAATGGGCATTCTACTGACTCTTGTTTGTCTCTTGTTAACTGACTGTGTTTGTTGATTCAGAGTGCTGAGGGAGCAAGAGGACAGAGTGTGGGAGAGCACAGTGCGGCTGGTGGATCAACCAGTGAAGAAGAAATCCTGCTGCAAGTGACCACACATGCACATGCATACTCCTTGCATTGACTTCTGTGTAACTATACTTACATGCTGCACTACTCACAATTAAACCCAACCCTAAACCTAACTTCGGAAACCAAAAGGAAATCTTTTGACTCCTTTTTCCAATAAAAACTGCATTTTTGGGGGATCAGTAATATTTTTAACAGTGGGGAAAAAGGCTATATACATGGGCACACATACATAAACCTGCTGCTGTTTCCTAGTTCTTATGCAAGTGTAATGAGTAGCACATCAGTAAGAGCATGTTGCCATACAACAGTTACTTGTATAAGGTATAACGTGACTGTTACAAGAAGAGAGGAACTTTTGTTTATAAGAGAGAGGTACTTTTGCTTGTAAGCTGGTATTTGGTTAACAGACTGTAAAAAAACACATTTCAGAGCCTTTTCAAGAGAAATTGAAGTTGATTTGATCATATCAATCATGAGGATACATGCTGAAAAACTGTGGTCTGCTCATGGAAATTATATTAAGTATTTTATATGCTATTAAAAATCAAACAAACAAAATCCAGTGTAGCACTCAATGTAACAGTAATTGGTAAAAAATAAGCTACAGGGATGTCCCGCAGTTGCTCCTGTTTACACCCTAATAGGATGTGCAAGAGTTGCCCATAGCAACATAGCAGCAGTGAAGAGTATTTTGTTTGTGTGCTACAAGCATTAATGTCCTGTGTCAGCTTTGCTAGAAAACTGATTTTAAGCAAAAATGTACCATCCCTTACACATTTCTCCCAGGTCCTGGGAAGTTACACTCCTAGTAAAACCTTTGTTTAAAGATGGATACAAACTGAGTTGTAAAATGTAAAAACATTTCTGTTCATTCAATATTTTATGTTGTTCTGTGTATGCATATTGTTATCTGAATGACAGTGTTATATTAAATAAAACTTATTTTTGGTTATTTGTAATTCAATCTTGTGATACTGAAGTCAATTTAGTAGAAATAGGACTCATTTACTCATCTCTGATTTATTTACCCATTCTTACCCCAGAATTCCAAGAAACTTAACAAATGATTGCTTAAAATGTTAAAATTATGTGCCAAAAATATTAAACATTGACCTTAAAAAAACAACAAAAAGAAGCTTCAAACCAGTATTGTGATTCTTGAAAAAGAACATCTTCACTCATTAAAAGCAACAAGTCAGAAAACATGCTAGCCACAATATTAAACCGTTCAACCACCAAGCAGTTAACAAAATTAACAGTTAAATACATTTACTCATGAGGAGTAAGTTAAATTATTTGAAAATAAGTAATAAAATGTCTTGCTCTTAAATACTCATCTTTCTCCATGCTGTTAAAATAATCATCCTGTAGAGCCTAAAATGTGCACATTAAGTGTTTTTATTTAAAGAACTATGTCACCTCTTTTTGTGTCACATTGCCTTATAGATTACTGTTCAACAGTGTACTTTCTGCCATGCTTTCTTTTCTTCTGGTTAAAATAAAGGACAACTAAGACATTCTCAAGCTCATTGACAAGTACATTCAGTGATGCTCTCTTACAGCCTTGTGTTTTGCAGAGTTGGAGGACTGATGACACTATTGCTCTTTGCGCTGGTTTTGCACTGATGATGACATCATGTTGCACTTGTGTTGTCCTCTTAGTCTCTCCTGTTTGGTCAGAACATGTAGCAGCAAGTGATTCAGCCTCCTCTTGCTTTCTCTGGTTAGCTCAGTTTTTGGGGAAATGTTGCCCCCTGGTGGAGCCCTACCGCATCTTGTAGTCATGGGAAATGGCTGCGTCACAGAGCTGCCCTTTGAAATCCAGCTCAAAGGTGAAGTCCAAGTCACGCTGTAGAAAAAAAAAATTGAATGGGGCTTCAGTGACTGTTCCAGTAACTGCAACATTTACTATTCACTCTGTCTTTGTCTTCCTTTATCTTTTCTATTTTACAACACCTACTCTCATCCTGTTCTTCTCTTGCCAGTCTGGCCCTTGTTCATTCTCTCTCTGCTTCTCTGTCTCTGCCAAGGCACCCACTCTCTTTTCTCTCTCCATTCATTGCCTCTTACCTCATTGTTCTCATTGGGCTTCACAGCGATGCTGCCTAGGATTTCCTCTCCTCGCCGCACGGTCAGGTAGTCCTCCAGGTAAAATACTGTCTGCTTCCAGTGAGTACTGGGACCATCAGGGGCTGAGAATATGAGCAGAAAATGAAAAATCTGTATGCTTGTAAATGTCATTGGAATTATGAATTAGAAAAACATTGAAAAACAAGATTTGCATTTTGTAATACACATGAGGTTTGTTTTTAATGGTCATTGATGTGTTCTCAGAGTTTGTCAGTGAAGCTAAACCTGTGGAGAAGCCCGTTTTCTTGTGACACTTGGTGAACTCTATGTTGAAGTAGGTGACAAGAGCATGAATGTAGTCATTCCTCTGGATCTGCAGGCAAAAAGCTGAGGTGAAGGTCAGGTCCTCTAGTTTCACTGTGTAAATGTCCACCTCCTGCAAGGTACCAACAACAAAAAACTAATTTCAGTGATTCAGAGGTTTTTATTATGTACCTTTGTACTATGATGAGTGAGATGGGAGAAAATAACTAAAACATAATTTGCACTTGAAAGTTTGAAGACTGCAGTTACACATGCTTAACTTCTATGTTTTACACACACACACACACACACACATATCATCTAAATCGCTTATCCTTCTGGGCTGTGGCGGGGTGCTGGAGCCTATCCCAGCTGTCATTGGGCGGAAGGCAGGATACACCCTGGACAGGTCGCCAGTCCATCGCAGGGCAAACAGACATACATCTATGTTGTATAATAATAATAATAATAATAATAATAATAATTTTAATTTACATAGCACTTTTTATGCCGGTGGCAGATGGTGATAAAGTTAAACAGCAATACAAGAAATAAGTATTAATTTAGAATCATATAAGAAAATGACACAGATCAAATTAGAAAAGTTAAAGAGATACGTTTTTAGATGGTTTTTAGAAGTGAGCACTGAGCTTGACTGTCTAATAAAAGGTGTATTGAATTCCACAGTTTAGAGGCTGAATGAGGCCTCTCCATGTTTTCTGTATTTTACAGAGGGTGTTTGCAGAAGGTCAGTATCTGCAGATCTAAGATCACCTGCTGGAACATAAACAGACAGACACTCTGTGATGTAAGCGGTGTTTTAAGGTCATTCAGAGCCTTAAAAACTAGTGGCAGAACTTTAAAATCTATTCTGAACAATGCAGGTAGCCAGTGCAGTTCTGAAATGCATGTTTCTCTGCATCACTCTAAGATAGAAAAGGCCTGCTATTTAGCAATATTTCTCAAAAGATAGAAAGCTACTGTAGTGACTGCATTTACATGCAGAATAAAACAGAGCTCAGAGTCCAAGATCACATCCAGGTTTCGTACTTCAGGTTTGGTGTATGAAGCTAAAGAACCAAGTTTCTCATAACCAAGTTTCCTCAACAAACGTACATCTGTTCTGAAAACAGTTGTTTTTTTGGGGGGTGGGGGGGTTAGATTATATTTCAGACTGTTCTCAGTTATTATTGTAAATGTTGCTGCAGATATTTTAGACAAGGATTAGCTACTCATCCTACTCATACTCTCTTATCATATTGTCTGTGTCCACAGAATGCGAATCAGTGCTGAATGGACAAAGCTTCCCCTGAGCTGTTGAACACTGTGTTAGCAGAAGATCATTAACTCCATTCATCGATCCATTCGTTCATCTCATCTTTTCATTCAGAAAATCCAACAAAGAAGCAGCAGGCCATTCTTCAGTTCAAAGAGCCTTATCCCCCAGGTGTTTCGTGAGTTCACCAATAGAAGAGTCAGTGAAGTGCACACTGATACTGAAATCTCTCTCTTCTCTCTCACTCTCATCCGCCTGGCTTTATGTTTTCTCTCTGTCCTTATTTGGATGCCTCTTTTTCTCTTGATATTTGCGGCGCTGAAAAGGCTTTCAGAGAAAAACAGAATGTAAAATAGCAGCCATTCCATCTCAAGAACTACTTATAATAAAGTGGATGTATATGCCATTATCTCTGTAGTCTAGACTATTATCTTCAGTCATTAGAAAGATAATAGAGGATATTTTCAGATCTTTCCTCTTTCATAGACATTGTGTCTGCTTCCTGCATTTGATTGGCAGGTGGAGACCTTGAGAGTTCACAGTGGCAGTTGATGGAAAACATGCAAGACTCATTTATGATGTTTTTTTCGTCTAATGAATAAATAAGACTGGAACACTTTCTTGAAACCCTGTATTGTATTGACATTGCAATACTGTTCAGTAGTTTCATATTCACTGCTTATTAACTGTTTTCATAAGTCAGTTGCACTTGTGATATAAATGCCCAAAGTTATGATTATCAATTTCCCTTTGCTAATAGACTAGTTATAATGGATCTATTCCCCAAATGAACTAACAAATGACAGCAATTTCCACTTTGGCATCAAGTATAAGACATTGCCTATAAGACAGTCTGTACAAACGCTCTGTGAGTGTTCTGACAAATTACAGAGCGGTTCTATTCTATGATAATCATGCAATTATTGAATGAATGCAGCTTATTTAATTAACAGTGTTCTTACCTTTTTATTCTGAAAATAATATTACAGTCACAATATGTAACAATGAAATCGCAATATGATATTTTGGTTCCATCATGCAGCCCCAGTATGAGATGCACGCAGAGTCAGTTGAAGTGATGAAAACAGTTTAACACCTTGTCACCAAACAGCCCCTTAATGATAATTAGGTCGTTATGTAACGCCCACACAACATGTGTCCTGAGGTAGCGCCTAGTCAATCTGCTCTATGAATCAGAGCAGGGCTTTCACAAAGAGCATGCTCAAGCACTCACATTCACATTCTCATTCTCCGCCTGTCAGCCCACACACTCACATACCCTCTGTGTCCATACCTTAATAAGGCAGGAGTTGGTCACCACTTGTTTGGGATCCACAATATCAACCAGTGGTTCCATCAGAGCAACGTTCCGTATGCAGGTCATATCGAAACCATAGACGTTCTCCCACCCTAGAAGAGAGCAGGAGACTAGATTCATTTCTGTGGCTCTATTATAAGCAAATCAAGTAAGGTCAGACACTTAGATGTTTTTAGTTAGAAAGGGAATGTAGAGTGGAATTTTATGGCAGAAAGTCAGGCTACTATTTAACAACACAACCATTAAAATATAAAAGAAAGAAGTACAGTTGCTAATTGCTAATCAGTATCAGCTATGATGAATGATTAATAAGTTGGTCTAGTGCTACAGTGTGAAACATAAAACCAGAACCACTTGCAGTGAGGTGTTCTGGTCTCTCTTTGGGTCACATATGGAAAATCAGAAGGGCTGTGGGTCAGTTGCTTGGAGTATTTGACATTGTGTATTCTTGTTTAGCCGTTTGCCCTGGAAAGTCTGTGTTGTTAAACTAAGTGAGTTAATGGAACGGTTCTGTTAGGAACCCCTCTGCAAATCTCATGAGGCATTCTGAGAAGGAGAAGTTGTGATACCATCTGTTGTGTGTGCTTACCGAGCTGAGCTCAGGCTGACTGACTATGAATGTTATGTGGCATCGCTCCAAAGAACTCTTTTCTCTTTTTGGTACCTTCATTTTTAAGATTATAGAGAACTATTTTTGACCCAAAGCAGCCAAATGATCTACTCTGTTATAGTCTTAGCCTAACATTGGAGATCCAAATGCACAAGTGAACGCAAAGAGGCAGATGCTGGATGTCCCTGTCCTCCACTACATAGTGTATAACAGAAACAGTTGCTTGAAAAGATCAGCACCAGCACATCACACAAAAAATATATGCATTCACAAAAATTAGCTCTGTTTTATTTTCACCACACAGTCTGCCTGTCCCTCTGTGTCCTTATCTTTCTGGTTCTCTTTCTCTATCGCTTTCTGTTTTGAAGTCTTCCCATCCCTTCGGGCCTGAAATAGATTCATCCCTGTATCTGGCAGCCTTTGATTACATTGAGGCAAATCACACTCTTCCATCCAAAAGAGAGAAAAGGGGATTGAAGTAAAATAGACTTTTGCTTCAGCAAAATCCAATAGGGATCTCTCTCTCACTTTTCTTTCGATCTCTTTCTTTCTGATTCAAGGCATTTATACCATTTGTAGTTCTTTGAGGTGTATGCACATGTGCTTGTATATGTCTGGTTGTGCATGCATGTTAAAATCTACTTACAGTGGATTTTAAAATCTTTGTATTGTCTGTCCTCAATGGCCACCACGTACAGTGTTGCTCTGTCTGGGAACATAAAGCCTCCGGGCTTCTGAAAAAGGCAGGTATCACATCTCAGAGCAACTATCATATTCTACGTTCATTTCAAACAGCCTTTGTCTGCAGAGCTGGCAAAAATATCACTTATCATTTTCATTCTCGCTGTCTGTTCCTCTTATGTGCAGAGTGCACACTCGTCCTTGTTATATATAAGCAAATGTGAATGTGCTAAATATTCCTACTCATAAACACTTATGAACTACTTGTCCTGTGTAATTTACAGTGAATCACGACTCCATCTCTGTACTATATAGTTGTCTGCAATTTGTCCAGTAATTATTAACAATTTTGAGCCTCTGTTTGTTTTAATTGTCTGAATGACTTTGGCCTTGTCTGAACACATGCAAACACTCACTAACCAGCCACTTGTCCCTGGCATAGATGACGGTTTTCAGCATGGACTCATAAAAAAGACAGTAGCCCATCCATTCAGAGACGATAATGTCCACCTGATCCACAGGCAATTCTGTCTCCTCCACTTTCCCCTTAAAGATGGTAATAACTGCAAGACACAAATGCGTACATACTACATAGTGCAATGGTCACCAGCCCTGCTCCTTGAGCTGTACCTTCTTGCAAAAGAAGTCAAATCTAACACAGCTAATACAACTAATTATGTGTACTGATGATCTGAATAAGATGTGTACAGTCAGGTTTGGAAGTGAACTCTTCAGGAGCAGGGTTAGAGACCTCTGGCATAGAAAAACAGTGTGGTGCTATAGAAAGTATATAACATACAATAACATTCAGGGTTGGGATGTAATGGAATACAAGTACTCTGAATACGTATTCAGAATACAGAAATCAAATATCTGTATTCAGTCACTTTTTAAAGGCTGTGTTCAGAATACAGATACATTTTACATTTTTAGAAAAATATGCTTAAAACATCCACTATTTAAAAAATATACATTCACAGTTTAAAAAAATATATACCATCTTTAAAAGAAACAATTCTTGTATATAATTTTAAAATCTGTGCATGGCATCTAAAGATCTTCTCTAAGGAAGAACTCAAAAATGGCTTAACAAGTGCTGAAGTTCCTGCTAAAGCCTGAGTAGACTGATAAATCAGTGTAATGAGCCAGTTATTAATCTCAGTTTTACTTAACTCCTTTGAGAGACGTTCAAGCTGAACAGTGTCCTCCGTAGTTGACTTTCATGAATGATAAGCTTAGCATCAGTGTCATACCAGACTTGTGCATGCATTCCATGGCAAGTTACATACATGTCTTTAACTGAAAATCACACAGCTACCCACCTAATAGTCAGATTTGCAAGATTTTGTTATTGGGATATGACAAATTGTTTGCTTAGTACATGAGAACAGTGGGATGGCGGGAACTGCAGTGGACTGCAGCAAGTCATGACAGCCAAAATAATACTGAGAATAGTTAAACATTATTTGATGAAACATTGTGAAACATATTAACAGAGAAATTACATGAAGAAAACTGCCAACCAGTAATAGTAAGAAACAGTGAATTACAGCAATCAGGCATAACATTATGACCACCTTAGAGTCAGCAGGAGAGGAAGAGCAGGTACTATTTGGGTGGTGGATCATTCTCAGCACTGCAGTAATACTGATGTGGTGGTGGTGTGTTAGTGTGTGTTGCACTGGTAAGAGGGGATCAGACACAGCAGTGCTGCTGGAGTTTTTAAACACCTCAGTGTCACTGCTGGACTGAGAATAGTCCACCAACCAAAAATATCCAGCCAACTGTGTCCTGTGGGCAGTGTCCTGTGACCACTGATGAAGGACTAGAGGATGACCAACACAAACTGTGCAGCAGCAGATGAGCTATTGTCTCTGACTCTACATCTACAAGGTGGACTGGCAAGGTATCTAATAGAGTGGACAGTGAGTGGACACAGTGTTAAAAACTCCAGCAGCACTGCTGTGTCTGATCCACTCACTAACACACACTGACACACCACCACCACGTCAGTGTTACTGCAGTGCTGGGAATGATCCACCACCCAAATAGTACCTGCTCTGAGAAGGTCCATGGGGGTCCTGACCACTGAAGAACAGGGTAAAAGGGGGCTAACAAAGTATGCAGAGAAACAGATTGACTACAGTCTGTAATTGTAGAACTACAAAGTAAGTGGAGCTGATGAAATGGACAATGAGTGTAGAAACAAGGAGGTGGTCATAATGTTATGCCTGATCAGTGTAAATCAGAAATCACAACAGCAGACTTACCAATATGTTTTCTAAGCGTATTCTAAATATATTACATTTACATGTATTGTGAAGGAGTACGTTACTGAATACTTTTAACACTTTAACACGGCTGAAGTTTAGCTGGTTTTATCCTGATGAATTAATGACACATAAACGCAGCAAGTATAATTACATGAAAAGATTGCCCATGAAATTAGATCTCCTGCTTTGAAGGTGAGGTTTCTTAGCTGGGAGTGATAATTTGGGGCTATGATGATTGATGTCTCTTTTTCTCCAGTTTTTTTTTTTTCTCCACCCATCTCTGCTTCTCTGCTTCTCTCTTTTCTTTCAGCGGGGTGAGCTGCCAGTCTCCAATTACTGATTTGAAAGAGGAAGGGTGTGCTGAGAGAGCTGTGTGTATGCCTGTGTGTGTGTAAGTAGTGATTCCTCTCCTGCTGACTCTAAGCCCCCTAACCACCCCCCCACACACATACTGATTTCCAGTGTTAATCAGAACTGTTGCGGACTGATTTAGCTAAACAAGAACTTCTGCTGTCACACCACAGGAAGCAAGAGTCATAGAACAGGAAGTGGGTGTGCTATTTCCTGTGAGATGGAATGCTTCTTGCAAACTGGGAAATGTGTCACTCTTTCCTGTCCATATGCATATAACATAAACAAATGCTGTGTCCTCAGGGAACCTGAGACCTTTGCAATCCTTTTATCCAATGCTTTTTCTCTGTTGGATATTCTGTGGTCTGTTGGATATCAACTTTTTAGCAGGTTGCATACGCTGGACTTTTTGAGCTGTAGGTCTTACCGTTGTCCAGATGATTTGATTTGATGATTTTCTCAGAATACTCTGATATACTTGAGCATTCAATCTGCAAAATAAACACAGACATGCAGCAGAATGAGTGCTGTTGATTATAATATGGTACTGCAGATTTTGTTCATCTGTTGCTGAGACCCATAGTCAAATTAGGTGTCCTCTTTCTGTTAATGCAGGCTTTCACACCACCTCTGTGTGATTTTAATGTGAAATGCCTCGGTGGTGTTATCATCACATTTTAGCTCTGATATCTGACTCTGACAAATGTGTTGTTTGATACATAATTCATGCTTAATGGAAAAAAGGGTGAAACTAAAAGGACAGGGCCTTTATTTTGACATCATCTATTCTCTCTTGTTTCATCTATTCTCTCTCCTTTTTTTGTTTTACCCAATTTTGTCAGTTGTTGCCATGTACTTTCCTGTACTGCTTTAGTGTGCTTCCATGCAGTCTTTGACCTAAATGCACTTAGAAGATAGTGCTAACTGCACAGTCCTGGATATTTGACCTAGCACATGCCCGTCATTGGCTACACTCCTAAAAATAAAAGTTTTTTTTTTTTTAAGAAATAAAGGTTATTTGCGTGATACCATAGGTGCCATAGAAGAACTTATTTTGGTCCAGCAAAAAAACCCTTTTTAGCGGATTGTTTTTTTAGAGAATTATTTTTGGAAATTAGATGTCTGAGTGTGAAGAACCTTTTTTAAACCTTAGAGAATATCAACATAATGTAAAGGTTCTAGGACGAACCCTTAAAAGCATTTTACATTATGTAGAAATTTAAACATTCACAGATTATCACCAATATTTTTTCTTAAATTTGCTCTTCAGAAAGGTCCTAAAAAAGCCCACATCGGATTCATGATGTGTTCTTAAACCGCAGAATTGTTCGCACCTTTGTGCTTTTGAGTGTACATAGATTCAGTTCTTACCTAAGAACAAATAAGAAAGCAATGGTGAATGTCAGAATCTTCGTGAAAACTGTGTAAGTGGGTTTAAGAATGAATTGCTTCTTAAGAATGGTTGGTGAATGAAGCTCAAAAGTTATTCCTCTATGGCTTCACTCAAAGAACACTTTTTGTTTAATTAAGGCTGCACAATATATAATTTGCTAAAGGTTATCATAATATTGGCCTTGGCAAATACAGATATCACAGAGGCCTGCTATATGCATTTGAGCCATCTAACCAACCAAATTGTTTATTGTGAGCTGTGAGCGTCCTGATCAACCTCAGACATGCCTTGATGAAATTCTATGGGTGTTTTGATGAACCAAGGCATTGATGTGATCCAACAAACAGATCAAAACCAAATATTTTGGTCTTTAACTATGTCACATCAGGGGTTTACAACAGTCTTTTTAATATACTGCAAAGCATATTGCAATTGTAGTATAATACTTTGGCCTCATCATACAGCTCTGGCTTGCATCATGCCCAAGTGACAAAGAGACAGACTAAGCCATCCTTCTTGTGGAGCCCACTGAAGGCTGATATGGCTGTGGATCAAACAGGAACAGAACGCAGGTCGCATTTGATTGGCCATCTGCACCGCGTCAGAGCTCCCTTGTACTGATTCTTAAAAGCAGTGATGACCATCTATAAGGACCATCTGTTATTTTAGGACCCACCTGATGACTATCTTTAAGGACCCACCCCCATTTGTATATGTTTTCCATTAAGTCATGACCACTACAAAAAAAGCAGAGGCCTTTTCTGCTCATTACAAAGCAGAACAATGGCAAAAATGAACTCTCTGTGAACAAAATAGAGTAGCCTTCATAATGATGTTGTGGTACAGTTCTTGTACATTGTTGATTTGTGCTCTCTCTCTCTCTCTCTCTCTCTCTCTCTCTCTCCATCCTCTCTCACTCTTTTCCTCTCTCACCCACACTCTTCCCCAACGCATGTGCATGTGGTCTACAAAACTGCGAAGGAATGTCCTGAAGTCTGCAGATAATGACATTGCAGGCCATTCTCTAATATAAAGCTTTGTCTCCCACTGTGCTTTGTGTTGAGTTGAAGTTGTGTTCTCACCCCGTACACATGCTTGGCTCCTGCCTTGGCAGCAAACATGGAGAGGATTCCTGTCCCGCTGCCCACATCCAGAACAATCTTGTCCTTAAAAATATGTTTATTGTGATACATGGAGTTCCTGTAAGTCAATGTTCTCACCTCATCCTTCAGCATCTCCTGTTAAGAGAGAAGCACAATCCAGGTGTTTTGAATGTGTTTGCACAAATGTACCATGTCTATGAGAATCTATGAACACATTCATAACACAGTACTATGCGTCCATGAGGCACCATAAACATAGCTATAAATATTTTTTAAATATTTCAAAAGCATCGCACTTTATAGTCATGCATTATGAATTGTGAACATGCATTATTAGTAGTGTTCATAACACGTAATATGGTCAGTGCCAAAAAAACCCAGTCCCAGACTTGCATAGTGGATTATGACCTGCCTAAACACATGCTGAGCTAACCCTAACCCTAACCCTAACCCTAGTTTATAGTGTTTTTAGTGTGTTATAACATGTCTTTGCCAACTTCAAGTAAAGTGAAGTAAAGTGATATTAAAGTTCCTATAGTTACTGAATAATAAGCTGTAGTATGTAATAAGCCTGGAATTTTAAGGGATTAAAAACTTTGCCTTTCCAAATGCTTAAAGCAAACTAGTACTAAAATTAAAACTTTTTAGATTTACTTTACTTTGGAATTTGCAAGATAATGTGTTATGAACACTACTTATAATGCATTATGTCAACAATTCAGAATGCTTAAAAATGGCTGTAAAGTGTACAGTATTTTTATAAATACTTATACCAATGTTTGCAATGGCTTATGAATGCATTATAATGTGTTATGAATGTTTAATAGATGCTTATACACATGGTATTTATAAAAAGTTAGATTGTCCTTCTTAACTAAAAGGCATTCCAAAGTAAAGGGGGAATAAACGTATAACTATCTAGTATTGTGTGTCCAGCTCTTTTTGTTCTTTTGCGTTAATTTGTAGACCAGTTACTTTAATGTGACCAGTTAGCTATAATACTTTGACCAACTACTATCTATATATTTTTTAGCCAGCCAGATTAATACATATTAATGCAAATGTATACAAATTAATACAAATGTATACATTTCAGAGTAAGATGCTAAGTGCTAAATCCTCAAATGATTAACATCTGGTGTATTTCTTCACTGCATTTTCACCACTTAATTTCCCACATATAATTATGTATTTTTTGCATATAAATGCTTCTATATAAAGCACTTTAATAACAATGAAGAATACAATTTACTGCATCATGTTTAAGACTCACATAATCCCAGTCATCCTGTACAGCCTACAACCTGAAAGATCCGTCTATACCTTTGGCACTGCTTTCAGTCAGATCTTTGCTGCAGGAGTATGGGGTGATATGTAGGACACAAAGAACAGTATCGTTGGCATTCTTTTTATAGAGACAGGTCTCCATTATAGCCCTGTAGGGATTAACCGATACATATCTCTCTTTCTCTCTCCTTCTCTCTCCCTCCATCTTCCTGCTATTCTCTGTTATCAGGAACAGTCGCTTTATCTGCAGACTGCTGAACCTGACCCACATACTCAAAATGTCCCAGTATCAAACTGTCTCATGGCCAAGGCTTTTTTGTAGGAGAGATGCTTTCTCCAATTGAATGAGCTTCCAGGAGGTTAGGTAACTTGTGTTTTTATTAGATTCTGTGAATACTGGACTACTGCTAATGAAAAACAGCAACTCTATAACCTTGTTCTATGAGTATTTGCGGATGGACAGAGATGAAAAAAAAATGGTTCACTGGAGAATCTTATATCATCAGTGTGATTTCGTTCAAGACTAGGCTGAACCCCTTTGGACTTATTATCTGGTTAATCTTGAGATTTATTCTTCAGCAAGTACTATGACATTCTGTATCTACTACATAACTATATATGAAGAGCCGGAACTGAAGTATAAGCTCACATGGGTCCTTAAAGTTTAAAAGGTTGCAGAAAAATAGCTCTTTTTGTACAATAAGTTGCCTTCTGCCCAAGAATAGGCTCCAGCACCCCCTAAGCGACTTAGATGACAAGTGAACAAGTGTTAAGTTAGCCAGTATTAGCTTATAGAGTACATACAGTATACACTGTTAGAAATAAAGGTCCTGTGCAGGGACATTTTTTGTTCATCAAGGTACAAACAATGTAAATGTAACCTCAAAGGTACAAAAGGTCCAAATGTGTACCTTAAATAAGTTTTTCTTTGTGGAAAAGAACATATTTGTACCTTTTCATAACCTAATGTTTTAAAACAGAACAATAAAATAAAAAAGCCTGGAGACGAGACGGGGTGTGTGGAGTCAATACAACTTAGAAAATATAATTTCAATGGATTATGGTACAATTATGTTCCCTGACTAAAGGTACTGCTATGTATCTTTGAGGGTACCCCACCAGGGACAAGAGGGGCACTGCCCCAGTGACAGTTTAGTACCTTTATTTCTGAGAGTGTATATGGGTTTATTTGTGGAATCCAACACAAATATGACTGCAGATCAATTGTTTTATCTTATGAAGTTACCTATCCATGCTCTGCCCACAAATACATTCTTCTATAAATGCTTTACAGAACATTGGCTAAAATGTCATTCAGCCTAATGAGAAATGGTAATGCACAACTTAGTTTTGGTCAGAATACGTACACTGTTCATATTGGGCTGTTATTTGTTCATTTAGAGTCCCTACAAAGAGTTTCCAGTTTAGAATGTTACCCAACCAAACTATGTTGTAGTAGCTACACGATGTGACCTTTCAAATGCAAACAAAATGAAAAAAAAAAATGAAATTATTACTCAGTCTAAATGTAGATATTTTACCATGCTAGAGTTGTGTACTACAGTTTTCCATTAGGCTGAATGGGATTTTTGTCAACATTATGTAAAGCTTGTCCAACCTCAGAACAACTACTATGAAAGAACGCTTTTCTGGGCAGAGCATTGATTGGTTAATTAAGTGATCAAGTATGTCAGTTATGTTGTACCCTTTTATGACACCATGCTTCTTACTTGGATCCATTTCAAAACCAAGTGTAAAACTGATCTCAGATCAGACTATTTAACCCTCTGCTACTACCATATGCACCCACCCAACCCTGCCAGCGTACCTCATGAATGCCAAAGTGGGCATAGGAGTCAAAGTAGTAGTCCCGTGATGTCATCTCCTCTGGGTTGAGGAGCTTGGCCATCTTGCCCCGTCCGGGACAGGCAGACAGTGCCGAGACATGTGGGGTGTGAGGGGGGCGAGGGACATGATGGACCGAGGGCACAGGCTTAGGCACGGTGGATGACTGCAGGGACTGGGACGAGGGGGCGGGATTACTGACCGTGCGCTGCTGCTGTTGCTGCTGAAGCTGATGCTTCTGCTGCTGCTGGCAAAAAGAGGTGAAACACAAACCTGTTAACATACGTTGAAGTAATTCATAGACCATTCACCTGGTGACCTCAGCTACTAAAGCCTGTACGCTCTTTTCATGCCTAAAGGGTTTTTATAATGATGACACAGAAGAACTACATTCAGTTCCCTAAACAACCTCTCAAAGGAAACGTGAGTCAGTTTTAAAAGTTTTAGCCTCCACATTATGCCACGGTTCTACACCAATGAAAATGTTTCTAGAACTGCAGTCCAAGCCAAGGACAGTTTAGGAACCTTTATTTTGAATCTAGTGACTTTAAACCACAATGGTTTGAACGGTGCAGGTCTAAGCACCCTTAAAGTTTCAGCGAACACAGTGTAAAATATTTGTTTGATACAAAAAGATACTCTGATGATATGATACTTTGTAAGATACTATTAACCAGCATCCAGCAAAGTTTGAATAAAATATGAATGAAATATAATAAAACATGGCTTAAAAATGCTTATCAGAACTGACTGGGTGGTGTTGTGGTAAATTAGTTATGCTTTTAAGGAAGATTTTGCTGGGTCATTAGCTTTCTCTGTACATTTCTCAGACTTGAACAGAGAGAACAGGGCCACAGAAGATCATAGTTTTGTTAAAGCAACAGCCTTATAATTGGTGAGGGTACTGTTTACGTAAGTGCTACCCAAAATTAGGACCACATAGTTTACACTGAGAGCAGAGAATGTTGGCAAAATACATCAGCCATTAATGACTGATGTATTTATGGCTCAGGTGTAAGTATTTGGGCCAAATCATGCCCACAAGAAAAGGATTAACCTAATTAGAAAGAAAACACACAGATTTAGGTTCCCTGGAGCCTTAAAAACAATCATTTCCCATGGGTTCGTTAGTAAAGGCAATGGTTATGTATATAACCCTGTTAAAAAAATTGAATGCATAAATGGATGCTTACATGGTTAAATTGTTCTTCTCTACACAGTTAAAATATACGTCAAGGGTTCTTTAGTAAAAGCAACAATTATATTTAACGTTTGATGTATTTATAGCTCAGGTATAAGTATTGGCCAAATCGTGCCCACAAGAGCAAGATTAACCTAATTAGAAAAACACACACAGATTTAGGTTCCCTGGAGCCTTAAGAACAGTCATTTTCAAGGGTTCTTTAGTTAAGGTAATGCTTATATACATAACCTTGTCTAAAAAAAAAAGAATGCATGAATGGATTCTTGCATGGTTAAACTGTTCTACACTGTTCTTCAGGGGTTCTTTGATAAAGGCAATAGTTCTATTTAGAATCATGAGTTACATGCTTAAATGCATAACATGCTTAAATGGTTCTTTGCCTGTGAAATGGTTCTACAGATTGATGAAGAATGTGTGTATATAATCCTTTACAGCACCGTTTTGCAAATGTTTCCTAATAGTACCAAAAAGAGTCAATCTGAAGAACCATTTCACCATGCAAAGAGCCATTTAAGCACGCAAATGTGTCTATGTAGAACACATGGTTCAAAATAGAACAACTGCCTTTACCAAAGAACCCTTAAAGAACCAAGTGTGCATGGTGGAAAACGTGTTGTATATTTAAATAACCTTCAAATGGTTCTGTGCAGCAGCAAAAGGGGTTACACTCAGAACCTTTTTTAGTGCTATACAGAACCTAACAGTTCCCCAGTGACTACTTGTTTATTATTGCATCAAATATCGGTCGGATAATCGGACTGATCTCTGACTCGTGCGTGTTGGAGTCTCACGCTGAGTTACAGCGCACTAATGGACCCGTCACTGCAGCACCACGGACAGCGCTCGTGGAAACCGGGCTCTCATCGCTGTGTGGGGATTGGCTCTCGCGTGCACGAGAGGGCAAAGAAATCGTGGAGTTCCCCTCACATGTCTTAGCACTGAAACGGGCAGGCTGCGGTCTCAGGGCAGCGGTCCAGCGTCCTTAATGACCGCAGTATCTCCGCTGTTCTGATTAGCGTGACGTTCGCGGATGCTGGTGCAGAGGATCTGCTCTGTTAGTGAACCAGCATCCAGTCTGCAGCTCGGTAATCGGCTATTTCTCGCAGCACTAGCCTACAGAGGACACGGATTTGGAGGACTCAGGGGGCGAATTTAGCGCTACAGCGCTACAAAACAAGCGCACTATCAGCGTGTGATGCTCAGTAATGTTAAATGCGTTCTTATCGTCTCATCAGACGCGGCGGGAGCAGATCAGGTGTTATGAAATGCGTTATAAAACGGGTCTTTAACTCACCTCCGATCCCTCAGCCTCCGCCATCTTCCTCCGCAGGAGCAGGCACCGGGATGAGTGCCTCAATCCCATACGAGCCCGCGGCACTCAGATTAACTCGATGAGGGAAAAAGCGTTCCAGTAATCTGGGAACAGGGCTAAATATCTCCTCACAGAACTTTGGGGCGCATCAAAGTACTCTATGCATTACAGACGACCTTCAGTTCGGTTAACTCTGACTAAACATTAATATTTAAATCAAAAAAAGATGCAAAACTGGTTTGTCAGAAGCACTTTTGTCATGACCAAGTCAGCTCCCCGCGAGAGAAAGCTCCAGAAAGCGACAGCAGAGTCCTGTGGTCCATCGTGCACGAAGAAAAAGTTCCTAGAAAGCTCCCAGGCGAGGTCCCAGAAAGCGCCGCTTGGGTACCAGTTGAGCCAAAAGTGCTCAGCATGGCCAGCGCCGCGGCATGTTCCCAACACTGCTGAGGAACTCCACTCCGCCTTCACTCCGCCAGAGAGGCTCCTGCAGGCTCCTTCAGGACTGATCCCTGCAAAGACGCCGCGTCTTCGTCGCGCCCGCTCATTTCAGCCGCAACTTCGCGTGGACAGAGCAACTTTCTTCCCCCGGAGTTGAAGCGCCTGAATCAGCGCCTCCTCCTCCGCGCGCGCTGCACCTCCACCTTCCCACACAACCGCACGCGGAGCACGGAGGCGCGCGCAGCCTCCAAGCTCGCTTCAATGGAGCTGCGAGATTTTATCCCCACGAGCCTGTAGGACAGCAGAGTTACGTGTGCGTGCTTTTTGTGTGCGTGATGACCTGCGTGGCACTGAGTGAGAGGGTGAAGAACCACCAACATGATGATTGCAGTAGAAAAAACTAATTTCATGTCATTTTTAATGGTAAAAAGTATCTTTGGCAAACGTTTCACTGCCTACACAGGAGTCTATATTTAAACTTAAGAAGATTATTCTTCAAGGTTTCTTTAGTGATGGCAACGGTTTTGTTTAGAACCATGAGCTCTATATAGAAGCATTTCATTCTTAATTGGTTCTTTGCATGGTGATGATTCTTCAGTTTGGTGCAGAATGTATTGTATATGGTTCTATATAAACACCTTAAGAAGTCAAGCTTGTAAGAATAGGAGGGCCCTTTTTGGTTCTATGTAGATCCATTTTCAGAAAGGTTCTATAACCGTATACAGCATATTTTCCATCAATGTGAAGAATCATTTCACCATGCAAAGAACCATTTAAGCGATTGAAGCATGAAATGGCTTTATTAAAAAACTCATAGTTCTATGCAGAACCATTCCTTTACTAAAGAACCCTTGAAGAACCATCTTTTTAAATGTATATATTGCTGCTGTCGGAAGGAAACCTTGTATCTCCATTTTTCAGTTTTTGACATAGTTTGAAAATGCCTGTTGTCCTTTGGATTGTGTGTGAATTTGTACATTTCATGAAGAATGGAGAAAAAGAAATGGTACAAAATGACTTGGAAATAACTCTGGTTCCATTGACTTACATTAAAATTAAGTACGTTTTTTCCTTCTCCTGTAACGTTATCATTTTGGAGATACAGGTTTTCTTTTGACCAACAGCAATATATATATATATATATAATATATATATATATATATATATATATATCGGTTTCTTATATAGAGGTAAATCAGGAAATTTAAGCTTTCTTTGAGTACTATTTTGCCTTATAGCACCCTTCATGTATCATTCTGGATTTACAAAATACATACATTTTAGGCCATAACTTTCGTAAAATAATGTCTCAGGCGTCATGCAGTGTATAGTGTATTTCTACATATTTTATATAACTTTCAATGAAGCAACTTTAAGAGACATTACACCCATCAGACGTCCGGTTCCTGTCACCACCACTGTCAACATTTTTGACTTGGTAAGTTTCTCCAGGATGGAATTTCATATTAAAACACTCCAAATGACTTTGTTTACATCCTAATGATGAAACTTTGAAAAATGAAATTGTGAAATTTTGAAAAATGAAAAATTGGTGGAACCCTTTAACCAACCTATATTTAACAACATATAATGTTGGATGGCTCAGCAGGCTGATATAAGCAGGTTGTGCAGTGAACCCCAGCTGCTCTGCAGCTTTATGTACTTTCACCTCAGAGTCCAGTGTGATACAGTGTTGGTGTGATCATGTGGTTCCGCTGCTTCAGTGGGAATCAGCTCCAGTCTGCACCATTTTTAGCACTGCGTGTACACACAGAGCTGCAGGGTTTGAGTTTAGAGCTGCGACCCCCGCACTGGTACAGTGGGCCGCCCACTCTGCTTGTGTAATCCCTGGAGCTGATGTGGGAAGACACAAACACACCGTATTTTGTATTTCTAACTTTGTGGGGTATCCCCATTGCCCTCTGCAACTAAATTATGCTGTGCCTACACAACTCTAAATCCATCTCTACCATTTTTCCTCATTTATTCAAGAAAAAAAAAAAAGAACAAGCCAAAAAAGGTTCATTAAGAGACTCCATAGAAGAACCACTTGTAAAAGTTTGACTTCTTAGTATGAGGAACATTTTCACATAAAGTAAAGGGTCAATTTAGAGGCTTCTCCTAGAACTTTTACATTGTGTGAGATTCTTTATATTTTGAAAAGGTTCTTTGCACTCACACATCTTATTTGTGAAAATGGTTCTATTCAAAGAATCATCCATTGAAACGTTCTTTTAAGGAACCAGAAGTGGTTCTTCTATGGCATTGTGCAAAGAATCTTCATGTGTTGGACCTTGTGCTGGAAATTTTTGCAGGATTGCAAACTTTTCATGTTTTCCACCTGTGGGTTCCTCGATGTTTCTTGCGTTGGACCTACGGTTCTAGGAAAAACCTTTATATGATGTGGAGGTAGGCCTGTCACAGTTATTCCAGAATTGCCTGATAGCAGTTATTTGAGCTGGCTGCAGTTGTTTTTACAGCAGATAGTTTTTACAATCATGAACTTAAGATGAGCACAGTTTGCATTTTCAATTTGCATGTCAATAAAAAAAGCAGGCAACGCCACATCATGGGTCTTATGAACACAACAATTGTAGCGTCTTTAGAGGGCAGTTGTGAGTAATGTTTGTTTATTTGAGCTCAGACTGTTCCTGTCATCAGTTAGATGCTACTAGCTAGGAAGCAAAACAGCTAATCATCCAACTGAGTCACTTTAGGCTTGTACTTTAATAGTTGCGTACAATAGAAGAAAAACAAAGTGGTAATCACAATCATTTCTATACCAATTCATTGTCAGCTTAACCCCTTTTAGCAGTTCTGTGAGAGAGTATGGTACCCACAGATACATAAATACAAGGCCACACATACACTCGCACGGCATCATAAAAAGCTTGAATTAGTTCAGTGTCAGCTGTGTGTTCAGATGTTGCAGTAAACTTTAAAACTGACTGCCAGTTTGATTTTTAATGAATTAGCCCCTTAAAACTCAAGCACCTTCCCTTCCTCACTCTCAACTTTTTTTTCATATTATTTTTGTAGTTACTGAATAATAAACCTGGCTTAGAGCAGTTTAAAGCAATGGATTGGCAAAAAAAAATAATTAATGCATTTTTCTCCTTACAATAGGTGAACTCAACCAGCCAAGACCTGTTTGGAGCTAAAATTTAGCTTCTTTATTTTAGAACCAGAGCTACATGGCTAACATGACTAACAAACACTAGAACTGAATAGTCACCCAAATAGCCCAAATTGTTTCTGTAAAATGCACCCCCAAAACTTTCCTCAATCCACTTCAACCACATTCAGGTCTTAATTAAGGTGGTGCAGATTGGCCTATGTGCTTTAGGACACAGAATGACTTACTGTGAGCTGTAAAAATAAACAAAACTGGGCTGCCACTTTAGACAACAAGGTCTGTTATTCACAAACCACCTCAGCAGTAGGAGTGCTGATCTAGAAACTAGTATTTCTGACACTGATGATCATAAACATGGAGGAATCTGATCTGAGATCAGTCTGCTTTGTGAGTACCATCACTGGTGTTGTCTGAAATGACTGCCTGTAGTTTTGTTTTTGTTTATTTTTTGGATATGTACTGGACTCTGAACCACACCAACAAGTCTGAACCACCTTAATGAAGACCTGTATATGGTTGGAGAAGAAGCTGAGAGAAGTTTTGGTCATATTTGGTCATATTTTCACTGAAACTATTCGGGCTATTTGGGTGACTATTGAGTTCTAGCATTTGTTGACAATGTAAGCCTTGAAAATCCAGTTCTGATTTTTTACCGAACTTTTCCTTCAACTCATGATATACCTCACTGTGATTAATAACTTTTATATTTACACCTGTGGCTAATAGTCAGATAGTGTTGCTTTGGGTTTTGGGGAGTCTTAAAGCAGCTCAGAGTCTACTGGTGAGAGGATTTCCACTGCATGTCCTGCCCAAGAACTACAGTGAAGGACTGCTGCCCACGCACGCTGTGTAACACCACGCATAGAGTAACGCGTTCACACACCAACACCAAGTGACAGGCTGACAAGCACACACACTTTTGTAAAGTGTCCAAGGGTATGTTCTATTCATCTGGTCGGCGTCTGTGTGTAACCTATGAGAGGACGTGGGCGGCGTGTCCTATTATTCTCCGAATTCAAGCATTTCATGCTGGAGTGATGTATTTTTGTCAGAGGTGGGCAGAGTGGCCTAAAGCGATTCTTAAATAAAAGTATTGTTACTTCAATGAAGTACTGACTCAAGCATAAATAAAAAGCAACCTGAGTAGGAGTAAAGAAGTATCAGGTCAATAGTCTTGAGTCCCCTGTAGAACTGAAACAGTTACTGCCTCGAAAAACAAACTCTGCTTTGATTGGTCAAGGTTAGTTATGTACATGCTTTACTTACACTTGAAAGAGCGGACTGGAGGTGCCTTTCTCTACTGATTTAATTCATCAACGTTTCAGCCAAGACACTTTTGCAAGAAGCAAACACCTCACTACACTGGCACTTGTAAGCTCTGAGGCATTACAGACCACAGCCTGAGGCTAGCGGTACATAACCACTGGTATGTGCCTGAGTCAGTTAATTTGTTTTGTCCTTTCTGTGGCACTTTTTGACTGTGTCTACTGGACCGTCCCCTCAAAACACACACTACCCCCATCCCCCCGTGAGAGTGGCATTTAAAGAGCTTTAGGCCGGAGCACAAAAGAGCAGAGTGATAAACTAACGAGGAACAGGGAGGGAAGGCCAAACAGAACCAAGCCAGAATCACAATGAGGGATAAAAAAATATCCATTTAACAGGCTTGGTGTATTTTGAGATATCCATTCTGTCACCCCTTTTCAGTTTATTTGATCCAGTTAATTAGTTGATTTTTCACCCCTTTTGTTGCTTTGTTTGTTTACTACCAAGTCACGTCCCACACTGGATGACTTTCAATTTCCGTTCCACTGTGGTTTGCAAATGATCTTCAAATTGAACACCCCAGCTGGTGGTTTTGGAACATATTCTCTCATAGAACACATTTCCGTGTCCTGATCTGCCTATTCTAGTGCCTGTGAAAAGCAATATCATAATATCATAATAATACCCAACTCTCTGCCGAATGAAACGAGCTTTAGTTTGTATTTCTTCTCAGACAATGTCGCAAACTCCATTAAGCATCTCATCCGCATGTCTATCAGTGATGACATCTCTCGCATTAACTGCCGTTAGGGCTGTCTCAGTAGACTCCTTCCACTGGTTCGGAAATGACAGATGACATCCTCTTCCCTAATGCTGAGAGATCATGTCGGAGGCAGGTGTCCGACGCCCATGGCAGTGCATCTTCTCCTAATGGAGTTTTGGCTTTATTGGGTTACAGGGAAACAGGCTGAAAGGACAGAGCCGTGTTTGTGTTTGTGGAGAGGACAAACCCAGCCTTTGTCTCTGGCTTCGTCTTTCTTTCTGAGCTGTTATGCTGGTTGGGTGCTGGGCAGTATTGCTAGCAATCAATATCATCATGTTTTTAAATACAATGATATTTTTAGTTTGCATTAACAATATTAATGGACCTGTGCTTGTGAACTGAGAACTGGTACATTATGCTAAAAGAAAGCCTTGCAAACCAGACACAGTTTGTTTTGTTCTGCTCCTCTTTAAATTACACCAAAGGGACCCCTGCACTCCTACACTGTATTATAAGCTACTGCACGCATTAGGAGAGCAATGTTTAACAAAATGTTTTATTCACATTTTCTTGCATAAAATAGGCCTGTTAACTAACATCAAAAACTATTTTAATAAATAATACATGCAAGGGTCATTTTGGGGTATGCTGCCTTGAGTTAACATTATGCAACAAGGAAAGTGATACAGAACATTATATTTGAAAATGTGTTTTTTAAATCTAAATATTTGGAATAAAACGGACTTGAGTAACTGACTAAACACTATAATGCTAAATAAAAAACAGAGAATTTTTTTTTTTAATGTTTACACAATAAAACCTTTTCGAATTCTTGGACACCAAACAATCATTTAAAACCACAAAAGTAACAAAAAAGAATCAAATCATCTTCAAAAAAGGGAATTGTCATTCATTTTGTAAACCAAACTAATGATAAAATATGTTAAATGCTGAGAGCTACATGACATAATTGACCAAAAGGGACTTCTAGCTTCTAAAATTGCATAAATGTTAAATATTTTACAAGTTGGTAAAAAAAGTAAAACACTAAACATTTTTATTTTCTAAATAAAAAAATAATTCTAAATGAAAAATAATTGCAATAACTGCAATGCTCTCTGAGGTGGCTGCGTAAGTGGCACCTCACTTGCTACTGGCTAAATTCATTCCATTGTCACACAATGTTGCTTCAAGGCAACAAACATTTCAGCAATTTCAACATAAAAATAGTTTATATGACACTGAAAACTGTAAATACTGAATAAACGTGAATGTATAGGCATGTAAACTTCACACTTGTACAGATGCGAATCATATTTTTGGAAGAATGAAAAATGATGAATATTTGCTTTTCTAAAAGTGATTGGCTGGTGCAGTAAAGTGTATCATTCACCAGCTACACCAAGCTAAAACCAGCTCCAAAACACCCAACCAGGAGAAAGTCTGATCACATACAAGCTTTTTTGGTTTATTCAAACTTATCCCTTCTTTATTAATCATTTCATTATCATTAAATATATATCATGTTATTGTAAATGAGGAAAATGGGTTTGTTACTCTGAGGCAATATCATGCAATCCAAGAATAAACATTAACCAGAAAAAATAACACATTTATAGAATGAGAACTTACTATTCATTAAGTTATGTATTTTGAATTGTTTCTTCAAAACAATTTAAAGTGTCCAGCAAATGACGTGCACTGCAGTTAACTGCCAGGTCACTGTGTGTTTATAGTATATCAGTATTAACAAAATATCACTCAGCATTCGTAGAAGCACATACCTTTCTGTGATGTGCTTTTTTTTCAGGACTCTTTTCACACCCTAAGAGAGTGTGCGGCTGGATGCAACGTGCTCAGTGTGCGTCCTGCTTTTCTGTAATAAAACCCTTCGCAGCTATTGACAGGCATAAATAAGAGCCGAACAGGCCTGTCTAATCAACACGGCCCTGCCTCGCTGTTAAAAATACCAAATTAACCTCAGCCATGAGGGTCGGACAAGCCCTAGCACTTCATCAGCAGATGCTGTACTTTGCATAATGAAAAGGACATTTTATGATAAATCCCCCTCTTGCTTCACCACCACTTGATCGGGGTGTGTGATTGAGGTTCTTCTTGGGCCACCAAAAGGGGGAACCTTATAATGTCACCTCATGGATTTGCATAACCACAGCAAATTGCTTATGTACACAGTGAGAGCTTGGTTTATTATACAACCAATGGTTGAATGTTGGTTGTGCAGTGTTGGTTGAATGTTTCAGAATGAATGTTTGTTTGCAGCATTATGTCAATGGTACATAGCCATTGTAAACGTATTCTCTCTTTAGTTAAAGAATAGGTATCTATTAAAAAAAACAGAAAACTGAGCTGTCTATAGAATTGCAATGGAACCTTGTACACATTTCACCTATCAGCATAGGAACTGACGTTTCTTAGGTGGTGTTTTCCTCTTTTTTTGGATTCCTAAAATGCTAAAGCTAGAAAGTAAGAGGTGTGAATGACACATGTTCCATCACAATTCTAGCTCAGTAAAAAATGAGTACATGTCGCTGTCGCTGTCACGTCGCTGTCTGAACAACACATTCCATTTTTATCTTAAAATTATAATTTGAAAATGGCAACAGCAATTCCTCTGTCATAATTTAATGACAAATGAAAATGACTCAATATCTTGTTACATTAACTTACATTGTAATGTTTTCTCTCCGTTAAGCTTTCTTTTTAGAGATATGAGATTTTATTCTAGCAGTTCATACAATTCTAATTGTTCTAACTATTCTAACAATATGTAAAATGCATCCAATCTGAAGGTGGTGATTCATCTGCACACATTGTGGAATGTTAGAACTGAATATAATAAAATAAAAAAAAAGGAATGCACAGATTTTTGGGCCAAAAAACGCAGCTCATCCATGGCAACCATTTTGAAACAGGTCCTTCACAACCTGCAACATGATCTATTCATTATTTCTCAGTGTAAAATGTCTAAAATAGGTAGTCTAATGTAAACATTTAGGTTAGATGCTGGTGGGTGAAGTGGCCTTAAGAGCATCAGCCTGCATTACTGTGTTTTATTCAATGTGTAATTTTCCAATGGGGGGTGGTGGGTGTTTTTTTTGCTCTGAGGCACATGAGATGCTAGTTATGCCACTATTTTTTTATTGTCTGTATTAAACTACTATGTAAATAGTTACTGCAGTCACACTTGTGTATTGAGTGTATTTATATATAACCAAATCAAATTCAATTCAATTCAATTGTGGTGAAATCTGAGATTTGACAATGCAATTAATCGATTCTTAATCGATTCTCTGTTTGCACTATACAACCTTAGCACTATAGCAACTCCGACTTCTGACTTCTGATTTGTTTTCTTCTTTAGCGTGGGACCAGTGTGGTGCAGTGTCTGTGTCCGGAGGAACAGAGGAAGCCCTTCCTCTTGGAGCTTGGAAATGGGAATCGTCAATATTTTTTGCTTTGTAACATGAGACCATCCTTCAGGCAGGTGATGTCAGTTTCAAATCTTTTTATTGTTTTGATGTGCTGATAAAAGAATACAACAATTTGAGTAATTGTTGAATTATAAATAATAAAGTCATGTGTCAATAATAATAATAATAATAATAATAATAATTATTTATTATTATTAGTAGTAGTAGTAGTAGTAGTATGCATGGATCAGCTGGGGAAAAAAATCCATGGTAAAGTTAAGCATTGTAAAAAAGGACTCCAGAGTTGGGTCATTGTAACAACCTAACACGATCGTTAAAGGGGACGTTCACCAAATTTTCTAAATTTCATCATAGTGGTTGAGATGTAAACAAAGCGATTCAGTGTGGTTTGAGGTAAACTGGCTCATTGTGGAAAAACTTGCCGACTCACATTTCTTTCCTGTGCTGGTGACAGGAACCAGGGGTCACAATGTTTACAGCACAAACATTGTCATTTTGTTATTTTACCAAAAGAAACAGTGAACCTACACGGATCACAAAGTGTTTTTCTGGGGAGTATTTTGCCTTATAACGCCCTACATGTACCTCTCCGCCATGAATTGATTTAAAAAAATACATTCACACCTAAATCTTTCTCAAAACTACAGACATCAGGCACCGTATTCATCATGATTTTATGTAATTGTCTTACTGTGAAGGAGCTTTTAGAGGCATTTAACGCAGACCTCTGGTTCCTATCACCACCACTGTGAACAATTCTGACTCGGGAAGTTTCTCTAGAGCAGAGCATTTCACATCAAATCACTCTGCATAACTTCGTTTACATCTTAACCGTTTATGTAGATATTTCGGTTGTATTCCCCTTTAAATTACTTCAACCAACCATTTGGATAAAAAAAACACGCATGTGTTTGTTCAATATTTACCCGGCGCTGGGTTGCCAAATAACCCAGGCTGGATTGTTTTCAGGCCAGCATTTTTAGAGTGAATCGTTGTGAGGCAGCAAGAAGTAGGGAAGGAGTTGGTGATTAGTTTGCAGAGCAGTGTTAGTGGGAGGAGCAGTGTGCGCCTCCTCCTCCTCCTCCTCCTCTCCAGCCGCAGTGACCCTGCGCTCCTCCTCTGCTGGACAGGGCGGCCGCTGCTGGAGCAACAAGCAGGCAGGACTCACTCACACACACGCTGGGGGGACGGTGAGCGACGTGCTAATCCCTGAGAACGAGCTGCTTCTGGGTGAGTGTTGTTTTCCCCCTCTTTGGCCTCCGTCGCTGAAGTAGCGATGTTGTGAACGTGACTTTCTTGCACTTTCCTCACTCGCTGCAGCGGCTACACGCAGGTGTTCTGGAGGAAAGCAGAGCGGAACACCCCTCACTGTCTCTGTCTTTAGCCCCGTAACTCTGTTATCTCAGGGGAGGAAAGTTCGGCTATCGTTTATCGATCTACCTGATCTAGTCTCGATAAAAACACAGCGCTAAGTCCGACGAAAAGTGCTTTAGCCTCCGCGGATGTGCTCTGGTTCTCCGAGGGTGCAGCGCGCTCGTCTGTGGATGTGACAGACATCTTAGTGGTCAGGTGGTGGCGGTTGCGGCTGTTTTTCCTTCGCGTGGACAAGGAAGGAGCAGTCCGTGTGATTTTAGAAACCACATCACCCAAATGAGTGAAAGGAGGGTTTCCGTCACTAAACTGCCGCTCAGCATGGGCTACCAAACCAAAGGCCTGATCATCGCAAGACCCGTTTAAGGGGAGCTTTAGCACCACCACTGCACGTTATTTAGACTCACTTCCCAAAAAAGTGTATCTTACTAGTTTAAATTGTTTGTAGTTTATTCTCTGTGTCAGTATACTGTGATAGCAGGTCGCGCCCTGGGGGAGGCACTGTTGCTGCTGTGTTGCACAGCTGCCTCTGCCGTGCTACCAGAGATTTACTAAAGCAACTTGAAAAGTGGAACACCCTGCTCGGCCAATCATATCAGACCTCCTAAGTTGTAAGCCAATCATATCAGACCTGGGGAAGGGTCTCTGGTTTTACTCGCACTGTAAAGTAACTGACTGGTAACTTCAGTCAGCTGAAGCCAGGATTTTAACGGAAAGCTCACTAAAATAAAAAAAAAAATCTATAATATACAGAGTGAAAGAGTGATTACTTACAAGAGTGAATTATATAGATTTGTGGCAAATTATGGTCAGTATAGCTGGCTTTCGGCTTTTAACTCAGTGGCTTGTTAGCTGGATAACCGGGCTTATGTGAGGCAAAGAAAATGGCAAACACTAACTAGCCAGCTAGCTGACAAGCCAGCCAGTTTAACTTTACTTCATAGTGAGAGTGTGAGAATGTGAACGAGTGAAAGAGACAGAAATAATGTTATTGACAGCTGTTTATATTTTATGTGTTTTTATTTTTGTTCAGTGTTTGGAAACAGTGACACTAGTAATTTCCATATATTGTAGTTTACAGTAAATTAATGTCAGTGAAAAGGTCATATAGTGTTGATCATAATGCAGTTTTTTATCCCTCAGTTCCTCAAGCTATAGGTAGAAATTAAGAGGCAGCTCCATTGAAGGCCAGTCAGTTGTGAAGATTTTTTACCAGTTAAAACTGCTTTCAGTTAAGATTAATACTGAATGTCATTAGTGGACTTCAGGGAGAAAAATAAAAAATAAAACATTTAATTTAACTCAACTGAGAAAATAATTATATATTTATCACTATGACCATGAAATTCTGTCAGCTTATTAAACATGCCTACAGAGGAAAATCACACTCTTTCTGATTGGACCAGCTGAGGCTGAACTGATCTAGAATCTGTATTTGAATAATATATTTAGGACCTTGCAGCTTACCTAAGAGAGAGGAAACTTCAGTACCTTTGCTCGATCTGTGCTTGTTGTAAGTGGATGAATAGTGTTTAAGTCATACCAGCTCTGTGATTAACACAATCTACAAAGAGACAGATCTGTTGTGTGCCAGTTTCACCAAATAACTGTTTTTGATAATTTTCAGAGTTGTTATTGCTCTAAAAGTTAATAGTGAACAAACATTTTAGGGCCATTAAATAAAGTTCTCCCAAGGGACCATGCCCCCAGACCCCTCTAGTACAGGCTTAGCCCCCTATCCATAACCTGTAGTGATGCCCCTGGCCTGGATTAGCCTACGCTGTCAGCTCCTCCACCAATCAGAAGCTGCTTGTCAGATTCCTCTTTCTGACCTGAGGAAAACAGTCTACTCATTTACCTGTTTACTGACTGTCTCTCTTCCTCCAGACCTTCTTTGTTTCTGTTGGCTTCAACACATCAAAAAACGGTGCAAAATGCTGCCCACAAACTGAGAGTTTCCTGTGTTTGTGTTCAGCGTCAGTAGCTCAGAGTTCCTGCTGTCTCTCTCAGCAGCGTTCTCACTGCACACTTTCACAGAGGAATATCAATAGCACTTAATGGCACCTTGTTCAGCATAGGCATGCATTCTGAATGAATATTGATTATTTATGAATTAATCATACTTTCAAACTGAGTGTTGTTGTCAGATGTCTCGACCATTATCACTGCAATAAAACCATGTGAAAGTGAAAAGTCTGGCAGAAAAGTTGCTAGTAGAAAACTGTTAAAGGGCCCATATTCTACATTTTTGTGTTTTGTTTTTCCTCCTGAGGTCCACTAATGACATTTCTGTGGTTTTATGTACCAAAAACAGCCATAGTTAATTTTTACATGACTATTTTCCAACCTCTGTTTAACGCTCAGCAAACTGTAGGAACTTGAGTTTCTTGGTCCTCGACGACAGAGTCTTTCTTCTGGCAACCACCCCCAAAAACCTTATGGTTATATAGGTTGTGTTTGATTGTAATTTGGGAGACATTCTGACCCCAAGACCAGACTAATGTCTGTAGTTCCCAATCTGTGATTCTTGGAAATTCTTTGTCCACTCCAACCAACCTCCTTACTGTGTGTGGGGTCAGTATACACATACGTCCTTCCTGGCAGATTCTCAACATCTCCGGTTGTTTTAAAATTCTTAATTATTGCCCTGATAGTGGAAATGGGCATTTTCCACTGTTTCAACAGCTGTTTTCTTGTAGCCATTTCCTGATTTGTGCAGCAGAACCTTTTGTCATACATCACTGCTGTTTTCTCTGGTCTTTCTCATAGTGATGGATGACTGAGGGAATTTGGCCTGTGTTTCATCTCATATATATTCCCCAGTGAATCAGTAAGTCATGACTGACTCCATATAAAAGTTAGATTTTTGTGACATCACAAAACCAGTGAATTCTTAATAAGCTGTTTGTACAGCTTACGTTCAGTATCTGGACCCTGGAGTGAACTGTATTATGTTTTGAAACTTTAACCGTGTTTACTTATTACATTGAACTTTCTGAATTTTATTTAGCTATTTCAAAAAAAGGGAGGAAACTTTGGTTTTCTGTGAACAAGCCCTTTATATTAGCATCCTTCTGTGAAGGCGATTGCATTGAAGTCTTTAAAATTGAAATATTTTGCATTGTTTTATGCCCAGTAGTTTCTCTTTTTGATTTATTTACACTTTTGTCTTTATATATATATATATATATATATATATATATATATATATTTTAAATATGTATATTAGATATATCTCAAAGGCAGGTTCCCATACATGACACCCAGACACCCAGTAGCTTATCTTTCTTCTTTTTTTAATTTAGTGCAGTTTTAAAAATACAGAAGATCATTTAGAATTCACAGCACTTTGAATGCAAAAGGATATTTTTACACTGTACAGAAAATCTATATAGTTGTTCTTCAGAACAAGGTACTCTCTTGAGGGAGCACTCTCCCTGATTACTTCAGAGAGGCAAGAATGGCTTTCTCCACTGTTCAATAACAATCTGCAAACGGATCATCCATTTACTCTCAGCGTAACATGTAAACATAGATTATATCTGCAGAATATGAATGTGCATTCTGCAGTAAGAACGCTCCGGTGTGCTCCTGCATGAGCCGTAATGGAGCATAATGCTTTATTTAAAGCTACTGTAGATGTCAGTCAGCATCATAATGACCTGCAGCCATCTGTCTTACCTCAGATTCGAAAGCAGCTGCGAGTGTGTGTATTTCCTCGTGTGTGTGTGTGGGTGAGTGTGTGCGTATTTCGGCGTGTATTTTTGACTGTCTCCCCCAAACACCCTTATTTGCGAGCCATTATTTGGCTGTTGTTTTGACATGCACTGCTTCCACACTAAGCACTCAGACAGTCCATGTCACTCACATGCAGAGGCAGTGCATGAGCCACAGCCAGTAATTAAAGTGTCACAGAAAACAACAGCATTTGACTGCTGTCTCTCCATTAAAAACCTTTGAGCGTCCTCTTGGTGCTATTGTCTTTGTCCTTAGTCGCCCCCCAACTCCAATTTCTCTTTTTCTGCAATGCAAGAGCTTTTTTAAAGGAATACTCCAGAATACTCCAGCTGACTCGGTCTGATTCATCTGTAGCAAACTGTTGATTATCACAGAAAATAATTTTGTTGCCTTTCCCTGTACTTTGAAATGAACACAAAACCTGTTGACTTGAGACTGACGTATAATAGAAGCAATTAGACAGCTGCTGAATTCTGAGAATAAATAATTTAAATATGTGACTACATAGTGCAAATTCAAAACAAAAACTATTACACTTTTACATTACATATTCTTGTATAAGACAGACATGAGAAAATGTCTTAACAAAGCTCTACATTTGAAGTTTTATTCAGCTTTCTAATACTGGAGTAACACAGTGAAAAAGGAGTTCCGGTTACTTTTACTTTCCACAAGATTGTCTTGTGTCCAGGCACCAACAGGCAGGGAGCCTGTGAAAACTCCACCCATACCACTACCACTGCTATCGTATCACTTGGGGTGAATGATTAATAGATTAATTAGATACTTATGCTACATTAATAACTTAAGTGCTTTTCAAAATTTCTTCATAATTAAGTCATTGAAATGTAAGCAAAGTCATTCAGAGTGGTTTGATGTGAAGTGGTTCATTGTAGAGAAACCTACAGACAGCTTTTCTTTACACTGGTGGTGATAGGAACCAGGGGTCACAATGTCTGTGACACAAATATAACCATTTTATTTACTATCCAGAACCACCGGAGAACCCATACACTTATATGTTTTAAGTCAAAACCTTGTCCCAAAACTCTCATAAAACAATGTCTAAGGCATCAGGTGGCATGTTTGTAAACATTTCACGTAAAAACTTTCTGTGAGGTCTGTGAGATTTTTTAGATGCATTAAATGCTTTAGACCACCAACACCTCCACTGTGGACAATTCTGACCCTGTAAGCTTCTCCAGAACAGAACGTTTAACATCAAACCACTCTGAGTGACTTTATTTATATCTCAACGATTTAATAATGTAAAAATTATGAAAAGTATTACATGTGATGTAATACTGGTTTCATTCAGTTCACATTAATACTTTGCATTAATGCAAAGCGGCATTTTTGTTTTAACATTCCAGGCTTATTACATACTAAGGGACTTCAGTGCAAACTATTGGAGCTTTTTTTTAGGTTGTAGAAGTGTATAATAAAATTTTTGCTTGGTAAAAGGTTAACAAAAGTAATATTATATGTCAATTCAGACCTCAAAAATACTTCAAATCAACCACATTTTACAGTGTAGTAACATAGAGCGCATGAACTGGTGATTATTTATAGAAAATAATCACATTTAAGTCACAATATCGGTCGAAAATTCAGGCCAAATTTCACAATTACTTATTTTCCACAAATCATCCAGCACTACAGCCACAGATTCCTCCTTCTGGAAAACTAGTAACTATATAGATTTACAGCTTAAGTATCAAATACATTGGACTGAAGAATCTGTATAATACATACAGTCATATGCAAAAGTTTGGATGTCCCTTTCTAAGAGAAAAAGTTAAGACATCTGTAAGAAGAACACATCTCTGCACATTTTAAAGCACAATCACTGTTTATTTGCTGAATTTAACATATAGGAAAGAAAATAAAACATCCACTGTAGCCTGTGCAAATAAATAGAAATTGTGCCCTAAAATTATATTCGCTAATATAATTGTTAATAATAATATATATTATATTTGTTTTTTTTTCCCAGCATTAACTTATTTTCCCTTAGAAAATCAACAAAACATGTAAACTGATGTGTTCAAACATTTGCATATGACTGTGCATATTGAACCTAAATGTTTACTGATGGAATTCAGCAAAAGTGTTTAGAACGAACAGGTTTTCTGTGCTTTTCTGTGTATTGAAATTATTGTCAGTGGCTATTGATGGTGCGGTACAGATGCAGAGAGAGGCTGGAGGTTACTTAACCACCTCTTCAAATGTGCCTTGCATGATATGTTGTGGTGGTTAAGTTCAAAGGAATACTTTTAGAAATTCTTTCTTTCTTCTCATTTTGTCTTCCTCTGTCTGTCACTGTGTCTCTTTACCTCTCTCAGGTTCAGCAGGAGAAAAGATGGGGAGCATGTATAAGGACGAGCAGGACGACTGGGTGACGGTGTGTCTGAAGTACCTCCTCTTCGTCTTCAACTTTCTCTTCTGGGTGAGTCTGCATCGTGAGCACTGCAGCCTTCATAGCTTCATCTCATGGTGACATTTATGGAGTTTGGGTTGTCTTATCTTTTCATGCTCTACAGATGGAGTAGGGGGAATATGTGATGTTCATACTTTTATCTGGCTCAGTAGAGTTTTGATCTGTGAGACATGGAGAGAGGGAGAGAGAGAGAGAGAGAGAGAGAGAGAGAGAGAGAGAAAGAAAGAAAAGACAGAGTCCAGGATCTAATCAGAGTGTGCAGAATCTCAGTGCAGGGACTTGTGCCTATAGTGTGTGTAAGTTTCTTAAACAATGTTTAGTAGTAGAGCTGAGTCAAGCCCTGATGCTCTTCAGAGCCTGGGGCCAGTAGGAGAATCACATTTAAATTGTTTTGAGTATTGCAAAGGAGTAAAGAAGACGTGTGTGTGTTTACTGTGTGTGAGTCACTGTCAGTAACACTGTAGGGGGCCACACTCAGAACCCAATCTTTCCACCTCTCCCCTCCCTCTCTGCTTCTCGTCCTATCCGACAGTGCAGCAGCTCATGAACTGGGACAGCACCCTCTAGAGTTGAATCTGTTTGTTGAGTGGTTTTAAAAAGTTTCTTTTGTGAACAGAAAAGAGAGAAAGAGATAAGCCCGCATCTTGGCTTGAGTCGCAGACGCGTTAGCCTGCGTGTTGTGTACTGATTCATTCTCATTGTCACGCAAATATGTGTATAGATTGACTTACACTTTGACACTGATCCTTGGTGTATTTTGACAGCGTCAGGAAGAGGCTTTGCATAAATCCAAGAGCCAAACCCCGGGGTCTACCCTCAGGAAAAGAATGCAGGCACTCCTTAATACACAATACAGAGCAAAACATGCATGTTTGAAACAATGGTCAGGAAAAAAGGGCCGTTTTTCCTTCTGGTTCATTTCCTTCATCTGGTTCATTAATTTGTTCTTTTGACATTTATTAATAATGACATTTTGTGAAAGAGAAATTCAGTTAAAGCTACACACGTAAGATTTTTTGTTAAAATGTAAAGAAATGATTTAGGAGAAATCAAACCATGCCAAGTTATGGTGTGCATGTACTGCTGCGAGTCACCCTGTAAATCCTAAATAAAATATTTAAGAGTGCGAGGTGTCAAGTCGCATTTCTTTTCTTATTAATATCAAATGCAGTCAAAATGAAGCTCCGACTTGATGTTTAGGTCTCAAGTGCAAAATCAACATAATACTGATGAAGATATGACAGACATGACAACAGTGGATAATTCACTGACATGCTCAGAACAATCATCCTGCGCCAAGTTTTGACTGAGTTCTCTTTGAATGCTCTTTCAATTAGCTCGTAAACCTCGTCTGCTTGTGGGGGTCCGCAGCTACTGTCACAAAGCAGAAATCTAAGTCCAAGCCCCAAATGAGCGTCGCCAAGGGTGACCGTGGCAAGAATATCTCCCTAAGAGCAAAAGGAAGACACCTTGAGAGGATCCAAGACTCAAACATGGAACCCACAATTAATGTACAATAGTGAATATAGACAAAAGAAATGGATTTAGGTTAACCAATGATAACTGATTACCACTGTTAGAGGCCTATCAGAGAAGCAGAGAAATAGATCAGAAAAAAAGATCTATGAAAATCAGGGACTTCTGTAAGAAGTATATCACAAAGAAAATGAGAATTAAATTCATTAATTAAATCCATGAAATCAACTAACACCAGTGGCTACTGTCATATAATATGCAGAATATACTAGTTCATATTAAAAAATTAAATAAACCCAAAACATTATTGGATTTTCCGTGCATAATTAACCTGCCTGTTTACAATGTCCTTGATAGCATTGAGGCTAGAGCTCTAGCATTGGTAGAAAACAGCTGACTGCGTTCTGTGTGATGTAGCTATAAACTGAGCACATCTGCAATGCAGGGTCAAAAACGGATTTCCAAATGAAAAAAATAAGATGCATAAGTAATATTTTTGTAGGTTAACAGTGGCTTATTATTCTGGAATATTACTTTTTAATTAGAAACGTTTTTAGCAACCAATATTTATTTATTGTGCAAAAATAATAAAAACAATACGTAGATAAACCTGTGTCGATATTGCCTTCTAACGCTAACACTAGCCCCGCAGGCCTGCCAAGAACTTAAAAAAGTTTAACGCTTCAGTTTCTACAAAGCTGAAGTTGGCTTCTTATTCAGCAGTCCTGTCTGTTCCACCTTAAATGGAGCAGCAGTTACAGTCTGTAGAGGTGCCTGACAGTAAATACTGAACAGGAAATTTGAATAAGAAGCCAACTTCGGCTTTGTCTGATTTCTCAGATCATTTGTCTCATATGTGCATCCCACACACTTGTGCCTCTGATCGTCAGAATATGCTATAATTTAAAAGTTATTACGGTCTTTCATGCTTAAGTACCAGCTGGTACATGGCTTGTTGCGCCGACGAGGCCCAGACTACGGCATCATCTGACACAGCTGACCGAGACGGGTGGCTTCTCAGGTGGAATGAGAGGAAAGGTGTCATTTGGTCTGGTGTTCGTGTTAAGCTAAGGCTAACCCTAAAAGGCTGATTGTTCCCTTATGTCTCAAAAATGCTTTATTAGCGCTGTTTGTATGTTGTGTTATCTGTGCTTATTTGTGGCATACTGGTATAACAGTTATGACAAAACTCATACCAGAGGAAAAAAATCAACCACTCACTACTACATTAGGATTTTGTGGGTTTCTGCTGTTTATTTGTTAGAATATTGCATTTGTCCCCTGAAAGTCACCAATTTCTTCTGATTGAAAGCATGTGAGTGAATACAAACTTTGTCTGTTTTCAGGCTATACAGTTTTGCTGACATTCACTGGACATAAGACCCTTTGTGTGGTGTGTGAAACCCGAGACTGTAGTTGTTTTTCAGAAGGCACAGTAAGATCAAACTTACAGCCTTTCTTGCAGTTGAGTGGGCAGGACCCCTACAGTGTGTGGTATGTAGGGCAGCTCCCGTACAGAATCCCCAGAGGGTGTATGAGACACTGGCCTGACTTTTGTTCAGGCCTAGGAGTAGAGGGAATAGAGGACTGGAATTACTTCACAGGTATTTCCTCACAAAACTTACAAAAGAGAAAGTGGATAGGCCAAAAAAGAAAAAATACAGTAAAGCTTCTCTGGATCACCTTAATGTGAGTATGTTAGCCCTCAGAAGTTGAAAGTCATAACGGTCCTGTTGCTACACAATCAAAACATGATTACACAATTACAAGATTAAATAGATTAATTTTATATTAATGTTGTATATTAGGCTTTTCATTTTGTATGAACAGGTTTGAGACTGCACTGTTTTTTTTTTGTTTGTTTCAATGTGATGTTGTCAAATGACAAACGTGGCAAAAGTGTAAATTCTTTCACTTTCCACAAAACGAGGCTGTACACTCAACAGTATTTTTTTTATAAAATGCAAATCATAATAAAATGTTTCCTTTAATACTTACAAACACAAACGCAGTCTCAATTTATCGTGTAGAATCACCACTTCCATGAACTGTGAGTGAGAAATAAATAATATCAAATTACACCATGTTTTAAACATTGCAAGGGATGACAGCTTCTGAAAGTTAAATAGGACTGTACTGTGAAAATCAAGCTCCACTCTTGCTTGAAATCTGAAAAAATCCACAGCTGAGAAGAACTCAGTGCTGTGGGTCTGTAAGGATGTGCAGGTGTCAAGAAGCCATTATTAAGTAAAGGACTGCTGTCAACAATTGACTGACCATCCCAGAGTCCAGATGTCAGCATCAGTGAATGTGTTTGGGATAACGTGGATCATGAGAAGATGAAAATGCAACCAACTTCTGAGACTTTGGACAACAATATCCCTGCAGATTTTCTGAAAAAGCTGTGTTATAAAGTGTGGACACACTAAATACTGAAAAAAAAAATAGTTGTTAAGGCTTCTGTGTAATTTCTTGTTAAATATATATTTTCTGCTTAATGGCTGTTTTGACTGGAAATTAAGTAAATAAAATAAAAGTAAATACATTAAACTTTTGCGCAGTACTGCATTTATGATAAGATTTTACTGATTTTTAGTGCAGTCTATCTGCACTGCCTTGATTTACCTCTGCAGCAGTTCGAGCTGCAGTTGAAATGTGTGGAAAGTGGCGTATAAATAACTTAGACTTATTGTCACATATCAGGCTCTACTGCATCTTAAATGTTAGATGCACTGGGATGTTCTGCAGTAAGAAGCGGAATGACTCAAAAACACTTGAGTAAAGATTCATGATGAGCATGTTGAATTATGAAAGAACTCATTCATTTTTGGCTAGAATAAGAATAGAAATCTGATCTGTAATATTTTTCTTCAGTAGTTTAAAATACTGAGGAAATTACCATTTTCGATGAAAAGGACAAAATATCCATTTATGAAATAACTATCCAGAATAGATGCGCTTTTAAGGTTTACAGTTATTGACTGTAGCCCATCTAATTGTTGTGCAATTTATCAGCCCCCCCTTCACCACATCCATCAGTGAAAATGGACCACCATTGGACCAGCACTGACCAGATATTATTTTGGTGGTGGACCATTTTCAAGGCCAGTGGTGACAGGGTAGAGGGTGTTGCATTAGTATGGTATATATTACATAATGGGCAATGAAAAATTGTTTACTAAGTAATTGTACTTAGTAAATTGGCAACATTGTGTAGATTGAATGATGATGTTGAATGAATTTTGTTCTCTCTCTCTCTCTCTCTCTCTTTTTCAGATGGGTGGAGGTGTGGTGATGGGCGTGGGGATCTGGACTCTGATTGATAAAGGAGACTACCTGAGCCTGCTGGCCTCCAGCACCTTCGCTGTCTCAGCCTACATCCTCATCCTGGCTGGGGCACTGGTCATGGTCACTGGATTTCTGGGCTGCTGTGCGGTCATCCGCGAACAGAGAAGCCTCTTGTCCACGGTAGGGGTGGCTTAACTCTGATGGCCTGGTAACACTTGTAAGAGTTCAGAACTAAAGGTGCATGACATATCGGTGGCTTATGTATTTTTTGCTGATGAATGGAAAATTTTAATTATTATTTAGTGGAGAAAGCCTAGAGAAGCCTGTACTAAGAGTTCTGTGAAGTTCAGAGGTGGAAACGTCAAAGGCTGGGAATGTTTTTCTTACAAACAGTGTCAGTGAGCTTGTGACTGTATATGAGATCATAAGCTCAGAAGTGTGGAGATGTCTACAAAGGAACAAAGACTGGCAAAGAGTGGTGAGACCAAGACAAGAATGAGATCAAATTAAGATTTTTTCAGATTATAAAAAGAAACTATAGAAAAAACTAAAATTTGTTTGTAGTTCATTGTACATTCAATATTATTAAGAAATATCATGTATAATGAATGACCAATTACACATATATAGGAACATTTAACACTATATAGCCTGAAATGTTATACGATATTACTATTATGGTCTTGTTACAAAAAATGTTACTTTTTGGAAGCAAATGATGGTGATGGTACTCGCTGTCCCTTCCTCTGTTGTTGACATTTAATAATGATAGAAAAAGTCTCATTTCCAGTTAACTCAGACAGAGACATCACACTCAGCTGGTCTTGAGAACAATTTCTGAGTCAACCTTACCCCAGGTCTGTCAACTTTACCCCAAGACCTAGACAAGACAAAGTCCAAATGATGTCAGGACCGAGACAAGTTCGAGACTGAGACCAGACTCGAGTACTATAGCACTACATATTGCAGCTTTGGTTTATTATAAAAACAATGAAGTGATACTTGCAGATTTGCCAGTGTTCAAGAAGCTGCTCCTTCTTCACATGGTCACACTCTCTTATTGTCTGCAGCCTGACTCACTCAGTTACAGCACTGACCATCTCACTGTACAAGACTCGTGCATGTTTTCAGTCATAAAAATCAAACGTTTGAAAAAATCGGAATGCCTCTGATCACTCTGGAGGGCTAAATGTTGACTCATTTTCCTCACATTACCAGATTATCAGTGCCGTCACTTATGATGGTGAATATTTGTCAGAAGAAGCAAGTTGGGGGTACAGTTGGACTCAGAATCATGTAGTTTATGGCTGGATTTAGCTATGACATGGCTAAATTGTAAATTCACATAACGATCCGTTATCAGTTTTAACCTGCCTTTCACTCACTGCACTTCAAATATTGATTATGGAGTTACTTTTTTAAAATGCTAAAAAGATAACATTATTCATTATTGGTAATGTTGTAATAAGGTGTTAATTATTGGTTATTGTTATAAAGGTTTTATTTATCAGTTATTGTTATCAATCTAGAAATTCCATATTGGTGTGACTCTGTCCAGAGCCCAAGCTGTAAATTTTCACGCTAACATGACTGGCCCTGTTATTTGTGATAGAGCAGTTAATGGATATAATTACGTGGAGGCCTCTCTTTTTAGGCACTAGTTTCCTGTCCCCTGTGTTGGCCTGCTGCTGATTCACCAGCTTCACATCTGCCCAGAAAAATGAGCTATCAGACATCTGTTTCTTCTACATTTTTAAATCTGAAAGAGAGAGAATCAGACAGAAAGAGAGAAACAGAGAGAGAGAGAGAGAGAGAGAGAGAGTGAGGCAAGGTTGTGACTGCCACTGCTGCAGTGCTATTTATAGCTAGCCTTCACTCTGATGCATGACACTCAGGGAAAGGTAGGGCGCCACCTCTGGGTGTTTCTGTCTCTGCGTGTTTGCGGGTTTGTTTTGCTGTGTTTAGATCAGAATGATTAATGAAAGCAGCACATTTTACTTCTGAGAAAGGTGATCTGAAAGTCATCTAGTGAGGGAGGTGCATTTTAATATTCCCCTCACAAAAGGGAACTGTTGTCCTTCCCTTACATCTGATCATTAATACAGTCACTCTGGACTCAGACTGGACACAGCCAGCAGCTGTTCTGCACTGTTTGATTGGCCTTGAGTTTGCTACAGCCCCTGTAAAGCCTTTGTCTCCTTCCTGGCTGACAAGTTGACTTAATTAGCCTTGGGAGTGCGTGTGTGTGCTGACTGTTGTCTTGTCATGACAGTTTCCATTTATTTACCAGGAGCTTCTTTGTTTGATTTGTAAATGTTGTTTTTTTTTTTTTGTCTGTTTCCTTTTCCCAGTAAGGGTTTCTTCACAGCTGCACATCCTTTCAGAGTCATAGGCCCAATCCCATTTCTTATTTTACCCCTGTCCGTTGTTTTCGAGTGTCACTTTGCCCATTTCAACTGAGTTACAAGGGGTAGTGGTTGAAATCTTCCCCTACGAAATGGAACAACCCTCAAATAAAAAAGAACATTACTTCATTAACAGGCTACTAGTGGTGCTCTGCTATCACCCTGCAATGATAGCCGAGGAGGGTAACGTTCAGCTCCTCACTGCTGGGCTTTAGTTAAATTTAGAGCATCATATGCTTTTAAAGAGGGGGGATACGACAATTATTTATTATCACCCACCCCTAATTCTTCAGTGACATGAAGCTGAAGTCAGCTATTTACCCGCTTCTCATTCGAATTAAATGGAGCAGCAGTTACATTTTGGTGCTTCAGACGTCAAATAGTTCAAAATGCTGAACTATTTAAGGTGGAATGGGAAAGTTAGCTAGCTAGCTACCGAGACATCAGCATACCTCTAGTGAAAAAAGGACCACAATACATTGAAGCAACATTAAACTAAGACAATACAGTGGTTATCGTAATTCTTTAACAGAGAAAATACTCACATTTGTGGGTTTCTTTGGTCGCCACCTGTGGATGTTTTCAGATCTGAAGCAGTTTGATTTTCTGCTCTCTCTCAAAGATGAAAGATTTAAGTGCTGTTTATCTGATGGGGACAGTTTTGGTGGTCTGTCAGGTATTGCACAGTTGTTAGGAGTCCTATTTTCTAAATAGGTTTTTAAAAATAACTCTGGAGTTGTGGAAACTCCTGTTCTCTCACTAATTTTTGACTCTCTCCTTCCTTAAGCCAGTGGATTATCTCATAACTAATGTCCTCAGAAATATCTGAGAACTGATTAATTTGTACTTAATAGCTGTTTTGACTAAATGACCTAAATGAAGGGTAGTTTCTGACCTTTGCACAGTAATGTACTGTGTTCAGAACGGTTATGTAGTTCTGAGAGTGAAGAATTGCATTATGGACATTGAGAGTTTAAAGGGTTAATACGTGTCTGGTTTGGCATTCCCTCCTGATCCCGAATTATTTATTATTCTGGAATCATACTGAGCGAGAGTGGTTTCAGCGCTCTGTAAATTTGCATTTGTGGCTAAGATGTCTTAACTTCCTTTCATAAACTCTCTGCATTCTGAAAGCGTGATATTTTGCAACTTATTCTCACACTGAAAACATTAAACTGTCATTTCCAAAGGCAGGCCATGGGCTGTTATCACCCTGCTCTCCCCCTGCTCTCTGTCTCTCTCTCTCTCTCCCTCTGTCCGCCTCCTCCTTTTTTTCTCGTAAATCCTGACGGCTTAGAGGCTTCTGTCATTTACTCTAGTTCATTTTCCTCCAAGAAAAATGTCACTTTGTCATTTTCATTTCTATTTATCAACATTTTCTCCTTCTCGGAGCTTGAATTGTGAGATTATGTGTGTAAACAACTTTTTTCCTTTTTTCACTGAGGAAGTGTAAATTAAGTTCCTCCATGGTGTTGAAATGTTTTCTGGTCTATATTGGGTTCATGTGATGTGAAACATCTGGAAGAGTTACATCATGATAGTCAGTCAGATGTCACATTGGTTTGTAATAAGGACTTTATGTAATACTTGTGTATTTATTGCTGTTTTGTTTTTATCACTCTGCAGTACTTCTCCTGTTTGCTGCTGATATTCCTGATTGAGCTCATTGCAGGAGTTCTAGCGTACGTGTATTATCAGAAGGTGAGCCGTCTTACTACACACACACACACACACACACACACACACACACACAGTTTATTTGCATTCACCCCTTTTCTGATTTTCTCTATAACTGCATATGTTGCAGTGAGTGTTTTGGATATTCTAGAACATAATGTAATAGTAAACAAAGAGGCCCTTTTCAAACACAAAAAAGCGCAATTTTAAAATGATCATTCAGTTTATTTAAGAAGTTATCAAACATACAAATAACCAATGTGAAAAAGTAATTGCCCCCTTAGTGATTCAAGTTATTCATCTGCATATCACTCGTGAGCCTTTGCGGTGCACCTACCGTTCATGTTTGGGAGATTCTAGATACTTCCCAGTAGTTCTGTTAGTATCCGAGGCATCTGGCCAACCACCAAAAATCCAAGTAACATTAGGAAAAAAAGCTGTGGAAATATATCACTATGGAAAGGGTTAACAATTTCTAGGACATCATCAAACCACAGAGAGAGCCATTTTCTACAAATTGAGAGCCCTCGGAGCATTCATGAATCTTTCCAGAAGTGGCCGGCCAAATCATCCTAAGGCTCCGCAGTAAGAAAAGTACTGGACAAACAGTGGATTCATGGAAGTGCACCAGTGCAGAAAACACTGCTAGCCAAATAAAACACCAGTGCGCATCTCACATTTTTTAAAAAGCACTGGGACAATCCCTAAACCATTTAGGGAGATGTTCTATGGGCAAACCAGTCCGAAGTGTTAAGTTTTTTGGCAGCACAGATGTTCTGTGCCAGAGAGTTCTTAAAGAGAATCTCTGTTCACATATATATGACTACAACTTTGAGAAGGCCACTCCAAAACATCAATTTTGCTTCTTTTCAGCCATTCAGATGTTTTTGTTTGGCATCATATTTATTATTTGTCCTGACTTAAACCGAATATAGATGCTGTGGTAGAACCTTAAACAATCAGTTCATGCATGAAAACTTAGTAATACATCTGTATTCAAGAAGCGTGGGCTCAAATTTTTCTACAGCAAAATGAAAGGCTAAAATCAAATGATAGGAAATGCTAGTTGCAGTTCTTGTGCTACAGGTCAAGCAAAGCAAGTTATTAATCTAAGGGGACAATTACTTTTTCATGTGAGTAATTTGCATGTTACATATTTCTGCTCCTTAACTAAATGACTAATAATAATTTAAAAATGTTTTGTATTTGAAAGGTTCTCTTTCTCTATTAACGCATCTTATTTAAAGATCTGAATGCATTGTGTCAAATAGAGTACAATAACAGAATAAATCAGAAGAGAAGGAAATACTTTTTCACAGAACTGTATTTAGAAATAAGCAAAATAACAATCAGCAACATTACAGAGTAGCAGACTGTTGGAAAGGTTTTAGCTGTGTACATTTAAATGAGTTATGTATCATTCATTGAAATTATAAACCTACATTCTTAATTTCAGCATCAAAATAAACAGCAAAGCTAAGACAATGACTTGCAGCTGCTTGCTGCAGATGCTCAGTAATCACAGGCTCATTATTCCTCAGGCTCCTGGAGGCTTTGAGAGAACACTGTTCTTTTCCACACCTTATAAAAACTGCTCTTGCTGCTGTGATGAGATCTATTTAGGAGATATGACGGCTTTATCGCTCTCACACTCTCCTACCCCTCTTGACTGTCTCACACCCTCCTGTTGCCACTTTCTTGCCTATTTTCTATCTTAATCTGAATCTCTTGCTCTCTCTGACTTCTCGCTTTTATTTGGTGTTCTTTTTCGTTCTCATTTACTCCCCCAGTTGAGCGACGAGCTGAAGCAGCACCTTAGCAAGACGATGACGACGAACTATGCTCAGCCAGGGAAGGAAGGCATCACTCAGGCGGTGGACCGACTGCAGCAGGATGTAAGAGATTCTGCAGTCCAGCAGCTCTTTGGGCCTGACCGCTGAGGAGTTACAAACAGTGTGCAAAAGAGTGTTAACGGCATAGTTCCTCTAAGTGTATACAATGTCCCTCTTTTCTTCTATGTGTTAATCAACCAAGATGCATTATAGGGCAAAAGGTATGTGGACCATGACACCTGTGAGAGCTTGTTGGACATCCCATTCCAAAACCATGACCTTCAGCTGATACTTGGCATTGCACACCTATTGATCTTAGGCTTTCTGTGCAGCTGCTCAGCCATGGAAATGAAGCTCCCAACACGTAGTTCTTGCAGTGATGTTGCTTTCAGAGACAGTTTGGATCTTTGTAGTGAGAACTTGGTGGCCCTGCTCAGTGAGTTTGCATGATCTAACGCTTTGTGGCTGAGCTGTTGCGCTTACATACTTCCATTTCACATAAACAGCTCTTAGAATTGACAGGGGCCGATCTAATGGGGCACAAACTGATCTGATGGCTTTCTAAGACAGTGCCACGTTTAAAGCCACTGAGCTCTCAAGTACAAACTATTCTATTGCCAATGTCTGGTCTGTGAAGATTGCAAGGCTATGTGCTTGATTTTTTTGGCTGAAACACCTAAACTCAATAATTTGGAGGGTGTCCCCATACTTTTGGCCATGTTGTGTATATTAGCCACATAGCTCCAATAAATAAATTAACTCAGTCTGAGGTGGGATAATGGTGCGTGGGCATGAAGTATGTACAGTTAAGACAAGATTCTCTTTCCTGTCTATACATTGTTATTGTTTTAATTTCTCTATTTTAATCCTCAATAAGTCAGTCACCCCCTTCCTTTCCCCATGCAGTTCAAGTGCTGTGGGAGCAACAACTCCTTCGACTGGCAGCAAAGCGTGTACATCTTGTCCCCAGAATCGGAGAAAAGGGTGGTTCCTGACAGCTGCTGCAAGACCATAACTCCAAGTTGTGGCCGAAGAGACCACCCCTCCAACATCTACAAAGTAGAGGTGGGTCTTGGAATATAAATGCTTTTCTGATTCACACAGAATCTCAAGTTATGAAATAGGGTAAAAACACGGTCAGCTTAACTCCCATTTTATTGTGTATTGGAACTATGGTATCCACTACGAGTACTGTAACTCCATACAACACTTAATACATCACTAGGGAGTGGATTGGGTTAGGAAACCTCTGCTGTAACACTGGCAGGTGCATATATTAACATTATAGTGAGTCCAAATGGCCTAAAAGGGGATGATGCTAGGGTTAACCCCAGCAGGGCCTTGAACATTGCATTATAAATACCTACATACTCATCTATTTTATTTGCCCCAGGGGTAAAATTTCACAAAAGTGGGTGGTCTTTAAAGCTGCACAGTATGCACAACATGGTAGTATTTCCTAGTATTGGTTATATTTTTAACTATTGTGATTGCAGTGTGCTTTGCTGCACACTGTAACAGTGCTGTGATCAGTTAGTGGGCTCATTTGGATGTTGCAGCCTTCTGTGAGATCAGTTCTGCAGTATTGCAATGATGATAAACAATGTAAACAATAATAACAAACAATATATATATATTATATTATCTGCCAGGAGGCATTCATCATGTGTATATATATATATATATATATATATATATATATATATATATATATATATATATTTATATATATATATATAAACATTCGCTTAAAAACTGTAAAAATTCACTGATACTTGTGTAGTATATTTCTGTCATATTCCTCTGGTAATCATATACTGCCATGACAAAGTATATGTCCCATTTTGATTTCTTCTGTTTTTGCATATTAGTCACATTTAATTGTTTCAGATCTTAATTGTTTCAGACAAAATGAAAAGTAGCAGACCCTCGATCACCTCCCGCTGTCTAGTCCACTGCATCTGAATTAGTCCACTTTGTTTTCAAGGCAGCTAACACAAAGGAATGGCCGATGTTTTGGGGTTAGCCTTAGCTTAACATGGATACCAGACAGATTTCTATGATTCCTCTTGTAAGGCCTGAGAAGCCTCCTAACTCAGTTATCTCAGTCAGTTACGCAAGTGAGCTGCTTCAGAAGATGCCACAGCTAATAAAAACAAGCCATAGACCAGCTTGTACTGATACCTATATAACTGTATTATTTTCCTGTTTCCAGCAGTATCTGACAGTCAGAGGCACATGGGATGCACGTATGAGACAAAAAACTTGAGAAATTCAATAAGGCATCTTACTCAAAATGATTGTTACACTTTAAATGGTGCAGCAGTTCCATTCAGGTGCCTGTGCAGGTCTGAGAATGCAACTGCCGATCCATTTAATGTGGACGTGAAACAACATTTAGCACCATTTCTGCTGTGTTTGCAGGGCTAGTGTTAGAAAGCAGTATTGACAAGCTTTATTTACGAATTATTCAGTTTTCTATTTACTGTTTTGCACAATATAAAAATTTCAAGTTTACTTTGGTTGTTAAAAACAGTGAAGGGACATTCCAGAATAACAAGTCACTATTAATCTATTAATTTGAATATATATACCGAAAGGTCAGAAATTCTATGTGTACTGTGTATACTGTAAATATAATGTAAATACTGTGATATACAATTCTTGGCTATTCTGCACACGATTAAGACAAAGACATCCTATGTAAACACAAAGTACAGTTTTTAAATAATCATTTCATTTAGTGAAGGAAAATGCCTCCTTTTTTTCTGTAAAGCTGCTTTGTGAACTTTGACTTGACTTGAGTTGACTTATTCAACACCATTTGGCCCTGAGTGAAAAAATAAATGAGAGCTATTGCAATTTATCAGTTTGGAAAGGGTTACAAAGCCATTTCTAAGACTCTGGGAGTCCAGTGAACCACAGCGAGAGCCACTATCTCCAGATGGAGAAACTTGGAACAATGGTGAATCTTCCCAGAAGTGGCCCGCCTCCAAGCAGACAGCGACAACTCATCCAAGAAGTCACATTTAAGGAGCTGGCCTTGCTCGCTTTAGATTAAGTCAGCATTATATTAGACTAGATTTCTACAGGGAGATTCACTCGAAAGAGGCCCTGAATATTCTGTAATAACTCTCTCTAGGATGAAGCAATCTGAACAAAACAACGAGCAATGTGCTCCTTAGTATATGGAGCTTCAAACAAGCCGGGATACCCCTGCGTCGAAGTGCTGAGGTTGGTGCCGGACAGCCGTCGCAATGTTTAACCTCCATTTGCAACATCCAGGTGCAAACCCTCCATACCCCTTCATGTGTCTGGCAGAAAACGGAGATCACTTCCAGCATTGCATGTAATGCAATCAATTACACATATGTCAATGTGTTTAGCAAATTGTTTTGGTTTAGACTGCTTCATTTACAACAGGATATTCGGGGCCTCTTTCGAGTGAATCTCCCTGTAGTGTTCCAGACGTATAAAGCTGTATACCTTCAAATTTGTGACAAAACTGTGTTTTAAATGGGAAATCATATGAGTTGTGTGTAATGTCCATGAAATGAATTTCAAAATCTCAAATAACGAAAGATTCTGTGAAGGTAAAAAGACACATAGTTTTGCTCATACGCTATCTGACTATCTTTCTTGTTGGGTTAGTATTCAACGCTTGCTTGTCTGGAGCGTTCACACACACTACGCAAATGCGGCTGCTCTGCTCTCAGCCGTCTGCCTCCAATAGTGAATGTCATCTATAATTTAGTTTGAATGATGAGTGTAGCATAAAAGTACAAAGTTGCTGTTGTGTACAGAAGCCGTGCTCTGCCGGTGGTTTGATGGGATAAGCTCCCTGGAGTGAACGTGGGATAGCAGGTTTTTCGCAGCCTTTATCTGGTAAATGCAGGAGGGAGTATCTTAGCTGGGCCTGTTCTGTGCAGACTTAGAAGCAAACAGGCTGCCAAGCTCGCTGAAAACACTGAAGCAGTCACCAAAAGTAGGTTAGCGTTAGCGCACGAAGCAGACCTGCTATCACCCACCTACAGGCCAGCACCAACACAAACACACTGGCTATGGCGTCTGTAGCTGCCTGCAGGTTAAAATGATGTTGTCTCTTACAGGGCGGCTGCATCACTAAGCTGGAGCACTTCTTGGCAGACCACCTGCTCATCATTGGAGCTGTGGGGATCGGCGTGGCCTGTCTACAGGTATCCCTTTACTCATTCGCATCTGTTTCAGTTTAATGCTAGTTTCTGCTAGCCTTTTCTTGATGTACTAATGCTAATAGTCTTAACAGAGCTTTTTTGTCTTGGAGGTTTTACAGGTACACATTATACAGGTAAAGTGATATTACTTTACGCTAAAGTGATGTACATACACTTTGTCGTTTATGACCACACATAACGGTTTTGTTAGCTTTTTGCGTGTGTTCTAATGCTAATGGCTTTAAAAAGCATAAAGAGGGGCTCTTTTGTTTTGTAGTTGGTTTTTATGTGGTCACACTGTAGAGGAAAAGTGGATTTTATTTTAGATCCAGGCTGGTACAATGATAATGTATGTGTACTTTGTTATTTATAACTCTTATTATGAATCATGATCCTAAATTAAGCTGCTGGAGCAGTTCAGATCATGACAGCAAGGTCTAGCGATTTAGTTTGATGCTTTTAAATTCTTCTCAAAATAGGTTGTTACATATGTCTGTGGGTCAGTGTGAAATGGGGGACTATTTTTGCCCCAGTCCTCCATTATGGACTTCCTATTACAGAAAGATAGATAGAAAGAGAGAGAGAGAGTGAGAGAGAGAGAGAGATCTCACAGCTAAGTGCAAGTTTAGTCCCTGTATACACTGTGGGAGTGCTATTGATTTGTTTGCTGTGAATAAACTCTAGTGAAAGGTGATGCTCATTCAGATCCTGCATTGATCTCTTTCTCAGCTGCATTGAGAGATGCAGCCCTCATAACCAGATCTTTAGGTTGTAAATTTGCAGAGTCTGGGGAGGACATGGCAGCTTTTATTCCCTTCAGATCCTAACAGGAAGAAGGATTGAATAAGTAAAAAACAACAAAAACAAGTCTCTCCATTTTTTATAAATTAGATTTTTCTACATCATTTGAGCATAGCAGCTGCTCTTTACATTGTGTGAAAATTTCATGATGAATGGACCAATACAAATGCTCCAAAATTGCTTCGAATATAATCCTTTACATTCATTTACGTTCAGAACGAGGACTGATTATCCTGCTAATCATTCTGATCTTGATAATTCTTTCATTAAAAAATAAAGACACCAGAAAGGCTTCTTTGGAGCAATGCCATAGAGCCCATGTGTCAAAGACAAGGCCCAGGGCCAGATCAAGCCCGCCACACAATCCTATCCGGCCCGCAAAAGTATTTTAATTTTCTGTTAATATCGGCCCATTTTACAGTGCACTGCACTTCAGTCCCCAGCATGCACTGCAACATAATGTCCCCCGATTCTCCTACCCCACCAACAGTCTATGGGATAGCGGTTACACCTAATTTCTACACAATTCTGTGCAATTTCACACCAGTCATATCACCAAAATGCATTTCAGTTGCAGTTCAACCAATATAAACACTTAACATCAGCTCAGCAGCCCAAGTCTTAAAGAACTTGCAAAGGAAAGATGCCAGGTGTCTAGTTCAAGCAAATAGGTAGGTTTTAAAACATCGAGCTCCTGGGGACATTTAAATTTTGAATATTTCAGGTTTCCATGAAATATTTCGAGGTCCTCTACAAGTGTCTGTTAAAGTTTTTGCATATTTTGAATAAACAATAGGCAGTTTGGGTGTTATAGCGCAACATTAATTAAGAATGAAATAAAAGCATTTTTCTATGGCACACAGATTTGAAGAGATTTTTAATATGGACCTTTAACTGGTTGAATTTGACACCCCTGCCCTAAAAGAACCAATTTTGGTTCCACAAAGAATCGTTGATAGATAGTTCTTCAAAGATTTTTTAAATGAGTTGTGTAAATGTGAGGAAACCCTTTAAAGAACATCCACATAGTGTAAAGATTAACTACCAGTTAAAGGTTCTTCCTAGAATTGCACGTCCAAGAGCCAGGAACATTTATTCTTAAGAGTATGGGTTGATGAGGGCCACCTACTTATCAAGCTCTTTTCAGTCTGTTAGGTGTCCCAACATTATGCAGCTTCTAGGCCAGCACTGCTGCACATGTTTGTGCGAATAAGGCTGTAGTAATTAGCCTGAGTAAAACTCGCATGCCTAACTACACTTCCACTGTCCAGGTCCTTCAGTTCACAGCAAAAATAAATCACGTGATCAAGTCACCGTGGAAACGTGGGGTTTGGCAGTTAATAGTGGGCTAAAAATAAAGCCTTCAGCGAATTAGTGAAACGATTTTACAGTAAAAAGCCTCCAAGTGGGCACAAGCACCTCCCGAGAGAGTGCACTAATTAAATTGATGCTCTTCAGTGATCTGTCATTATTATGCTAATAAAACACAAGTACTGCTCCACCGAGGTCAAACGCATTTGTGTTTCATTTCAGAAAAACTGGGATAACGGGCACACACAGGTTTTGCTAGTTAATCTTGGATGTTTAGTTTTATACTAAACATTATGGGTTTATATGGTTATGGTTGTGTTGTTAATCTGTCCGTTTTCTGTGTAGATGTGTCTGTCTTGTTTAATCTCTGTATGTGTTTGTATTGTACAGAATTTTTTCCTTTGTCTTTCTTGTAGGTTAAAGAGTAAATTGACTGCTTAGGTGCAAAATTCAATTGCAGAAAATTTGGGACAGTATGTGAAATGCTAAGAAAACAGGAAGTAATGATTAATAAATTCTGTTTATTGAAAACAATAAAAGACCAAACACCAATGGATCCAGTTTTGCTAGCAGACTTTTTTGCAATTTCTGTGTTATACAAGTCTTCAGCTGTGCAGCCACACAGGGTCTTCATTATCATATTTTTGCGCTTCATAATGCACTTCACATGGGAGACGTGTCTCAACATTGGGACACAGGTCTGGACTGCAGCACCCATATGCTCTGATTACATAGCCATGCTGTTGTCACACATGCAGAATGTATCTAGGCACTGTCATATGGAGATAAGCATGGATGCCCAAAAGACGTTGTCTAAAAGGCAGCATAATTTGCCCTAAAATGTGCTCTGTCTTTCAGCATCAATGGTGCCTCACAGATACCCATACCATGACAGACCCCTGGCTTTTGAACTTTATACTGGTAACAATCTGGAAAAAGTCACAGACATTCAACCTTGGCCTTTACACACAGAAGATTCCCTGAATCTTTTGATGATGAAATTACTACAGTCCTTGCAATTGCCTGTTATTGAATTATTCGCTGATTATTCACTTTTTTGCAGAGCTTTGAAACTTTCTTGCTCATAAAAGACTAGGCCTCAATACCCAAGCATTTTATAAGCATTTTTTTCTTATCTTAAATTGCCCAGTCTCACCTTTTTTGGAGCATGTTTTTAGAGCAACAGTGAAGTTGATAATGTAAAACATTGTATATCTGTTTTTGTTCAAATACAGGTGAAAGTAGATTTACAAATCACTGCTTTCTGTTTTTTTTGTATTCCACATACTGTATCAACTTTTTTATAGTTGAGGAATATATTATAGTTGTTCTTAAAGTCTTATAGATGTTGATATAACGTCTTCATGTTGTCTAGTTTCTTGTTCTCATACTGTCTGTCTGCCTGTCTCTCTCTATCTGTGTCTGTGTGTTTATGTGGTGGTTTTTGTTGTCTGTGTGTGTGTGTGTGTGTGTGTGTGTGTAGTTAGCGGGAGCACTGCTGACTGCATGCTTTATTTATCTGCTTTATAAAGAAGAGGAAGAAGACTTCTCTGACGTTTGATTGACTAGTGCCACTATTTGGCTCCTGAACAGCCAAGAGGGGACAAGGTCTGCATTATACATGTGTGGCTGCCATGTATGTGTGTGTGAGTGTGTGTGCGCCGTGCATGGTTATTGCAGCATGTTGTAATCACGTCATCATGGCTGTGCTTTCAGAATGCAAATGCAGGAATGCAGAATGCCTGCTTGCAAGCCTTTAAGCTCAGGCAGTACACTGACCAACATTACATGGCTTTAACATCCCTTAACGCAGTTGAAATCAGAGAACATATGTAGTGTTATGAGGAAAGTTACTGTTTCTTGTTTGAAAACAACACCTATTTTCATAGATGCTCCTAAAGTGTACATCTTCCCTGGTTTCTGCAGGTCTCCACCCTCTCAGCATTTCAGAGAAATGCACAGTCAGGAGTGGAAGGCAAATATATGGATGTAGGATGTAGGGTTTGATGAGGGTAGATGTATGCACTGTCCACAAATTAGCCCCACAAAATTAGCAAAATAACGTAGTCCACAGATTAGTCCCTAAACAATGGAAAGTGACATTTTTCAGACTCATTTTTATTTCTATACTGTTGTTTTATGAACACTTACAGTCATGTGCTACATTCAGAGGTCACCCTTCATTTTAATTTCCAGTCAAAATAAACATAAATACAAGTTATTCGTTTTTCAGTTAGCTCTGAGGAGGTTAGATATAGTATAAGGCATGAGGAAGAGGAAAGTCTAAAGAAAATAAGAGAAAAAAACAAAGTTCAAAAATGAGTAAAAGATACAGAGAAAATGGGACTCCTAATAACTGCAAGACCTGACAGACCACCAAAACTCTGCCCATTAGATGAACAGAACTTATAGCTTTCATCTTTGAGAGAGAGGAGAAAATCAAGCTGCTTCAGATCTGAAAACATCCACAGGTGTTTCTGTCCATCCTTCCACTGTGAGAAGACAACTCAACACTATGAGTCTGAAAGGATGTGTAGCTGTCAAGAAGCCTCACTGAGAACAAGAAAATAGGAAGAACATTTGCAAATCAAACAAAGAAGCTCCTGGTGTTCTCAAAACAATGTACCAGACCTCCGACTCATTGAATGCGTTTGGGATTACTTGGATTGTGAGAAGCAGAAATGCAACTTCTAAGACTAAACTTTGGATGTGTAGAAAAATATCCATGCAGGTTTCTTTAAAAAGCTGAAAGCGAGTCTACTGAATAGAATGGAAAGCATAGAGTCACATTAAATACTGGAAAAATCATGATTATATTTAGTTTGAGGCTTTTATGTAATTTTCTGATAAATATATGTTTTCTCTTTTTTTCCTGAGGCTGAAAAAGAATGATCCTAAATGAAGGATGGGCTCTGACTTTTGCAAAGTACTGTATGTGAAATACATATAGTGTTGTCTCAACTTTAAACCTTTCACTTCTGTCCTGTGAGGTGTAGCTTGATGAATTTTCAGCCGATTTATAGTTCCGTCTCATATATCTGCTCTACTGTTTCCTCTGAAAAGCCCTGACTCAAGGCTGGGACTCAGGGGGTCGTTGACAGACACGTTCTTGAAGGCCCCTCTGATTTAACACATATCAGCACACTCTGAGCTGTCTTGCCTCTATTTTATTCCCTCACTGAAAATAATATTGCTTTGAATTGACTTGACTTCTTTTCAGTTAGTTATATAATAAGCATTAATGTAATAGAATTGATTAATGTGAAATTATTATGCAAATTTGAATTAAACCAATTCAAAGCAAAATACCTTTTTCACAGCTCTCAATGCATTGAAAGAAACAGAAATGCCTCATTTAGAAATGCCTGACTTACAAGGACATGACTTAGCATTTAAGTATCTAGCCTCTGCTTGCTTTCATTCATTATTTTCAACCTTAGCTTCTGTGGGTGAAGTAAGGCCAGTAATTTTCCTCTTCAGTCTGTAAAATGGAGAAAAGAGGGAGTCACATGACTGAACAAAGCCTCTTTGCCTCACAGACAGGAGATGAGATCTGTTTATTGTTCTAGATCTGGGATCTTAGCTTTGACAGCTCCTTCACAAACTGCACACATAAGTGCTTTGTGCTTCTGGCCAACCGGTTGTAGATACGCTTGCACATACACATAATACACTGAGTTGCCAGTTTACCTTGTACCTACAGTCATTGGCCAGTTTATCACGAGCATGTACCGTACAGGTACACTTTGCAAGCTTACAGGTATTGACCCTAGCTTACGTGTTAGGTCTCTCAGTTAGTACATAATCATCTACTGGCAGTTATTTAAGCAGATTGCCACAGTTGTTACTATATTTTTTATTGGCTGGCTTGAGGCAAATAGATGTAAATAAAAGAATGCATAAGACCCATTTATTGAGATATGTCATGAGTCTTAAAAAAAGGGCAGCGGTGAATACTGTTTGTTTACTTGAGCTCAAGCTCTTTCTAATCACCCAACTTGATGAATAAACATTTTAGACTTGTACTTTTTGTAATATTCGCATATAATGAACAAAAACGACAGTTACATCTTTAATCACTATTATTATTTATATGGCAGTTAATCTTCAGCTGCAGTTTTATGATCATGACAGGCTACTGTCTGTTACTGCACAATTTGTCAGCCCTCATTCAGTAACTCTGTCAGTGGAAACAGACCACCATTACGCTGTAAAAACTGGTTTGTCAACCCAAAAAATTTACTGAACTGTTTTTATTCAACACTAAAAACACTTAAAAGTAGAATTTTACTTTAGATGAACAAAACCCCAAAGATCTTCTTTTTATAGGTAATAGTATATTTAATTTACTTGTCAGCAGTGTAATGTACATATAGAGGTGATAGAGGGAATGATTCCTACTGAATGATTTAAAAAAAGAACTGTCCCGTTCAACTTTTTGACAGTGTAGGACCACTGGTGACCAGATATTCTTTTGGTGGTATTCAATTTTCAGCACTGCAGAGTTGCACTAATATGAGTTTATCAGACAGTGTTTGAAAAAAATGAACTATAGCCTGCAACTCTACACATACAAGGTTTACCAATGAGGTACATGTCATTCTTCAGCCCAGTTTCTGACCACAGGACCACTGTTGGCCTGATGTTTTTCCTATCCCAGGTTTTTAAAAACTCCAGAAATCCTGCTGTATCTGATACACTCATATCGATTTGACATTCAGTAATATACTGCTAACTTGTCTTTGTCACTGCTGTGCTAAAAATGGTCCACCACCTAGATAATATCTGGTCAGTGGTGGTCCCTATCATTGATGGACGTGATAGAGAGTGGCTGAGACATTGTGCAGCAACAGATGGTCTACAGTGATTAATATTATGCTTGTGACATTATACATATAGGCTTTGCTTAGCACTGTGCTGCATAGTGCATATGAGTATGTTTCCGTCTGGATTTCAGTGGTTTCGTTCCCAGATTTCTCCTCTTTCAGGTCTGTTCTATGTCTGTATTTTCCGGGTAGGAGGGAGCTCCATCACTTTTATAGAAATGATCGCCCACTAAATACTCCCCCGGGATGCAGCTACAGCCTGCTCGAAGCCTGCCCGGCTCTCAAAAAAGCACAAGTTACTTTTCCCTCCCTCTCTGTGATATGGATACAGACCTTTTACACGCTTTTAGAAAACATTGATGGCTCTTTTGATCCTTCTTTTGCTCTAAACTTCTTCTAAGTGTCACTCTGTTTGTGTGCTCTGTATGCTGAGCCTTTTGATATTTTGTTAGAAGGCTCATAGAGCTGGGGTGCATTTCTGCTGTTTTTAGAGAACGGTCACTGTTTTTCTCTTCTGATGAACCGTGCAAGTGTCCTAACATCTTCCAGTTTCTTCTGTGCCAATTTTAAGACTGAGCCAGTCCACAAGCACTTTGAGAATGCTACAAAAAGAACTGTTGTTTTAAGTCAGTAAATTAATGTTTACACCTAGATTATTATTTTTTTTTCCATTTTAACAGCTCTACAAGCGCTTACACTCACATACACATGCACACGTACTCACAGACACAGACTCCCACACATGCTAATTGACCCAATTACAACACTACTGCCATAACGGCTGCTTTACGCCTCGGTTCCCATAGTAACCGTATGCTGCTCAGTCTCCTCATCACAAGCTTCCATCAGGAGAGCTTCTGCAACTGCAGACGTGCACATGTAACCAGTTTGAAGCACTGTTTAAGGACTACCACTCTTTTGCTAATGAAATGCACAGCTAACATCAAGCATTTTTGATATTTTTTAGCATTTCACTAATTGTTTTTCCATAAAAATGTTTGCTGAACTAAATCGGTTTGTTGTGGTTGCTGTTCTGTTTTCACATTTTCTCCCTTATTTAAGTTTTCTTATGCCCTAAACCTTTCATCCAGTCACTTACCTCAAGTTCTTCATAGGCCCATAGATGAACACGTCATTTTTCATTGTATTTGTGTATGTATTTCACCAAATGACCTCCATGAAGTTCATCTCCAGCTCTACTATTGTAATATGATACACAAATGCAGTGTTCAAAATTCTCTACCTGTAAGATTCACCTATGGGCTTCTGTGATAAGTGTGGTTGTTATTAACCCCTTCAACTCCAAGCAGTTTCATAATGACATGACTTACATATGAGTTTATTATTATTATTAGTTTTGTACTAGTTACTGAAAAAATTGAAGTAGTTACTGAATAATAAAAAGTTTAATGGAATGGTTCAGCAAAAAAATCAGACTTTCCCTCTTACTCCAGATGTAGCTGATTAGCAAGATATGTTAGTGTCTAAATGTTGCCTGTTTATTTTAGCATTGGCGTCATGAGGCTAAAGTTACGAACAAGTCAATAGTCACCCAAATCTTTTCTGCAAATACAGACCAAAACTTTGCTCAACCTGCTCAAACCACATCCAGTCAGGCAGACTTGATGATATGGTTTAGGACACAGGTGAACTATAAAAACTAATAAAATTTCACTGTGCATGTCTATACACAGCAGACAGCCATTTTAGTCGTGTGTCCCAAATTCTGACTCTTTGCGTGCATGCATGTCATGCAGGCATATGGATGTTATAGAGTACATTCCTCATCTCTGTTGTTTCTACTTATATGCTATCTAGTCTTGGAAACAACATAAATTGCAAACATACTCTATTACGTCCAAATGCCTGCGTGACGTGCCTCCACGTGAAAGGGAGTTGGAATTCACAGCACATGTTGTCTAAAATGAATTTAGCTACATTGTGAATTTTTGTTTCTAAACCACATCAACAAGTCAGCATAATCTTTATAAAGACCTGGATGTGGTTTGAGAGAGTTGAGAGGAGTTTTGAGGGTGTATTCACACAGAAAGGATTTGGGTGACTATTGACTTTTAGTGTTTATTTGCAACATTGCTGCAAGATTTAAGGGGTTCATTTGTAGTTTGACTTTTCAGTAAACTTTTTTATACTTTATATAAACATATGCAATGTTTCACTTTGTGTATGTGTTTTTTTCAGATATGTGGGATGGTGTTTACCTGCTGCCTGCACAGACAGATAAAGCTAGACCCGTACTGACCGATCAGCACGACTGCTACGGGTCACCCCAACTGCCTGCTGCCAGCCTGCACAGCCTTTCCTTTTTCTTTTCAATGCCTAAACTGCATGAATGTGCCCTCCGCTCCAGAACAGACTCAAATGGAGAGATCCTCTCCCTTCTTTTAACACTTTGGCTCTCTATTTCAGTCTGGTGGGTGAAGACACATCATGAAAACGTTTATGGCCAGTTTTTTATAATGTGGGAGTCTCAGCAAGGATGTAGCGGAATGAACCGATTTACACATTAAGGAGGCTTTCTAGTCTCGATTTGGCCAAAAATGATTTTCGAAAAATATGAAGAAGTCTATTTTTATTCAGTATCTCTGTAAGCTGTGCTGTGTATTCTTATTTAAGTCTATGTGTCTATGTTGGTAGCAGTTTTAAGATATTTAATCTTTATGCTGCTAGATGTCAACTGTCAACTGGGCACAAGAACTGGACCAATGTAGTATACTTGTTAGAAGAATTCACTGTGGTATTTTTAGTAATAATAGACATATACTTTTTAAAACGTATTCAAGTATTTTCACATCAGTAGTTTCACAAAACTTGTAATAATCTCTATATGTAGTTCTCTTGCCAGATATGTGTTGCAAGGAAAGCAGCTGTGTACAGTGCGTACTCACATTTTCCAGAACGACTACTGAGAAACTGCAAGAGCAGCTTCTATCCCATAATGCATTTCAAAAACGCCCTTGATTCAGACAAAAGTGCCCCAAAATGTGTCTGCAGAGCGCTACTCACTGATTAATGGGTTAGTTTGGCAAAAAATGTGATATATTTATACCTTTACTCCAAATGTTTGTCGGCCAAAAGAAGATGTTTGCTTCTTTAGTTTTTCTCTAGAGCTATAAAGCTGATGTACCTAACAAGTAATGCAAACTTAGCAATTTAGCAGCCCTAACTTATCTCACCTGTCTCTAACTGTGTCAAGTTAAGTCATCTCAAACAGACTTGCTGATATTCTTTCTGACACCACATAACATATTGATATCTCCAGTAATGGACAACATGCACCATAGCTAAAACCTGCAGTGGCAGCTATCTTGAAGCCTGAAGTCTATCCATCCATTTTTATAGACAACAGTATGTCATACAGTGTCGGAAACCACATACGTGAGTCGTTTTGAGATTAAAAAACTCAATGCAGTTTGAGGCAAGAATGTGGTGATGTAGGCTTGCAGTTTGTATGATGATAATTGATGGGATGTCATTAGCTACATCAGCCTCGTAGTGCAAAATTTAAGAAGTAAACCTCAGACACTGAGACCCTATTTACATCGTTTACTATAGCATACAATTATGAAACCTCTTTCGTGATACTCAGCAAAACTCGTCTTTGTCCTATTTAAACGTGAATTATGACCACTTACTGTTTAAATGTTAGCTGTGTTTACTAACTCTGGAGCCTGAAGCGTTTGATCAAAGAAAATATAGCCAGTCGTTTTAAAGCAGTGGGTTAATTTTGCCTGGTAGTGGTCACTCAGTTGGCCAAGGGCGTTTTCTCCAGCTCCCTGAGCCAGTGTTTTTCTGTGTAGCTGATTGGCTTAAGGCTGCTGCACTGAATCTGATGGAGAGTTTGGGATCCCTAGCACAATGGTGCAGCACAAATAGAGACCATAGTGAGATTCTAGTTGTTGTAAATATGATTTATAGACTGGCATTCAGTTTTCGACCCGCCGGCTAGTTTTACCAGTTTTACTTTAAGTATTTAGCAGAAAAATAGATATATTTTTCAGTAAGGTATATTTCTTCTATTTGCTTGTTGTGATTGGTAGGGTGGTGCCCCAGCACCCATAATGGACAAAAGAAAACGTCCCACCTCTTAAGTTAAATTTAGTAGCTTTGAGCAGCCCAAGCTAATAAAAAAGGGCTAGTTTGGTTCATTCACTGTCTTGCTGCAGCGCATAACATTTTAACGCACGTTGTCCATGACCACCATGACTACAGGGGGCTAATTTCTAAACAGCTTATTGTTATGAACATTGGTGTAAAGCAGAGTTAAGGAAATGAATAATGGCATGCAAAATTGTGATCTTTTGAACAGAACTGGAACAACAGGAGCAACACAGGTGATTGGTTATTGTATACGAGCTGATTTGTATATTAATTGAATTCCTGTCCGACTAACCAGAGGTGCACATGAAAGACCAGGTATAACCTAATTTTTGAGTAAGAGAAAAATTAATTGTAATTGTAAGTTAGACTGTTTGCCAAACACTGGCTATAATGAATGAATGAATTATAATGAGTACTGTTCTGTAGACACACTCACAGAACTCTTGCTTTCACTCTCATTTCATGCTTTGGTAATGTCAAAAGGCACCATGCCTTCTTTAAAACCTGTGTCGTGATGCTGGTTCTTACTGGCTTTCTCATGTCATGTTCCATGGTTTTGTGCAGTGTATGTTCTGTTGGTGTACCTTTATTATGTTCTAAGGCTTTCAAGTCACAATCTTTCAGTCATGTCAATTGAAGCCGCGCTGCGCTATGTGGATGCATTAACCTGCAGAGTACACTTTCCTTATCTGTCAGAGAGGCCTTTAATAGACCACTGCCTTCGATATTATTAGACCTGTTATAGCTGCAAAGGTGCGGAGGTGTTAAAGATGCGAAATCTTCGTACTCCAGGTGTTAAACTCCTTCCATTTGGATTGAATCTCTGAATTCACATATTAAATCCTGTTAAGGAGAAAATGTGCACCATGGCCAGAGATTAAATGCAAATATTTTCTGCCAGCTCATCACGAGGTTACCACAGCAACCCAGTCCAACTGAAACTCACTCTCAATACCACTTTTGCCTTCTGCTCCAAGCAGATGAATTTATTACGTTTAATTTGGCCAGCATGCACTATTGTCTTATGTACTGCATATAGCTGAAGCATGCTTGGAAACCAGATCTCTGTAGTCTCAGTCATACTGTATAATCGGATATAAATGGAACTGTTAATTACAACTTTAAGATGTAGATCTGCACTTGATTTATAGTTCCTGACTTGGTGCATAGAGAATTTCAGTTGGGTACTAGTATGTGCTTTATATGACATGGATATCTATTTTTCTTGCATTTGAATATGTGCTACATCTGTTGCCTAAATGCCTTAAGATAAATGTGTGCTTTTTGGAAGGGAATAGTAGGCCTGCTTTATGCAGATGCTGCAAACGCATGTACTATAAATGAATATATATATGTGCATTTTTGATACTGAAAGTAAAATGTATGTTTTGGGTAAATATAAGGAATACCTAAGTACTGTGTGACTTTTCTCGTTACTGTTGACTAATGGGATGTAATGACACACTTATGCCAACAGGTGGAGACAAACACAAATTGATTACCAGCTTCCAGGGTCAGAAGGTGTATTGATTCAAATGCATGCATGTTTGACTGGTCATAGAAGACAATAGGTCAGCACATGAAAGACATCTAACATAATATTAAAGGGAAATTCCATCAAATTTTCAAAATGTCTGCATAGTTCAGCCATTGAGATGTGAACAAAGTCAATCTGAGTGGTTCGATGTGAAATGGTGCTTTGTAGTAAACTTAAATACCCAGAATGGTTCGCAGTGTTGGTGATAGGAACCAGACGTCCAAGCAGTTTAAAGCTATTACATGTAATGATTATGAATATGCTGCCTGATGCCTGGGACATTGTTTCGGATAGCTTTGAGATTTTCGTTGTAAAATGCCTTGAATTTGTTTACACTAGTGGTGATAGGAACCATGAGTTACAATGTCTAGAACACAAACAAAGCCATTTTATTTACTATCAAAAACAAACAGTGAACCTACAGGTGTGTTCTGAGTTTTATATGTAAAGTTGATCACGGTAAAACTTTAGTAGTATTCTTTTATGTTAGCATGCTCTTCATGTACCTCTCCACTGTGAATGGCTTTAAAAAAAGCACACATTTTAGGCCAAATCTCAAAATTATCGTAACAGTATCCCAGGCATCAGGCAGCGTATTCATTATCATTACTTGTAATAGTTTTAAACTCTTTAGAAGTCTGGTTCCTGTCACCACCACTGTGAACAATTCTGAGTTGATGTTTGCCTAGAATGAAGTATTTCACATCAAACCACTCTGAATGACTTCATTTACATCTAAATGATTATGCAGAAATTTTTAACTCCCCTTTGAATAGTTTAATGGTTTTGAATATGGTTGGTGTCACAGTGTAGGCCTGTTCCTAGAAACAGATGTTTATTCAGTGGACAAGGAGAAACTGAACATGGAGATGCCACACTTTCTACAGAGTGAGTATTAAAGGAGACTGTTTAGGAGAGCTGTAATGCACGTGTGGGTTAAGGGGATTGGAGAGTGATTCACACACATGTGGGTGGATGCGGCAAACTGCCTCTCCTGCTCAACCGCATTTGTAGAGCAGGTCATTGCGTTTACATGGCCTGCATAAAAAATAACTGTCAGGGTGTGGAGCCACTGCAGAATTTCACTCGTGAGTGAAAGCAGATGAGAAAGTGCCTATTTTATGCAGAGACGGGAAGAGCAGAGACTTGTACTGCAAGTCAAAATATTTAGATGCAAACTGACTTTTGACATTGAACGTATTAGACTTCAGTACAACCCTCGCAAAATTATTTACAGACCTTTATTATACAAAGACAGTTTCAGCTTTCTGCACTCAGAAAGATGTAGAATACATATATATCAGATATTTGCATGTATTATATACAGTAGTATGCAAAGGTTTGAAAACCCCTGAACAAATCACAGAAGTTTAGAAGTAAAAAAGAGTTAACACATCTTCTACAGAGAACACACTTAAATAAGCCATTTAACATATTGGGGAAAATAAAAATATAAAATGTGCTATAACTTTTGCATTGGCCACATTTTGTATGGTTTATTTATCTTCCCAATATGTTGAAGTCAGTAAATAAACAGTTATTGTGCATTCAAATGTGTAGAAGTGTGTTCTCTGTAGAGGATGTGTGAAAAGCAACAAAACGGCCAGGGGTTTAAAAACTTCTGCACACAACTGTAAATCCTAACATTAGCTAAAATTACGCAGTCAAAGGTTTACATCCTAATATCATGCTGCCCCTTTTAGCATTAATAACAGCCTGCAGCCATTTGTTATAACTGTGAATGGGTCGTTTTATTTGGGTAAAGCAGTTAAAGCTGCTGACTCATCTTGGAAAAAAGTCCTGTAAATTCCTTAATTGCCTTGCACGTACTGCACATTTAAATTCTCCCCAAAGTGGCTCAATGATGCTGAGGTCTGGGGTCAGTAAGGACCACTCCAGAACCTTCACTTTACTGCAGCCAATGAAGGGTCAACTTGGCCTTGTATGGAAACTCCAAGTGCACCCCATGCACAGCATCCAGGCTGATGCGTGCTAACATTCGTCCAAGATTTTCTGATAAACTGCTGCATTCATCTTGCCATCAGTCTGAAGCAAAGTTCCTCACACATACCCAAAACAGCAGAGATCCACCTCCACGCTTCATGGTAGAGTTGGTGTGTTTTTCTTTATGGGTTTTGTGACCATAAAGTTCGGTTTTTGTCTCATCGCTCCAGTTTACTCCCAGAAGACTTGAGGTTTCTCTAGATGTTTGGCACATGGCAAGTGGGCTGTTTTGTGGTGTGTCTTTTTTTTTCTGGCAACTGTACCATGAAGCCCATTTCCCAGCTATCTACTTATTGTACGTTCTAAAACAGCCGCACTACTTTCTTTCAGAGGGGCCTGTATTTTAGTAGAAGTTTATATGGGTTTTTTAATTGCACAATTTTCCATCCGGTTGTCTCAGAAATCATTCTTGGTCTACCTGCCCTTGGATTGATTCTACAGAAACATTTGTTTTCCACTTCTTAGTCAGACTTTGAGCAGTTCTAATGGGCATTTTCACATCGTTTTTATAATCGTTTTCTAAGTTCTTAGAAAAGTTCTTATGCTTTCTCCATACTTTAGTATCCAGCAAATTCAGTGCAGGCATAAACCAAATGCCCAAGGTTTCTCTAAGAACTAAGAAACACGCTGATTATTTATACACATACACTAATTACAAGGCACAGTTGCAGATTCTTAACCTTCACGGTGATCTGAATGGTTCTGAGTGTGTATTAACAGGCCTGGCATAAAACATATAGTGGTATGTAAATTTATGACAAGGGTATGTCATCTTTTGACTGTTACTATATTTGTCAGTTATTATTATTTTGATATACAATATAATAAATGTACATGTCTCTGATGATATATATTGCACTGAGGAAATTACATTCTTACATAAAAAGCTATTTAATTGGGCAGAAAGTGCTTATTTGCTCACAAAAACACAAATATTAGAATAAATAAAAAAGTGATTTTGTGTATGTCAGTGTCTTTGTTTAACCATTTTCAAACCTTACAGCCCAGCATTATTTGTATTTATCCATCTAATATCTGGTTTGGTTAATCGTTGCTCCATTATGTTGAATGAAGTGTGTGTGTGTGTGTGTGTGTGTGTGTGTGTGTGTGTGTGTGTGTGTGTGTGTGTGAACCAGAAAGTGTGAGTGAACAGGCTCCTTTGAGGTGGACCTTGGGACCCCTGACCCCGCTCTTTCAGACTGCATTATTCTCTGCAGTAAATGTGCTGGACAGATTTAGGATGGGGATCAAAGCGTGGAGGAGATTGCCTTTGAGGTAGCAAAAGCTTTGCATGTCAGAAGGCCCGGAGGCACGGCCCATCATCACAGCTGCGTAAATCTGCCCCTGTGTTACTGTCGGCATGTGGACATGTGTCAGAACCACGCAGGCCCACTGAGAGATCAAGTGCGCCAGATGTTGGTTTTGCACTCAGGCTTTCTCAAGATGTCCACCAAACTTTTAGTGTGTTCTCAAGTGAACCAGAGTATGGAGCATTTGCACTGGAGAAGCACTGGATTAGTTTGTTTAAGTGGATTAACTCATGCAAAGCAGCATATTTTACCATAATATATTAAAATGACTATTCAAGTCCACCAAATGTTGGCTTTCCAGATCAGAACTTATTGTCTTTTCAAGCCCAACAGTAAGACGGTTCTCAAGTGAGCCCAAAGGCAGAGCATTGTGTAGAAGCACTGGATTAGTTGTCTTAATTGGATTAAGTCATTTATTGCAGCATATTTTGTCAGAGCGTATTAAAATGACCATTACTCCAGCAAGAAAACAGAGGCAGGGAATTGAGGGAGTCTTTTCTTTCCCATTTTGTTTACTTCTACATAATTTCTACAAAGGCACTGAACAGCATTTTATGTTCCATTTTCAATTCTTGTTCTTTTTTTATTCTTGTTTCTTTACAGTGGTTGCTACTATGAGAAAAATGCAATAGAAAGCATCTACACTGTATGTCTAAAAGCTTTGTATGCTTAACCAGTGTTTCTTCTGAAATCTGGAGTATTGTTAAGGAGTATGTCCAGCTTTGCTTCTTTCTACTCTTCTGGGAAGATGTTACACTAGATGTGGGAACATTTTAGGATTCAGCCACAGCATTAGTGAGGTCAGGTGCTGATGATTGATGAATAGTTCTGGATCACATGTCATTTCAGCTCATCCCAAAGGTGGAACTGCATTGGAGCTTCATCACTCCAGAGAATGCAGTTCCACTGCTCCACAGCACAAAGTTGGGGAGACTTAAGCCCTTCTAGCAGGACACTTGACATTGTTCATGGTGACCATCATGTTTCATCCAGTAGTCGGCATCATGCCCATATTAAGAACTCTGGGTTTAAGCTGGATTTCTCGATGACAGAAATTAACGGTGTTTTGGAAAAGTACTGCTGTCGCCTGCTGTGGCAAACTAAAATGTTCCAAAGGCAATAGTTTTACTTTACAGACATCTTTCCACTGAACATGAACCTTAAAGTAGCTGAATTCACTCATTAGACAGGGTGTCTGGATACTTTTAAACACATAGTTTGTAATAAATAGCCCAGAATTGTAATTAAACAGAAGCACAGTGACAGAACTAACTGACACCTCAGCTAATGAGACAGCGAAGAACAGTGAAGTGAAGAACTCACACTGACACATTCTCTGGTGATTCAGTGAAGTGTATATGTGCTTGGAGGGGCTGCAGATAGTTGTTGATTTTCTCTTAAGCAAACCCACTGAACCAGGGATATCTTGTGTTTGTCAAGAACTACCATGCACGATTCAGCTACTGTAGTAAGCTTAAAAGATTTATTGATTGACTAATTGGTTCATTTGTCCAGTTAATGCTTGCCTAGAACAAAAAATGCATTCTCTCTAGTTGAACTCT